AGCTCATTTTTTGGCAGTACCTTTGCCTTCTTTCCTGGGTTTAATTAATTTATTTTATGTGTTACCACAGCGTTACAACTTGTGTATTACACGTTAGGCCCCAATATACCTTTTCAGAGTACGTTGTGTTTTCCCAAGCAGTTGTTCATCACAACTTATTATAGTCACTTATTTTAAGACTATCTTCACACGAGATGTTTGCTCTGTAAGACTAGGAATTGTGTCTTTTGGCTCACCACTGTATGCCTATGTTAATTTTTCCTCACTATGACAAAACACCTGAGAAAAATAAATGATTTATTTGGGCTAACATTTTCAGAGGTTTTAGTCCATGGTCAAGTGTTTCCGTTGCTCAAGCCTGAGGTAAAGCAGAACATCATGGTGGAAGGGTGTGGTAGAGGAAAGATGCTCACCTCATGGCAGACAGGGAGCAGAGAAAAAGGGGCAAGGGACAAGAGATCCTTCCAAGACATGACCTCAATGCCGTACTTACTCCAACTGGGTCCCACCTCCTATAGTTTCTACTACTTCCCAATAATGCCATCACATTATGAATCCATCAATGGACTGATCTATTAATGATGTAGAGCCCTCACAACCCAGTCACCTTCCTGAGGGCCCCATCTCTGAACACTGTAGCACTGGGGACTAAGTCTTCAATACATGAACCTTTGAGTGACATTCCAGATCCAAACCGTTAACAATGCCCAACACCTAGTACTGGATCTAACTTCTAGTCCCACCTCAATAAATACATGTTGAATGAATCAAGAATGCCTGAACAATGGAGACCACAGGTAGATGGTAAGTGGACATGCAGTTGCTACCTAGTAACTTCATGTATCACATCTTTACTCCTGAATATCGTGTAAATGGTCTTGTGGAGGATGCATTTGGAATCTTAACAGAGATTAGTTTTTTTGACTCATCAATGTCATACAAGTTCCCCTTCATGATGGTGTGTGCAAAAGATAGATCTTCAGCAGATCTTAACAGGAAAAGTTAGGTGGGGAAATGTTCCATAGCCTTCATTGAAGATGTTCTGTGGCTCACCGCTGTATGCTTGTGTTAATTTTTCTCCCCATTCAGAATGAAGTCCTGCTAGCTTGCTGAACATTCTGAATGGGGGGCTTACCAGATCAGAATTGCCCCAACCAGGTCACCTGAAACTCCCTTATTACAGGTTGAAGATCCCTTATCCAAAACATTTGGAACCAGAAGTATTTCAGATTTCCAAGTTTTTTCAGAGTTTGAAATATTTATGTGGACTTTACCAGTTGAGAATCCCTAATCTGAAATGCTCCAAAAACTTTTGAGTGCTGCACTCAAAAGTTTTGGATTTTGGAGCATTTCAGATTTCTAGGCTATAGATGATCAACCTGTATTACCTTATATGATTGCAGGAACTGCCTTTAGCCAATCACACAACCTGTATCGGACATTCAGATTTCCAGAACAGTTTTCTTGCTTCATGGAAAAACCCTGGTCATGACCATGACATGCCCTTGGGAGAGGATTAATCCAGGATGTTCCCACTCAGAAGAGCACAACTGTGATCTTACACTCCTCACCATTATCCTCATCCCTCTGTTCCTAAAATAACCATGTTTTCTAGATTCTTATCATTGCTCCCCGTTCTTGCAGTAAATCCAGTTCACTTTTTTCCTTTATAGTTTAATTCTAATCCTTTTTTGTTTTTACTCAGGGTTTCTAGACACATCTTTAATCAAAGGATGCTTCTTGCACATAATAACTATTCAATGATTGGGTTTTTAAAAATGATTTGGAACTTTTTGTAATCATAATAATCCTTCCCTTTTTGTGGAAAGCTTTGCCCCTGTTTTTTCTATTCTCCTCTAAGCTCATTTATGAAGGTGGTGCCAGTAAGCCCAGTTGCAAGATGCTGTCACTCAAGTTTCTGCTGCTCAGCGATAACTTTGTCAATATGCTTTAATGACCCTAGGAAACATATTTTTAATGGAATTTCCCTCAGTATTTAGGTGCATCAGCTTTCTTAGGAGCCAACATGCTCAGAATATTAATTTAAACTTTTTGTCCACACATTAGACAGTGAAAGTCAGATTTTAAATTAATTTTTTGTTATCCTATGTTTCCAACACCCCATCTGTGTTTTAATCCAGTGGATTAATGCTTGCTAGGCATTGGGAGCATTAACAGTATCTCTATTTATCATTTTTGATAAGTTGTTGCTATCTGCTGCATTATCCTGGCCAGACACTGTGCCTTTTATGTATCTTGTGAGTCATGGGGGGCCACAGACACCATCAGCTCTGTAATTAAAACATGCTGTGCTTTCCCCACCATAAACCACTCCAGCTTAAGACTTCATTAATGTGTTTCACTTCCTTTTGTTATTTTCTGGTTTTAGTTTTTTTCCACATAGCTCAGTGAGTCTTGGAATATTGGTAGTTGAACACTCAGAGTGCAAAATCTTTCTTCAACCTTGGTCACTGTTGGCTGGCGGGTAAATGAGGGACCTGCAGCTTCATGTGCACTGTGTCTGGAGCCCCTCCCTCTACACTCACTGGGCTTCCCTGCCACCCAAAGAGTAGGGCTTCCTGTGTTCCTTTGAGGTTCTTGATCCCTTGATTACCGAATACTGCCAACATGGCCTCCTCATGAAGACTTAAAACTATAGGCCCTGTTCCTATGTCTCCAGCCACCATTGCCAAAATGCAGCTCTTGATCACAGAAAACTGGGTCACACTTTGAAAATGTCTTTCTAAAATTACTTTCTGTACCCCTTGTATGAGCACATGGGAGATAAAAGGCAGAAAGCCCATCTGTGTCCCATAAGTGACGTTAATAATTAGCCAGTTCAGAAAAATATTTGCCGTCGTTGTCTTCTTATTGTAAAGTGTCTCCAGTTGCCAGGCTCTGTCACCAGCGCTTTACAAATCAAGAGACCAGATGGACCAAGTGACCTCCATAAACCACCACGGCCATTCTTTCATGCCTTCCCACCCCCTGGCATAAACATGTCATTCAAAGAATAAAAAAAGGGAAACTATGCAATGTAGCAAAAAAATTGAAATAAGAAAGCATCCGATGAGAGAATCCCGAGGGCCTTCCCCAGGCCCAGCAAATGTGCAAGTCCAACAGGAAGTTTGTGCTTAGTAAATGAACAAGCAATTTATGAGTCTGAGGCACACCCTGAAGCAAATGAAACAAGGAGGTGTGACAGGCCAGTTTAGGAGGGTTGATCAGCGAAGACTCTCTGAGGGGATGGCATCTGAGTTGAAGCCTGAAAGAAGCCATCGCATGAGCCCCAGAGGAGCTAGCACAGGAAGAGACCAAGAGGGGGGTTTAAGCAAAGGCACTGTCCCTTCATACTACAGAGACATAGAAGGTGGAGCCTTCCTCCAAGCCTAGATTAGGTCTTGGTGACCCTTCGATCCCCACTTTCATCCCTCCTGTCTGCCAAATCCCAGCTCCCAAAGATTGTTACTGGACAAAAGAAATTCATTTCTCATGAGTCTAAAGGGCAGCTGTTCCCACAGTACCTGTCTCTTGGCCACTGAGCTGATTTTCATCTGGGCCAGCTCTTGAATATACAGCACCTTAAGAATCAAAAAAACTGAGGGATGGACCTACTATTAAGTTATATATCCTAGGGACTCACACCAGCAAAAAATATCATTTTTCCTTCTTTAGTTATATCTATTTGTGACTGTTCCCTAAGGCTGGCTAGCTTATGGCTAAGACTAAGAGATATTTTTTCTACATCAGACAGTTGCTTGCTGGCATACTGATTAAGTGTATATCTTGTATTAGGTAATTTGTGAGGCTTCTGTGCTCTTTCTTGAGTTAAACCAGAGGAAAAGAATCCTGGGAAGGCTGCCCATCCCCTCCCAGGGCTAAGCTGCAGGCAGGGCATGGTGTTGATGGAGGCGTGGTTCAGATGAAGGAGCAGACACCAGCATCCCATGTTGATTCCTTCAACAAGAGAAGTCAGGAGCCAAATGGAGGGTGGTAGGGGTGGGGAGAGTCTGGATTTGTACCTACAAAATCAGAAGCAATCCTTAAATGCCATGGGTTTTATTGATCTGTTCCTTAATAGCTCTGTAAGTTGAAGGCAATATTTTCAATGTTCTTTCAAGATCTTGCAAATATCATCAATTATTGTCTATGTATTCTGGGGACTAAGGAAAAACTGGACTGGGAAATCAGAAAATCCCATGCAGCATTCTAGAGGTAATTATAGAAGAGAAGAGAGGCATAAAAGACGTACTAATCCCATGGAATTTGGAAAGGGGACAGAACGGAAAAATTATAGTAATATTTGAGTCTAGGGAAAGGTAGAGAGAGTGTTGCCTAGTGGCTCATCACAGTCAGATGTTTTGAGTTCAAATCTCGGTTCCATGGTTTGTTACCTGTATGATCTTGGGCAATTCTTTAATCATTTTGAGTTTCCATTTTCTTCTTAGTAAGATAGAAACAATCATAATAACATTTATTAAAAATGTCAATGAAGGTCTGAGGGTGTGGCTCAGTGGAAGAGCTCTCACCCAGCACATGTGAGACACTGGGTTCAATCCTCAGCACCACATAAAAATAAATAAAAAAATAAAGATATCATATATATATATATATATATATATATATATATATATATATCTCAATGGAGACAAGTCATGTGACAGCCTAGCAGTGGGCCTGGTTATTTTTTTCCTGATCACTCTGATCTTTTTTTTTACTTTGATTGCTATTGGACAGACGCTTGGCTGCCTGTTTCTAGCCAGTCTTACAGGATTCATTCCTGGGGTGAGAGGCTCACAGCTTTTATGCTGGAAGTCTCATCTTTCTTTTATTAGACGCGAAGTGACCACTGGTTGGAGAGCAGTGGGTAGGTTAGAAAGAAGCATTAGATAGAGCAGACGAATCATCAAGCTGGGACTGCAAATGGCCTGTGAAACAACATTCCCTTCTCTGTTTTGACCCCATGTCTTCCTTCTTCCCTCACCTCCTGTGGGTTGCAGGTGTTACTGTGCATCACCTACACCCCGACCTTTGACCTGAATGGGAGCGCTGTGCTGAAGATCGCGGAGGTGAGTGCCACTTGTGTTTGTAATGCCTGCTCATGGCTGCTTTATCTCTCATTGGGCTAAACATTGGGATGGGGCTGAGCCCCAGAAATGGGGCGAGCCCTGCTCTGATCACTGTGGGGAATTTCTAGGAAGGAATTGCTCTGCAGACTGCATGCTCTGTGGCCCACTGTGCTTTCTCATAAATGTGCGCTTGAGTTTGCTTAACTTGAAGCTTTAACCGTGGAAATAACACTACTGGGTCCTCCAAATCTGCTACAGCCAAGCTTATTGCTTTCTTGGTCTATTTTTCCTAAGATGAATTACAAAGCATTTGCTTTTTTTTTTTTTAAAGACACTAAGTATGAGATTTATAGAGATGTTCATTGATTGAATCCCACTACTGTCTCCGAATCCCTGATGGATGCCTTTTGTAGCTGACATCAAAAAGCCTTCTTCTCAGTCTGCTGTAGAATAGGGTTGCACATGTCTTCCACCATGCCCAAGAACATGTCCAACAGGAAACTTGGCTTCTGGGATGTCTGGCAAATGCCTGTGGCTTTTGGAAACATCATCATTTCAAAGCTGAATTTTACTAGGCTTAGAATAATTTTCCTTCCACTTCTTGAAAAGATTGTCTTCGGGACTTGTTTTTTCTGGTGAGAGTACATAGTCAGATCACAAAGAGGCAATCATTCTCTGAATTCTGAAATCATGGAGAAAAGGAAAGTCCAATGACCAACACACATGAGTAGTATTTTTATGAGCGGATATATGTGCTTTTTACGTTATCCTATCGTATTAAAAAGTGAAATTACATGAAAATTACTCTTGAGCATGTGGAAATTTATGTGTCTATCAAAAGAGAAGCAGCAGCCAATTGGCTGCTGGTTTCCAACTATGTATATCTATAAAGACACATTTTCCTTAGCACATGTATATTTTACTCCATAAAAAGCAATGAATAAAATAGTTATCAGTAATTGTTTTCAATTGAATTTTAAGAGATACTGAGAGTGTTCTTATTTGCTTGTCACAGGACAATGTAGTTTCTAAAAACAGCAAGAAGTAGGATTAGCATGAAAGAGGCTTATCCTGAAGTAAGATGGGGAAATGCCACTTGCTGCCCTGCCCTTGGTGACCAGGAGTGGGGACATCAAAGAGTCATGGGGCCTTCAGGAGGGGAGGGCTGCCAGGGAGCTTTGTGCCACTCCTGCAGAGCTGGAGAAGATTCTGTTGTCCTCATAGAAATCAGCTTCTGAATGGAATCTGAGGCAAAATGTGTAAATCTTGAGCAGTGGACACACAGGGCCAGGGCCAACACAAGTGAAATTTCCCTGAAGGTGTCAAGAAGCCACAAGAGGATTCAGCAGGATAGATCATCAAAACACAACGGTCTCTAACAAAACCAGAAAAGGAAAACAACCACCAAGAAAAACTCTTAGCCTAAGATGGAGATTACAGATAAAGGCACTCAACTGTGGTAGTAAAAAGAATGGGCTCTGGAGCCCTAGCCCTACAGTTTGGTGTGAACCCTGTTCTCCCTTACCCCTGTGTTGCCTGAACAACCTTGTGTTTGCTGTCTGTAAAAGAAAAGATAAATACACCTGTTTTGGTGGTGTGGGTGTTCCAATTAGACATGAAATCTACAATCCAAGTAAAAAGTTGTTCCTACAGGTCCAGACACATGGTATATGTTATATGTTTGCCTTTTAAAAAAAAAAAAAAAAACATAGTTGGGGAAAATTTTATAAAGACACCTTAAAACAAGCCATTGGAAACCCCTCTGGAAATTCAGGCAGAATCTAGCTGTTCCTTCTCACCTTGGTATACGTTGACAATTTACTCCAGCAGAGTGTTTACCCTGAAACCTGCTGATCGGGAAATGGAATGTGTACTTAAGTATGAAAAATGAGGCTATTTCCCCAAGGTCCTGCTGAAACTATAAAAGGATCATTAGGCTCTCAAAATGTAAATAAGAAGGCAGCTTCGTGAGTGTGTCTGACTTTAACTTGTTTAATTAAACTATACTTAGGAAACTTTTTCAGAAGAGCACCTTCTGTGCTGCAGGGAGAAAAAGAAATATCAAATTTTTAAGTGGACAATTATGAACTATCCAACAATATCCAAGTAGTGTCTGATCAATTTCCTGAACAATCATTATTAAGACTCCTTCTTTGCTGTCCACATTAGCAGTTGAGTTTTCCAGGGACAGATACCTAAAATGGGAAAAAGCTTCGGATATACAAAGTTCCAAGGTTTGGGGGTAAAGGAAAAGATGGAGTCATAGCCGAAAGCTCTCCCAAGCTAATTAGAAGGTGGATTTGGGATGGCTTTGGGCCTACTAAAGATTCTTCTATGGGATTTCTGTAAAACAGAAAACCCAGTCTATAAATGTGTATTTGCTGGTTTCATCTTACCAACTCCTAGAAACTCTCAGTCTTTGTTTCTATGGCATGCTGTCTGTCAGAGCCAGGCAGAACTGATTCAAAGAAGATTGTTTTTTCTCTAAGATTTACATTTTTAGAGTCCTCCCTTTTTCCCTGCTTTCTTTCATCCATCTATCTGTCAATTTCAAAACACTGATTAATAAGAATAGCTATTAGTCATAGAGTCCGTAGGGAATGGCAGTAAGTAGTACCCCACACACATACACACGCACACACACCCCCACACACACACATATATATTATATCTATTATATATTGAAGGTGTGTATGCATGGTTTTTTTTAATCTCCACCAAAACCCAGCTAAATAAAGAATCCTAAACAAAGTAAGGTTAATTTGCTTGCCCAAGACATTCAAATCCAGACATTATATTGCAAACATATGCTGTTAAACCACTATGCTATACTGTCCTCTGGCTGCCCTCATTCTTACAAAATGCTAGTAGAATCTGGGAACAATAATATTGGCAACCGACTGGAGTTTTTAGGAGGCATATTCCCTATAGACCTTTCTGGCGGTACTTATGAGATAATGCTTATGTGGTGTTTTTACATATGAGGCTGAAGTATAGATGCATTTTACTTTTTGGTTACCATAGATTTAAGTCTCTATTAGGAATATGTCACTTTTTAAGGCATTTTTGCACATTGATCGTTTATCTTTTCTGAGCATTATTTTACCAACAGAGGGTCTGGAGGTTACTAGTAGTTCTACTTGCTACTCCGGTGAGCTTAAAAACATTGCAGTTCAAGACCTACCACCAGAGATTCTTATTTAACAGTTCTAGTCATCACTAAAGTATTTTTTAATTGGGATAGTTTATAACCCTTGAAATGTTCAGTAATACTTTTCTTACTCTGATGTGGTAGCACTATTCGTAGACATAAAATAATCTACAACTATGAAACATATATAATTCATAAGAAAGATGCCCTGACTCACTTATTTTGGAAACATCTTATATGTTATGTTCTCGAGGAGTCTGGATAGGTAAGCCCCATATCCTGGCAAGAAAACTGCTAAGGGAACATGTCCACGGCCTCAAGCCAGTGGAGACCACAGAGGGAGGAAATCCCTTCAGGAAGTGTCCCTTTTCCTCCTTGAAGCCCTCCCTCTTCTTCCCTGTATTGATTCTAGTTGGATTCCTGAAATGTAAGTTCATAACCACTTACTGCTAAGCTGGCCTTCATTGCAAGAATTTCCACTCTCTTCAACCTGTGACTCCTGAAGCCTTTATTTGGAGTCAGAAGATACGCAGAACAGTGAGACCCTTCCCAGCTTGCTTTGGCTGTTCATAGAACAGCAGCTCAATCTCAGTAGACTCCAAACCAGACAAAAGGCCCTACCTGGGAAAGTGTAGGAATCAATGGAGTGAGGTGTCATAAGTCATTTTAATATGTCACCTTAGGCCACAAGGAGGAGAAAAGTTGCAATCAGAGTTTTCCATGTATGACTAGCATTTTAAGACATTTTCAGATTGAAATCCAAAAGGCATACAAACAAGCTTTCCTACCCAGATGGTAATCAGACTTACTTATACACACATTTCACAGGGATGATATAACTTCAATTCCCTCTGTGTATGTGTGTGTGTGTGTGTGTGTACCCATCTGATGAAGTACCTCTTGAATGTACCCACCTGTTATAGCTATTCACCTGTTAGGAAGGAGACCTTTTTCAGAGAAGATAAGAAATGGCCTGGCAACTGTGTTGTCAATAATAATTCATCACAGAGTTTAGACTTACGGTGGTCACCAAAATTTTCTGTGGTTCTCATGTGATCAACCAGCCTATGTGGTCTTCTCTATATAGAAGGCATTTCTTTTGCTGTCTTATTATCTTAATCTCTGATCCTTTCTCATCTTTGAAACCATAAGCTATTTTTCATCATTTTGTTTTATAATTGGAAATACCCTACCTCTTCTCTTTATGGAAACTAGGACTCAGTATTATGTACTATTTTAACACAGCAATGACACTAACCCCTGTTGAGTAGCAAAGAGAAGGTACATGTATAGTTCAACAAAGTGAAAGACATGTGTTTCCCAAAGCTCAGTAAATTCCTCTTGAGGCATTAGCCAATATATATTAAACATCAACTTTGTTTCATTTGCCACTTAATATTCAATAATATAGCAATCCACCATGGGTTTAACCCAGTCCTCTTATTTATCAGTTCGCTTACCTGATGACTCTTGCTTATGTATGCCTGTGGACTGGGTCTTGTCTTTTTTTTCCCCCTTCTGCTTTTGTGGTTGGTTTGGCTTCATTAACCATCTGTGTTTTTGCTCTCAGTTGTGTTTAGCATGTCGTAAAGCTGGACATCCACAAATGCATGAAATGATCAAAATGTACCTTATGACCCTGCTCACTGCCCTGTGTCACCGTGCATTCCCTGGCAATCAGGGGCCTGTGGCTTTTCACCAGGTATTTCCCTTGTTTCTTTGCACCTAGGCTCAGGCAGAGGTATAGGCCTGAAGCTTTTCAGTTGCTAAGTTTGCATTATGAAAGCAAAGGTAGGGGGAGGCAGAACAATTTGGGGGGACTAAAAAAAGAAACCCTGAGCTCCTTTTTTAAGAAACTAGTCTACCTTTGAACTGGGATCCTCTTGGTTTCTCTTATCCTATGTGCTCATCTTAGTCCTGCCCTTAGGGAAAACCCTCTTATAGTGAAAAACCTCTGATCTTAAATATAGCAGCGTTCAGGTTTCAAATGGAAGTTCTATTTCTGTGAGCCTTCCTAGTTGACCAATTTGTGATTACTGCAGCAAGTTTAAGAAACTGCTTCAGAAAATTCCAGGAAAGCTGATGAAGTGCTTCATCCTAAGTATCTACAGATAGGATATTATCAACAAGCAGTGATTTTTATTTAACAGAATATATCTTTATCATATTCAGTATGTATATTCCCAAGTTAGGCAGAATGAACTTCTAAGATAATTATATTTTTTCAAGCTAGTAAACATGCCTCCTACAAAGTCATGTTCAATGTTATCCCTGTAGTGGTGGCATTAAACCTCAAAAATATGCTTGGCATTTGCCAAGTTCTTGTTTCTTTATAACACTGTGTTATATAAAGTCTGAGTCCTCATGTGTGCTTTCTTACATGGGCTGAAGTGACTGATGTATTTTTTTAAGGAAGACTGTCTAGTGTGCATGGCTCAGTATTCAAGAGAATTTATATTAAGTATATAGTTGGGCTCTCAAAATAGTTGCTCTTTCATCTTCACTGCTTTTAAGGCTTAAAATTTCTCCTTAAATTTATGTCAGTGCTTAAAGATCAACAGTTACAAAGATTTCTTGGAAAATGTAAGCTATAAAGGAAACTGTTAAATTGGGAGGTACAAATGGTACTAGTGTTCCAGATTAGGTAGAATTTGGTTTCGTCCGAGGGAAACAGTGCCCTCATTTAGAAGTATTTTCAAGGTTTTTAAATTATTCCCTCACATGCCAAAGCAGAAGCCCTTTGGGGATTAAAACACCATTTTTTCTATGTTTGTATAAGTTAGCGTCCCTTCAGATCCAATATAATCATAATCATTTGAGAAAATAAATTTCACATGTCCCAAATAGTTTTATGAAAATAAATACTGTGTAACTTCTCTTTTTTAACTATAAAATGAATTCATCTAGATCAACTTCCAAATATAGTATTAAGTTTCAAATGCACCTTTGAAACATTAAACACTCTATAAGAGATAAACTTTTTTAAAAAACTTACTCTTTGGACCTGGGGGTGTAGCTCAGAGGAATAGCATTTGCCCAGCATGTGTAAGGCCCTAGGTTTGATCCCCAGCACCAAAAAGAAAAAGAAAATATTTTCTTTTACCTAGTTCATTTACAAAAAGATTTATTATCATGAGCTTTCCAGAAAACTCCCATAACTCAAGTAGTAGCAGCAGTAAAGATTAACACTTAGTCTCTCTCCTATCTCAGTGATCAATCATTAAATTTTCCATTTAGGTGAGAACCTCTACTTTTAATATAAATAATCTTGGAGTTATTCCTAGAAAAAATGATTTAGGTAAATTAAATCCTGAGCTATGTTTTGTGAAATTGCAAGGATGAATACCTTAGAGAAAAAAAGTAGATGAATTTAAAGTATGCTTTGATTTTTATGCCCATTCCTATAGCTTCAAAAAAGAATTTAGAAGAAAAAAAAAAAACAAACAGGAAAACCCTGAAAAGTCATGACATTCAATATCATCATTATCAAATTAAGGTTTTCTGGGGTTTTTTTTTTTGTTTGTTTGTTTGTTTGTTTTTAATTGGGATTTCTCCATTAGTAACCACCAGGGAATCTTCCTGGGCTTAGCTATACAGACTCACGAGGCCCAAAGAGGCCTTACCAGTTATTCTCATTCAGCAGATTCAGGACAGGAAACAGAGGCAGGTGACATCAGGCACAGAGTTTCCACAGAGATCCTCATGCCACTCCAGAAGCTGGCCTCTGGCTTTCAAATGCCAGTGTAGGTGCAAGAGACTGAGAGCCACATCAAATGAAGGCAGAGTCACCTTGGCTTTGGAACCTCATGTCCCAATTAAGAACCAGTGTTTTTAAACAACTCTATGAACAGAGCCTGCAGAGCTCCCTCAGAGCATGGGATCAATTATAAGAGTCACCAAACTGAGGGAAGTCTTGTGGCTTCCCAGCAGGTATTTAGAGTTAACACAGTTATCTCCATTGAGACCCAGCATAGTAACTAGGAAACATTTTTACAGTGAGCTGTTCCACCTTTATAAAATATCCAGAAGAACACAGCTAGAGAGTCAATCCAAAGTCAAACTCATTCAGAGCAAAGAGAAAAGGTTTCAGTAGTCCTCTACCCACACTTTATAATCCATGAGTTGATAAATTCTGTTCTGTTTGGCCATGAAGGGAGTTTTTCCTGATTAATTTACAGCCAAATAGAATTATTAATAAATAGAATTATTTAGCTCATGTAAAACTCACTAATTTGAAGCTCAAAAGAATAAGAATGTAAGAATGGCAATCCTAGGGAAACATGACTTTTCTATTTGCTTAAAACAAATTTCCAGAGATTTTATATACATTTATTTTCATTGAAAACTAGTCTGAAATCAAGCTTTCTATTTAAAAAGGATTTGGTATTCTCCCTGGTTAAAGCCGAAAATAGTTGATAGTGAACAAATGCCTAGAGCTCATGTAGTGCTGTCTTATTTCTTTCCCAGGTGTGCATTGAGACGTACACCTGCAGCTGTCACCAGCGTAGTATAAACACTGCTGTGCGAGCAACTCTCAGCCAAATGCTGAGTGACTTGACTTTGCAGTTACGGCAAAGGCAGGAGAACACGGTAAGCCTGAAGCACCCCACGTTCATCATGGTCTAGGTGGCATCTCAGTGCGTAACTGCAGGCTGGGTGTCCCACACCTGGGGTTCCCCCTTGCACAGTTACTTTCCTTTGGAAACACTAGGAAGGGCCTGCTTGTTCTGAAAGAAAACTCATTAAATGAATTAAACGGTTTAGAAATTTTCCTACCTGACCCTAAAGTCTTGAAAGTTGTTTTTCCCTATGGTTTCCATAATTGTTTAGTCAGTATTTTAAAAATTTATCTTTCTTTTAAAACTGTTACATTGAACATTTTTTAAAGTTTATTGTGATAGTAAATTTGAAACTATGGAAAATGAATAGCAGCCAGGCACAGCGGCCCATACCTGTAGTCCCACCAGCTGAGGAGGCCGAGGCAAGAGGATCCTGAGTTCAAAGCCAGCCTCAACAAAGGAAAGGCGGTAAGCCCATTAATTTAGATCTCAATTTTATCTCTTTGGCTTTATCTTTTAAAAACACTAAAATGAGGAATTAAAGAATTTGACAGGATAATCTCTAAATTTCCTCTTAACTCCATGGTCGCCTGACAACTAGAAAACTGAAGTTAAAAATGAGAAATAATTAAAGTTAAGCACAAAATTTTAATTCCTATACAATTAATTTCTGAGCTATTTTGGATTGCAACTGAAATTTCCCTTTTTAAAAAGTAACTAATGTCATTTCAGAACACCTCTTGCAGATCTCAAAATAACTTTAATGTAAGTTATTACAGAGCCAGATTCAAAAAAAAAAAAAATCCTCTAAATAAAATACAAAAAAAGGACTAGGGATGTGGCTCAGTGGTCAAGTACCCCTGAGTTTCTGGTACCCAGGAAAAAAAAAAGAGAAAGAATAACAAATAGATTTGGTCCTTTGTCAACTCAGAGGTTATGACAGGAGGTTCCCCTCACTGCTGGGGCTGTCAGAGTAAAGTTGCTCTTGTATTCTCTGTCGTCAAAGCCTCTCTAATCTAGAACTCCTTGCTCTAAACTTGAACAGATTGTCTAAAATGAGTTTCTAGAGAAAAATGTAAATGTAATTGGCTTCTTGTATCTATTATTTTCTGAGAATGTCAGTGAGAGGATGGGAGGATGAGCATTTTGGTTTTAAAATCTGGCTCAGTGATAACTTAGATAAAAGTTATTTTGAGATCTGCAAGAGGTGTTCTGAAATGGTATTAGTTACTTTTTAAAATGGGAAATCTCAGTTGCAGTCCAAAATAGCTCAGAAATTAATTGTACAGAAATTAAGACTTTGTGCTTAACTTCAATTATTTCTCATTTTTAACTTCAGTTTTCTAGTTGTCAGATGATCATGGAGTTAAGGGGAAACTTAGGGATTATCAGGTTCAATTCTTTTATTCCTCATTTTACTGTTTTTAAAAGATAAAGCCCAGAGAGTTGAAATTGAAATCTAAAATTAGTGGGCTTTTCATTAAGAGAACCAGAACTAAAGCCCTGGTCCCCTGACGGGCTCCCAGTTCACGTTATCAGCTCATGCATACTCTAGCAGCCAATATTTGAAAAAAGGCATTAGTCTTAAAAAAATCAAATACTATTTTCTTTTATGTTTGCTATATCCAAAGCCCAAGTTCTTGTTAAAAATTGTTTTAACTTGAGATATTACTTTAGTTTTCCCCTTATTAAAAATGATTTAATTTACCAAAAGATTTTGAATATGGTGGTTGGGAATATTAGTGTTTTTTTAAAATCTATAAATAGAAAATATATTAGAAAAACTGTTCTTAATGAAAAGAAATCTAAGCTGTTGAGAATTCTTACGTTCATACACAACCACATCATGACAAAATACTCTAATATTAGCAATATCTTAATGATTTAAATGAAACATTTGAAAGAAACTTCATGGTTTCAAGATACTTTAAATCATTAGTTCATTTTAAAATCTTAATTTTAAATGTTTAGAAAGGACATTCACACCGTGCAATGATATTTCAGTCAATGACAGGCTGGACATGGAATGGAATTCACCATACTTCCTGGGGTGGAGTAGGCTATATCACACATGCATTCGGTGATGTTCTCACAGTAACAAGTGCTTAACAATGAGTTTCTCAGCAAATGACCTCATTGTTAAGAGACATGTGGCTGTATTGGGTTTCAAGCCAAATAATTCAATCTTTTAGCTCTTAGTGCTCTTCTAGAAGAATGGTAACAGGTGTGGTTATGGAAGTCTGGTTGATACCACAGAGGTTATATGTCTCTGTCCTAGGCATATAATTTGTGACTACTCAGCCATCTGGTTCTGCTTATCCTTGGCCATTTAGATTCACCCCAACCAGAGGCAAGATCCCAAATTAGGTAGAAATTTAGTATTTTTCATTATTTTCTTTCTATTACTCATACAATTCCTCAGAGATATAATTTCATATCCCAGAAAATGCAGTTCTCAGGATGCTAATGTTTGAAGCATTTGTGATGTCTAAGAGAGGGAAATATAAGTTTTGCCATCCAAGAACTGGGTATTTTTTCAATGCCATTGAAGAGAAGTCTATGGAAATGGTGAGGTTTGCTCCTAGGAGGCTGTGTGTTTCTGGGGGACACTTAACATTACCTGGGAACAATGTATATGCTTCCTATGATGACGCATCACTGATAAGACATCGAGGGGCACCTCAAATCTAGGAAGACCTACAAACAATGGAAAGAAAACAAATAATGTAGAATGCAAAAGCATTAATATGAAGTCCATCTTCAACCTAATGTCTATCTCCACCCCCAGAATGGATTACAACTTTGTATTTTGATTTTGTATCCTCAGAAATCCTAATTTTTTATCTCTCTTTATTCTTGAATTATTTAGATGACCAAAATTCTCATTAAATTACAAATTATTGATTTTTTAAAAATCCCCAAAATTGCCACATATAAATATTTGTGGCTAGGGATTCTTCTACCCTTGAATGTAACTCGGATGTGCCTCCTCAGAAAACATTTTTCTAACCTTGTGTTTAGCCTTGTGCTGAGCTGTACAGTGGAAGCAGTGAGCTTCCTGCAAATTAATGAATGGAAAATAGTAAAAATATGTGCCTGTAACAAGTTAAACACACACACACACACACATACACACAAACACACAAACACAACAGTGCCATGGATGATTTACATTGGCTAGTGGTTAATTGGCATGAAAATAACTTCTTATATCTCCTGGTTCTCAGAGGTAGGGAGTGTGAAACATCTTCCTGTTCTTAGCTCAGTGGTCACTAGGTAATTTCTGTGTTGGGAAGGAAGTCTCATTCTATGTAAGCATCTTTCCCTTCCTGTTTATCCAAGGAGCTATCTCTGCCCTTAATAGCTCTGGATCCACCTAACAACAACCAAGAGTGGCAGTGTGATAACAGGAAGTTAAAATGCTCCCCATTAACCTGGGGAGGTATGTGGGAAGAATGGAGGAATTTTGATTGGGCAAAGGGGAGGAAGTGGAGGGGAGGGGCATGGGGGCAGGAAAGATGGTGGAATGAGATGGATATCATTACTCTAGGTACATGAATGACTGCATATATGGTATAACTCTACATTGTGTACAACCAGAGAAATGAAAAGTTGTGCTCCATTTGTGTACAATGAATTGAAATGAATTCTGCTGTCATGAATAACTATTTAGAACAAATTAAAAAATGGAAAGGAAAAAATATGCTCCCCATTAAATAGGAAGATGGTGCTTTTGAGATGTGGTCATCTTTGGGCTGGTATTTTGATTTTTCTTATGACTATGTCACATGTCCATATCTGTGAGGGTGTAGGAGAGTGCAATCTGTGTCATTGCCCTGGGATAATTATTATCTGGGCAAAGATGAACTCACCTCTTCAGGTAGGCAAAGCTGCAGATGATAGCCCAGGTAAGGTAGCTGTGCCCAGAGCACTCAGGACGCCATTGTGTTTCCTAGTTTTTTCCATTGTCTAAGAGGATTTTTCTTGCTTAAATCTCATAATTGTGTGTTTCTTCCTCCCTAGATAATTGAAAATCCAGGTGTCCCACAAGAATTCAGGAGTCAAGGTATCAAATTTAGTTTTTACTAGTTCAGCTTAAAAAGTGGATGTGAGAACACCTACTGTGTGCCTGGTGTTGGGGGTGTAAAGATGAGTGCCTCTCAGGTTACTTTACCATTCTCCCTGGAGGTTCTGCTTAGCTGTGCCTCATGAGGTATTATTTAATCAGCTGCTGTCTTTCTTCTGTTCCTGCACTCTATGCCAACTGCACCTATTCTGTTTCAACTGTATGAGGGAAATTAACTCTTTACAAACCTCCTACTTGAAGGCTGTTTTTTTGCCTGTTTGTTTGTTTTGTTTTTTATTCTGCTCTCCATGAAGCCAGGCTTAATTGCTAAAATAAAATTTTGTTAGAGGATTATAAAAACCTGGTTGACATACATTGTTATGGCACTAGAATTATATTTGTCAAATACCAATTTATTGACATGAAAAATGAGTCATCATACAGGGAGTCTTGCAGACAGCCCAGTTTAAGTTACAGATGAAATCAAGTTAAGAAACTTTTATTCTGACTGAGCCACAGGAAAAGAAAGAAAAAAATGGAGGTATACAGATAATTGACAAGTAATTCAATTGTTAAAAATGGCTTTGACATTCTGAGATGTGGAACACTTCAAACCATTGAATTAAAACTTTATAGGTTTTATTTTAGATTTTATTCAGTAATATTAAAAATGTTGGGAAAATATGCTGTTCTTTTATATTTTTTACCAGTTAATAATAGGGTGGGGGTGGGGAAAATGAGAAAGGGAGGGAATGAAAGGGAGAGAGAAAAACAGCTAAATGCCATAATTAGGAGAAAAAAAATGGAAATGGGGGAAATGAGAATGAGAAATTCTTTAAGTCGTTTTCTCTGAAGCATCACAGAGGTGCAGTTTTTTCCCATCATGCCATGCTCTTGGACTGTGTTCCAGAAAATGTTTTAGCATCTTTTTTGCTTTTGAAGCTCTCAGTGTGATAGGCCACAAGATTCTCCACCTGTCCTTTCCTCTCTTTTTGGCTATTACATTCTCATGAAAGCTCACTTTAACATAGGACGATTTTATAAGCTGAAAAGGGATTTGGGTTGGGGATGTGGCTCGCCTGGCATGCAAGGGGCACTGGGTTCGATCCTCAGCACCACATATAAATGAAATAAAGATATTATGTCCACCGAAAACTAAAAAATAAATATTTTTTTAAAAAAGAAAAGGGATTTAAAGTCCTTTTGGTGAAGGACACATCTCTAAAAATTCTTTTTTGTAAGGAATTAATGGAGGGCCTTACTTGAAGTTTATCTAAAATTGAGCTTAAGAATCTTATTTATTTTAAATTGTTTTATCATTATACCTTATGATTTATTACTTTCTTTCCTACATTTGAGGTCTTAAATTTTGAAGATCAGCCACTTGTTTCTCTTTCCCCTGCCCCCCTCCATCTCTTTCTTTCTCTCTTACACTCTTGACATTGTTCTCTCCATCATGTTGTTGACATCATGGTCCTTCATTCATATTTACGTCCACCAGATGCTTTGCCACCTTGGTATAGATCTTTACAGGCTGCTGTTGTTGTAAACAAATGCTTCCACTTATTATTTCACTTTGCCCAACCATTCTGTGCAATCTGTGTTATTTATCTCCTTTGCCCTAAGGAAAACCAAAGCTTTCCAGGCTTATACAATCAGCAAGTTGTGAACCTGTGCTTGAACAGATTCCAAATTCCAGCCTTTTTTTCACTCAGTGCTTCTGTGGGAGTTTTAATTCTAGTTTCTGGAAATTAGAATATGTCTGGAGGGAAAAGTTATTTTTCTGATATTGCCGGTTACTCCATTACCAACAAAGACCATGTGCCCTCCAGATGCTGGACAAATAGTTATAGAAGGTGAAGGTGGTGATTGAATTATTTGCCCCCCCCCCACACACACACACACCCATGCCTGGTTTCTAGTTCCAAATGCCTGTCTTTTTTCTCCATGCTTCCATATTTTGTCTCTCTGGGATGCAATTCAGCTCTGCCTCAAAGACCCAGAAATTCAAGAAATCAGAATGAGGGATTTGTAGATAGCCCAGTGGTCTAAATATTGAGAAAATCATTATCAGTTGTGTTGTTTCTCAAATTCACCAAACATCCTTTCATTAAGTGGGAATGAATTTTATTTATAATAGGAAACAGTTTATTATTTTCTTCCTGGACTATCTTTTGTTTGTTTCATTTTAAAAAGGGAGGACGACATTTCATTCTTTTTGTGATTGTCTTGGGAGCCTAAGGAAGGCTCCACATCTGCAAACCATCTTCTCAGTCCCCCAAAAACATCAGAGGCAGAGGATGGGAAGGAGCATTGAGAGGGCTGCCAGTGGCCCCAGTGGTGACTAATGTCTGTAACCTCCTCTGTTTTGAAGGGTCAACAGTAGAGGCCCTCTGTGATGATGTGGTCTCTGTCCTCACTGTCCTGTGTGAGAAGTTACAAGCCTCCATAAAGTAAGTGCTTTTCTGCTGTCACTCTTATCCACCAATGGTCTATTTCTGAAATATTGTCTGTCTATAGCATCACTTAAAATTTCAGATTATAGGGACAGTAATTCCCTCCCACTGGGATACACCTGTCATTCCTGAGAAATGTATTCAGAGACCTCAGGCAATCCCAAAATGTCAAATACCATTACCAAAGGGTATAATTTTCTGAAGTGAAAATGGGAAAACAACATCTCGCAAAGAGGAGTTAATCCCTGGTGCGTGGAGCTGAGTGGAGCAGATATAGGGCTAAGAGCTGGCTGATGTGGGGGCTGCTGGTACCTCGGGCGTAGCCCTGCTGTGTGACTGTGAATGACTCTTCTCATTGAACTGTGCTGCACTTTCTTCCTCTGTTGAATAACAGGGTTGGATCATGTGGACTTTCTCTATTTCTTCTTTTAACTGTACCTAAGCCTGTGAGCTCATATGCCTAGCTTTAAAAAAGGGCATGTTACTCTGACTTTATATAATCTCAGTTAGTTACATACCAGTTTAATCAATGGTATTAATTCACTTAGTCCATGTCTCCTGCTAACTCTCCATGCAGTAAGTTAAGACAACTTCTGCATCCGGTTGTAGCCAAATTATAAAACAGCCAGACTTTCCAAGGTGGGTTGAAAAGACTCCACCAGCTACCTATATGGTGATTGCAAAATTTTACTACAAGAAAAGATTCTGAAGTGCCCTTTGAATTACGAAAGACACATTAAACTATCATTTACTGGTAACTAGGACATTTGATAATTTTATTTATAGAATTTTGTAGAATTTTAAATATGGTAATGATTTGGAGACTGGATTAGTTGCAGACATGAATGAAGTCTTTCACTTTGCTAAAAATGTTGCAGAAATTTTTGTTTTTGTTTTTGTTTTGTTTTTCAGACTCAGGATTACTTTAAAGCTAAGCTTAGAAGTGCTCTTAAGAGTTGTTGTCAAATGGTTTCTGTATCGATTTATCCGTTGCTACTCTAAGTTGCCTGCCTACTTTAACTAAATGAAACTCTCTTTACATCAGGCACTTAAAGGTCAAATACATAGAGACAGAAAAGAAAACGGTGGTTACAAGGTTTGGGGGTTGAGAAATGGAGAGAGTAGCAAATACGTAAGATGAATAATTCAAATGACCTGATGTGCAACATGAGGACTATAGTTGTCAACAGTGTATTTATTCAGGATCTTTGCTAAATGAGTAGATTAGAGATGCTCTTGCCATAGCAGGGGAAAATCTATAACTGAGGTGATAGATATGCTCATCTGTTTCATAGCAGAACCATCTCAATATACACAGGTATCATACAACACCATGTTGTATACGTTAAATATTCACACAAAATGGGAAGGTCTATTTAATTCATGGACAGTATAAACCAAAAAGAAATGGCATTTCACTTGTTTCCCACCTCCCCCCTCAAGTTTCTCCCACCCCCAGACCCTACCCAGGAGGCAGGTCTGGACTGTCTCCCCTTCTGGAGGAATGAGCCTAAGAGCAGATAGGATTTCAGAGGGTCCTGCTGTCCCCTGCTCAGTTCCCCACCTTTCCTGGCTGTAGAGAGTTGGAACAATAGAACTGACACTCAGACTACCATCCTAATTTGAGGGCTCTGACACCAACTGCAGTGACCCACCAGTAGGATCCCCCTGCCACCAGATTTTCTGGGAACCATCTCAGGATGCACCTGCTCTATAAAAGTATAATCATCTTCCCTCACTCTCAACAGAGTCCTGCTCCGATGGGTTAGATATTCACTCTACTCATCAGCAAGCAGGGTTTTGATCTCCTCTAGTCCTAACTTCTCCCCAGCCCTGTCCAGTTCTTACCCATCACAGAAGAATCAGCTGTTATATCAGAGCTGGGGTATGTTTCCATTTGTACGTTCACTCCTAGGACTCACTCAAGAGTGAGGTTTGGTCACTGGTGGCCCAACTGCATTATCTTTCTTGGGTTACCTGGGTTTAAATCACTGTTCTACTCCTTATTAGTTCTTAACTTGGGGCAAAGATCTCAACTACCCCAAGCTTATGTCTTCTATACAGTAATTAACATTATTCTTGGGATGACTGTATAATATTAGAAGTACAAAATATTTTAGGATTTTTATAAGATGGAATGAGGAAATTCACTTAACAGATGGATAGTCAGTATCCATCAGACAAAGATTACTAGGAACAGAAGTGAACAAAAGCTGGGCTTATTAACTCATTATAGTGAGAGGGTCTATACGCTGTGGGAAACTAAGGAGCTTCAAGTAAAAGGATGTTCAGAGGAATCATGATAGGATTTGAGCTTGAATTAGGTGATGTTGGAGCAGGTAAAAAGAATTGAGAGTTATGTTCAAGGATTGAGTGATTTCAGAAAGTCAGGTCCATTCTAGCATTGGAAACCTGAGCTTCTATCTAATGCATGAGGGGAACAGGTTGGAGCTAGAGTTGTCACTAGAGAAGAGGTACACATCACTCACAGGGGTGGGGACACTTGGTCACTTTGTGGTTGTGTAGAACTCCCTCCTTTTTAACCCTGGTTCAGACAGGTTGTTGACAGGCTTCCACCCTGTGTGTTCTGTTACAGCTGTGCGGGGTCCTCATCTGATGTGGACATTCTTTAGCATGGTCTTTGTTCCTCAGGAGAGCTCCTCAGCCAACTGGCAGCAGCTAGGTAGTAGCCAGCTGTCAAGACCCCTCCCTAGGTCTTAGCATTGTCAGAAGATAAGACAGAGAGCAAAGGGAAACTAATAAGCTAAACTTTTTTTTTTCTGGGAAAAAACTGAAATTTTTAAGTTGTATAAAATTAACACTTAGCCTTCAGAATAAGTCAGAATGAGCCTGTATCTCTATAAATGGTAGACTTAAGATGTACCATTGCTCATTGGTTGGAAAAGAATCCTCACCTAGGTCCAGTAAGTGCTTGGCATTAAATTTGTGATTCTTTAAACCTGAATGGCTTCAGGGATACCTCCCCCAATCTGGGGGCAAGATCACCTGGTTTACCCAGGACAGTTCAACTAAGCCTGTTTTGTAATTGTTATAGGCATTTATATTTGATCTCTTTAAGGAAGTGTTCCACTTAACAAGTGGAATTTTTAAAATTATATAGTGTCTTTTATAAAATTATATAGCAAATATGCTAGACACTATATAAATATCAAAATATATTTGATACATTTTGTTTCTAAACTGGTTTGTTTGCTTTTAGAGCTGTTGGTTGCTAATTCTAGCTTTGGGTGCAGTTAGGAGCCTTGAGCTCTTTGGAATAAAAATTTGACTGTCATTTGTTAGGAAAATGCATTGTGTGTGTGCACGTACATACGCACAAGAAATCAAAGTTCATGGATTTCTGTTGGTTACTGAAAACAGTTCTTAACCCCATGACTTGAGAATACGCATTAAGGGGCTGGGGATGTGGCTCAAGCGGTAGCGCGCTCACCTGGCATGCATGCGGCCCAGGTTTGATCCTCAGCACCACATACAAACAAAGATGTTGTGTCCGCCGAAAACTAAAAAATATATATTAAAAAAACTCTCACTCAAAAAAAAAAATCATTAAAAAATTATTTTTTTAAAAAAGAGAATAGGCATTAAATGAGAAAAATAATTCTTTTGATGCATATGTACTTTCTAGGGGTTCTCACTGAATACTGGGTCAAAGGTGACTTTATGCACACTGGAAAAGAGCCTGATGGTTTTGATAGGATTTTCATAGTCTTGACTGGTTATTTTGATGCAGTTCCCCTGGTCATAATTCTGCCTCCAGAACTCATTTGCTTTGTTTGATGTTGGTCTTTCTCATGATGAGTCCTCACTATTTGGGTGTGTAGGGGCATTGCTAAAGAAGCTCAACACAGTGTGCTTAGTATAGCTGAGACAGAAAGCCTCTAAATCCACTGGTCTGGTCATGCCAGGCCCTTGTACCTGGTATTCTATTCTTTCTCCTTAAGTGCTCTTATCTGCATGGTTCCTTCTGATTTTACTACCTTAGTTCCTTTATTTCTATTATGAGAACTTGATGCCTCCTCTACCTTCTAAATAGGTTCCTTCTCTAATATCTCACAACCATCAGTACCTCCCAACAACCATTTCCAAAATCAGTGCCCATACATTTCATAGGGCTTTGCCTTGGTAGGGGAATATATCTTTGATATGCTCAATCTCTCAGCAATATTCAGAAAATATATTAAGGTACATGACACAACTCACCCGTGTGCCTTGGAGATGTGGTATTAATAGAGTTCTATATTAGGCAAGATGAGTTACATGATCCTGCTTAAATCCAATAATTTTTGGAAGGATAATTGGGCTTAGAGTAATATTTATTCATTCTCTGCCTGTCTGTCACTGCCACCCTGTCCCAGCCTCCCTCTCCTCCTGGCGCAGAGTGTCAGGCATGAGTCTATAGCAGAACAGTCTTGAAATCAATGAGGGCAGCCTAAGGGGTGTGTCATTTTTTCAAACTCCATTCAACTCCTTACACAATTATTCGATGCCCTTTCTCCTTTATCAAACTAAAAACAAATCCTGATTTAAGGAGGGCAGAGTCAAATGGTTTTTAAAAAGAATTCTAAGAACTCCTGAGATCCCAAACATGTTGCCCTGCTGGACGCTAGATTATTTTTGATCTTGCACATGCCACATATTTGTCTACAGCTGTGCAAGTCTGAAAGGCACCCATCTTTTATCTGTCCAGTGAGGGTCATTGGTGGAAGGTGCTTACATTTTAAAGAGCTCTCTTAATGGCATGACTCATGCAAGGCCACGCCCATCCTCCAGACTGCTGCAGCCCACAGAAAAGCTGTCCTGTGCAGTCTCCAAGGAGACCTCTGGGCCAGTTACCTTGGTGATGCATTCCCTGTCAGCCCAGCTGATGCCTCGGGACTGAGCTATTCACTGTGACACACTTTACACACTTTACTTACAGGAACCTTGACTATAGCTTTTCTCTAAACATTTCTGATGATTTCAGAAACTGAGAACTTATTTTTCTATAGTTATTTTAGTTTTCCGATGTTAGACTGACAGTTTGAGAAAGATTGCATCAGGGCATTTAATAACTATTTTTCCTAGTAATGGACTACAGCAAAGGCCATCTTTCCAGAACTGATTTTTTCCAGTGCAACGTGGGGTTGATATTGTGATCCTCCTGTTTTGCCCTCTCCAATCTGTTCATGCTAAAGCATCCAGAATGAACATTCTAAAACAAAAATCCCACTTGTCACTCTCCTATGCAGAATGAAGTCCATGCATCTTAGCATGATCTGTGTGACCCATCCCCTCTGGCCCCTGCCCACTTCTCCAGCCTGCCTCTTGACTACACCATCTTCATGTCCTGTGTTTCAGCCAAACACCTCTTAGTCCAAATTTCTTCCTCCTCCTTCCCCGCCTTCACACCCACCCACTCCCCAACTCATCCATGTGACAGGCTCCTCCTTGAACTTCAGGTCTCCATTTAAGATTCCATTTCTTGTGGAAGTTCTTTCTGGATTTTTCTAAGGAAGAGCCCCTCCTAGAGGGTCTCATAGTTGTATTAAATTACTCTTTTACAGCACTTCCCATTAGTACTTGATCTACGTATATTTCTGTCTTATTCCCTAAGAATAAAGAACATGCCGTTCCAGGGCAGGAACTATGTCTTGTTCAAAAGTATAGGAATACTTATAGGAAGAGAAACCTAGAAACAGGAGGCACTTACCTGGCCCACAAATGGCTAGTTATTTCTTGCCTTTCTTACTCTTCTCCACCTATAACTTTCCTCTTGACAAATAATAGTAATAATTTTTTATGGGGTCTCAGTCCTGACCCATCTCCCTTCCATCCGGTCTGGTAGAGTATATCCACATATAGGTGACATTCCAATTTCCAGATAATGGCATTATTTTAACCATTGTGCAGTTTTTTGGATGAAGGATATCTTTTTAAAATATGAGTCAGCAAACTTTTGTAAAGAACCACATACTATCTGTCTCCTGTTTGATTTTGTTTGGTTTTATAACCCTTTTCAAATGTAAAAGCATTTTTTTGATTTCCAGGCCCTGGGCAGGATTTTTCCCCTGTGCTGTAGCTTACCAACAAGTTTTAGAATGCAATGTCAATTTTAGGGAATTTAGTGTAGCATTCAAATGAGGGATCCTCCCCCGACCCCACCCAGCCTCTATCTTCCTGTCCTTCATCTTTCAATTGCAGGATCTTCCTCATCTTGGCAGGTATACGAATGTAAGTTTCTGGACTTTGGGATAGTCAGCTTTTCTTCTCTCCCTGCCTCCTTAAATTTCTAGTTGGCCTGTCGGGAGTCTTGACTTTCCCTTCTATCTACTTCTGCTGGGAGTTGTTTGAACTGTTGAAAACCCTAGGCTTCCTTTTAACATTTGCTTATTTTAAGTTAGGAAAAAAGAGGTAAACTAAAAATATTTTTTCAACAGATGTCTCCTTTTTTGAATATTTTATTCCAAAAAGCCTCCTACATGGATCATCTTTAAAGGATATGTATGCGTAGTAAATGTGTCCTTGAAAATTAAAAAATTTCTCACCACTATCGGTCTCTCTTACCACCTACTGGGATTTTAATACTTTCTAGTGGGCTGGAGAGAAAAAAAATCTGCATATATAAGAGTATGCTTCCTTCCCATAAAGTTGTCTGATTTTTTTGTCTGCATCTACCGAGAAACCCTATAATAATAATTTGAGGGAAAATAATTTCTGCATTGAAAAACAATGTTTCCTCTATAAATAAGGAGGGTCAAATGTGAATAGAAAGTGTAGACCAATTAAAGGATAATGTGGTAAAGGTTTTCTTGAAACATTTAGACAATTAAACAAAATTAACATATCTAGCATAAACTGTAGATTTTTATTAATATGATAATTTTGTTTATTAATTGTAGTAAATGTATTATACTAATATAAGATCTAAGAGTAGGATAGACCATGTGTGAGGGGTGGGTAAGGTATAACTATGTTTCATGCTCAATTTTTACAAAAATCTACCAAAAACTATTCTATAATGTGAATCTTAATTTAAACAAATCAGCCTAACTGTATTACTTTGTTAGCACTGTCGTAATAAAGTACAAAAACTGGATCCTTTAAATAAGAGAAATTTGTTTTCTCACAGTTCTGGAGACTGCAAGTCCAAGATCAAGGTGTCACCAGGGTTGGTTTCTTCTGAGGGCTGTTCCCAGCTATCTCCTTGGCTTACTGAAGGTCATCTTCTCCCTGTGTCTCTTCACATTAACCTGCCTCTATGCACACCTCTGTGTCCAAATTCCTGTGTTTTTTCAGGACAATGGCATGTTGACTTAGGGACTATGCTAACAACCTCATTTTAACTTGCTTACCTCTATAAAGACTTTTTTTCTAAGTAGATCACATCCTGAAGTACTGGGGAGTGAGACTTCAGCCTGTGATTTTGGCAGAGAAAGGACACAATGCAACCCATAATATTAACCACTGCTCCCACCCCAAATTTGTGCTTCAGTGATACCTAACATTTTTAAAGTGTTTTTCTATAGCACCTGCACTTTAATTCTGCCTTGTATTGTGTCTGCATTTGTGTGTTGGTCTTGCTCTTCCCCAGTGACAGCCAGCAGCTGCAGCTTCTGTACCTGGAGTGCATTCTATCCATGCTCAGCAGCTCCTCCCCTTCCATGCACCTGCACAGGGGCTTCACTGATCTCATCTGGTAAGCACCTACTCCTACGTACCCCACGCCAGCCCAGGGGTGCCTTGCAGCTGCGTTCCCAGCCCCTTTCCACCGTGCCTGTGACCTACCAGGGGTTTCAAAAAAGTCTTGTAAGGAAAGTGCAGGAATTGCACTTACATGCATCAGAACAAAATTCAGAGAGAAAATGATGATTATTATAACAAAATATGCTTCTGAGGCCCTCTTACATTTTGTTTACATAGTAGGGTCATGAAGAGAGGCCCCAAGAGATTTTTGTGGGTTCTCAGTTTGTTATAAAAGCCTATAAATGCACCAGAAACCAATGCAGGGAAGAGATTTTGAACTGTACTCTAGTACATTCTTCTCTCAACCTGAAAACCAGTCACCTACTTAAAAATCAGAGATTTCTAGAAGTGACAGGCTCTACAGGCAGCCAACTGGTTGTTCTGGGTCTCTGGGCTTATTGACAGGGAGAGAGCTGCATGATAGATGTTAATATGGGATTTCAAATTAACTTCTTAAATCAAATAATTGTTAGTTATAGTAAAAGTGAAACTTTACAGTTTTTTAGCATTTTGAGCCTATTTCTTCACATAAGATAGTTTCTTAACGTTTTTCTGGATACTTTTATTTAGTTAACCTTAGCCCAAGAAATGAGGAAAAATATTATTGATACACTGAAAAGGGATGGGGAGACTTGGAAATCTAGGACAGAAGGTAGTCCAACAAAGGCGCAGTACAGAGCTCAGCGCATCCTGGGCACTTCTGTGGCGCCGGCGTTGCCCCAGTGTGGTAGGCACATTTTATTGTGTGGCTCCCAGTGAAATTTATCTTTCCTCCCAGGAAGAACCTCTGCCCCGCCCTCATCGTCATCCTGGGGAACCCCATTCATGACAAAACCATCACCTCTGCGCACAGCAGCAGCAGCAGCGCCAGCGTTGAGCCGGACTCTGCCGCCCCGGCTGTTTCTGACCATGGCCGGGGCTCGGGCTGCTCCTGCACAGCGCCAGCCCTCAGCGGGCCAGTGGCTCGCACCATCTATTACCTCGCCGCTGAGCTGGTTCGGCTGGTGGGGTCGATGGACTCCATGAAGCCCGTGCTCCAGTCCCTCTACCACCGCGTGCTGCTGTATCCACCACCCCAGCACCGCGTGGAAGCCATCAAGATCATGAAAGAGGTAGGGGAGAGTGGGAGGGTGACACCCACTCTGCCCACGGGGCTCAACACGGAGTCCTGCACTCAGGATGCGCTCAAAATGTTTGCTAATCATTTAGTGGCACTTCTTTGCTGCCGGTTGGAATCCAGGAACAGACGGTAGCTCTAAAATCAGGGTGGTATGTGTGTGTTGGGATCCAGGGTAAGGAAGGGTTTGTAACACTCACGGAGGCAAAGCCATTTGATAATTAGCTACGTGTTTGTTAAAACTCCAATAAATGGCTGGGTGTGGTGGTGCACGCCTATAATCCCAGCAGCTTGGGAGGCTGAGGAAGGAGGATCAGGAGTTCAAAGCCAGCCTCAGCAAAAGCGAAGTGCTAAGCAACTCAGTGAGACCCTGTCTCTAAATAAAATACAAAATAGGGCTGAGGATGTGGCTTTGTGGTCCAGTGCCCCTGAGTTCAATCCTTGGTACCTGCCCCCCAAAAAAATCTCAAATGTGCACCTGAGTGAGCCCTAGGATGAGAGTTTATTCTTAGGCGCTGTTTGTGCAAATATGTGTTTACTTACCTTTGCCAAAATTGGATCTCAAAATGATTTTATACTCAGGTTGTAGATTATCTATAAAAAGAGCTTTACTAATCTCTTCCTGCTAAAAGGAATCCCTTTGCCCACCCCACATCCCCATGACTCATTTCTTCCAAATGTGGTGACCTCAGTGAGAATATAAAGGTTGTCTAGCTGGTTGTTGTCATCCCAATGTGCTACTTATAGTTTTGAGGAAGAATTAAGGTTATTTGGAAAGAACTTTGAAAAAGGATTCCCTACTTTTTCCCCAAAGGGGGGGGGGAAGTGATCAGAATTTTTGTTTTTATGGACTTGCTTATAAAAATCAAGTTACTTTTTTCTTAGAGTAACTAACACTCCCCTCTCCGAAATCAGAATAATGAAATCTCTTTGTTCATGATTCATTCATTTTTTAGCAATACTTGCTACCAAGTACTAAAACCTAAATTTAAAAAAAAATGTAAAACATTTCTTACATAACTGATTATTAAATTTTTTAAGATGAGCTGGCTGGGGCAACTGCTGCCCTCCTGGGCTTAGGTGGTGTTCGCTCACAGAATCCCCAGGTGAATCTGTGGTTATTGTATTCCTAAGACCCTCATTCTGCCAGTGCAGGTGGTATGTCATCTTTCAGCCTTGGCACTCCAGTCATACTTTCTCTTGCAGGTGGCAGAATAGCAACATTGGCCACAGGTTGACTTCTGAGGTGGTAGAGCCTCAGACACACAGCAGTGGGGCCATGTATTTGTGAATTATTGCCATATTTTCAGTGATGGTTCTTTATCATCTCGCTCTTGCAGCTGAGACCAAAGAGAAAAATTTGAATTGTTTCTTTCTGTTGTTTTAATGAAATCTGACTAACAAACAGTGGAAAGTTCTGACCCAACATTTCTAGAAATGAAGGAGTGACTTTGATTTATTTCTGGTTAGGAAAATTCGTGCACACAATAATAATTGTTGCGTTTTTTCCTTCTATTTGCCAGGCACTTCATATATATTGCCTTTAATGTCTGTAGTAACTTTGTAAGGTTGGATATCAGCTTCATTGTTACCAAAGAGTGTTGCTGTTTTTTTTCCTTCCAGAGCTTCAAGCAATATCAATCAAAAGGGCAGCTTTAGGAACTGATCACCATTAGGCTAGTGAAGACATCACAGCTTTAGATGTCACCACCCAGATGGCAGGGACCCTCTCCCAGGGACCTGCCCTGCCTCTGTTAAACTTGTTACTTAGCAGAGAAGAGAGAAAGCCTGCTCAGCTCCTCCTCCTCAATCCACGAGTCAGGTCAGGGCTCCCCCTTCACCTGGAAGAAGTGCAATGAGGACGCAAGAGAGACTCCAATTCTTCCTCCACTGGATGCTCCACATAGAACATGAAGTCAGGGGAAAGGGATTTTCTGTCCCACAAAGAAACTAAGGCTTTAAAAGGTCAAATGACTTCCCAAGATTTAAAGAAAGAGAAAAAGTACAGTCCCTTGAGCTCCCTGACTTGAAGCCCATGGTCTTATTCTAACCCTTACTTATTTCTGGACTTGACAGTCATATGACAATACAAATTATTCCAGCAGACACTTTTCTGACCCCGGGCAGCTCCCCACTTCTGAAGCCCAAGGATGAGAGTCAGGATTCAAACCCACTTCCTGTCATTCACCAGTTAGGTGATAGTAGGTTAATTCTTTGACTCTGAATTTATAGTTTTCTCATCTGCACTTTATTAGGATATCCCAAAGTTTACAAGTTCAAAGTGCAACAGTTTGCTTAAGTACTTTATAAGTATAAAATCCCTGATATGTGGTGCACTGATTATACTCATGAGGAAGAGGAAAATGAAACATATGGAGGTTGAAAATAGCTAGTCCAGTCCTGACTCACCTCCCTTTCTCCTGTCTACCCTTTTCCTTTTGTCTTATACAACTTGTTCATAAATCACCACTGTTAACAATTTTGCCATTGCCAGGGCTCTTTAGTGGCTCCTTGTTGCCTCTCTTACCAAGTTTGAATTGCTCTGCTGTTTCCAGAGCCTTCTGCCAGCATTCTTATTTCTCGTCATTTCCCAGGATGCACCATTCTGTCTCTCTGACCCACTCTAATCCCCACTTTTCTGCTTCTATTCAGTCTCTTGCCCCTATTCTCATGGGCCATTGCCACTCCACAGAGTTGAGTGATTACAACAGGAGGGACCCTGTGATTCTTCTCTCCCTGGAGGCAGTATGCCCATTTTACAGATGGTGAAGCCAAAGCTCTGAAAAGAGAAGTCACTTGTCCAGAATTCTATATCTTATGAACAGTAAGACTCAGATGTGAATCCAGGTGTTCTCAGTTCAACTGCCTCTTTGCTATCAAAATTCTCTTCCTTTGTGTCTGTCTCCTCAGATCACTGATCTTGCTCTTTTAAAAACTCTGTGCACCATTTAGCAATTGACTATATGTCCCAATAAGCCGATTGCTTCACAATATGCTTCCTCAACTATATTTTTATATGTATTGCTTTTGTATTTTCCCCAAAATATTTAACACTACAGTGCTTGAATCAGAACATGTTTAATACATTTTGACTTAATGACAGATGGAACTGGAGATAAAGGAATACCTTGTAAAAGCAGCAGTAGCCTTTCCTTCTCCTCACAATTGACAGACGTTGGAGCTTTTGTGACCCATGGTAGAGCCACTTGACATCTGCAGGCTAAGGAAATACAGTCAGCCCTTCTTTTCCATTGGTTCTACATCAGAGGATTCAAACAACCATGATGCAAAAATACTGGGGGGAAAATCGTGTCTGTACCAAAAATTATATCCTGCCATTATTCTCTAAACAATACAGAACAAAAACCATTAAATTGTATTAGACATTATAAGTAATCTAGGGATGATTTAAAGTATATTTAAAGTAAGGTGTAGGTTGTATGCAAATGCTATGACATTTTATATGAAAAACTTGAGCATCCTCAGATTTTACTGTCCACAGAGGGGACTGGAACGAGTCCCCTGAGAGGACTGAGAGAGGACTGTACCCTTCATGTGTTGAATGTATTTTACACAATTTCTTTACTGCAGAGGAAATTAGTTATATTTTCCCCTGTTCACAGATTTTTCTAGTTTCCCAGGTCATTTTGCAGAGATAAGGTTAGAATTAGACAACTTAATCTGAGCAGTGTGTCCAGACAGGGAGTCCAGCAGATGAATGGGGCCCAGGCTGTTCTGAAAAGCAGTGCCTCTGCTTTATACAACAAAACCCATGATTTGGTAAATTTGGTAACCTAGATACCAAAATGTACGGGGTTTATGCCCACAAAGAAAGCCACTCAGTACCCAGGATGTTTGTTTAGCCTTTTAGAATTTAAACGCTTGGTTTATTATTTCCCTGTTCTTATTCTCCAATGTCACTCTGCCATAGGCACTATGTACCTATTGTTCCAAAACATACAGGACATTGTGGTTCTCAAAGTACATTCTGTTTTCTTTTCCCACTTTTACCCACAAAATTCAATTATGAAAAATTACACATTGCCACCTCTTGTCTCTGCTGTGTTGGGCGTCAGAAGGAATTCCTATTCTTCACCAGACCCAGCTCACCCACTGATCCCACGCCCCTCACACCTACCTAAGAAGCCAAGCATGAAAGGGTCTTGCCTTTTGTTATTTGTCAAAGGTCTTCAGAAGCCAAGTCCCTCCATCTCCTTCCCCTCCAGATTCTGAAGCAATTAACAAATAAAAACAAAATTAATGTAGGAAGTAAAAATAGAGTTTTTCTAATTTGTTGCTAGTAAAGGTACATTAGAGAATGTGGTAGATTCCGAGAGAAACGGAGATTTTGAATTCTTATGCCTGAAATAGAGCATTTCAGATTTCCTGCTGTAGGGAATTTCAAATTTCTATTCCTAAGCAATAGAACACTTTCTTAGCGTGCACAAGGCCCTGGGACCAATCCCCAGCACCAAACAAGCAAAACTCCTGTCCCTGGAAAGAGCACTTACCCTTTCAGTAGGAGAGGAGTAGATAGAGGCCCATAGGTCCAGCCACTGGAGTACAGGCCTGTGGGGAGAGGGAGGGAAAGAAACAGGAGGAGGTGGGGAGGGGGAGAGAAAGAGACACAGACCTGGATGACATTAGTCCCAGAACAATCATTTCTGTCTTGCTGTCAATGAAATGTGGGGAAAGGGTAGAAGTGTCATTCTGTACCTCCCAGATATCAAAAGTTTCTGAATTTTTTTTTGTATATGATTTACTTCATAACTTCCTTTGAGTAATCTCTTCTGTAATACTTCAAGAACCCATATTTAATACTCTAAAATAAGTATTTGAAAACCTATGATAAATATATTTTAAAATATTAAACTTATAACTTTTTATTGGTACATATTTATACAGATTAGTGAACCCACTAATTTTGGCATATTTATATATTCATAAAAGCAGATTTTAATTAATTACACTTCCCAAACCTCCCCCACTGTTCTTTCCTCCCTGCCCTGACACCCTTCTGTTTTTTAAATTTATTTATTTATTTATTTGTTCTAATTTGTTATACATGACAGCAGAATGCATTCCATTTCATAGTACACATATGAAGCACAATTTTTTATTTCTCTGGTTGTACACAAAGTAGAGTCACACCATTCATGTGTTCATATATGTACCTAGGGTAATGATGTCCATCTCATTCCACCATCTTTCCTATCCCCGTGCCCCTTCCCTTTCTCTCCTTCCCCTTTGCCCTAGCCAAAGTTCCTCCATTTCTCCCATGCTCCCCGCCCCCCATTATGTATCAGAGAAAACATTTGGCCTTTGGTTTTGGGGGATTGGCTCACTTCACTTAGCATGGTATTCTCCAACTCCATCCATTTACCTGCAAATGCCATGATTTTATTCTCTTTTGATACTGAGTAATGTTCCATTGTGTATACATACCACAGTTTCTTTATCCATTCATCTACTGAAGGGCATCTAGGTTTGTTCCACAGTTTAGCTATTGTGAATTGAGCTGCTATAAACATTGATGTAGCTGTGTCCCTGTAGTGTTGTTTTTAAATCCTTTGGGTATAAATTGAGGAGAGGGATAGCTGGGTCAAATGGTGGTTCCATTTCAAGTTTTCTAAGGAATCTCCATACTGCTTTCCAGATTGGTTGCATCAATTTGTAGTCCCACCAGCAATTTAAGAGTGAGCCTTTTCCCCACATCCTCGCCAACACTTGTTGTTTGAATTCTTATGCCATTCTGACTGAAGTGAGATGAAATCTTAGTTTTGATTTGCATTTCTCTAATTGCTAGAGATGTTGAACATTTTTTTCATATATTTGTTAATTGATTGTATATCTTCTGAGAAGTGTCCATTCAGCTCCTTCACCCATTTATTGTTTGGGTTATTTGGGGTTTTTTGGTGTTCCATTTTTTGAGTTCTTTATAAATCCTCTTTGCTAAATTGGGTTTCTCATGCATATATATCTCATATATATAGATTAGTGCTCTATCTGATGTGCACATCGTAAAAATTTGCTCCCATTCTGTAGGCTCTCTCTTCACCTTACTGATTGTTTCTTTAGATGACAAAAAAGCTTTTCAGTTTGAATCTATCCCATTTATTGATTCTTAGTTTTGTTTTATTTCTGTGCTTTAGGAGTCTTGTTCAGGAAGTTGAAGATTTGGGCCTACTTTTTTTCTATTAGGTGCAGGGCTTCTGATCTAATTCCTAGGTCCTTGACCTACTTAAAAGTTTCTGATTCTGTAGTAAAAAAAATATGGAAAAAAAATAAAGAATAGAACCCTTTAAAATATGGCTTTTTCTACTTATATACTTCATATACCTTTTCCTGTTTTGCTTGGAAAATGAACAGACATAATCATGGGATACCTGTTCCACAAACCCTTCATTAACCATTCTTTCCTTCAATAAGTTAACCTCAAATGACATTTTCTGTAAAGGTTTTACCATATGAAAACAAAAATTGATTGAAACTGAACAATTATGAAAATTCTGTACATGAGAACTTGTGGGAAGATGGCTAATGCTGTCGGTTGAAGGATACTTTTAGCTTTAACAGCTTATATTAGAGTAGAAAACTTAAAATAACATCCTAATTCTCCAATCTAAGGTATCTGGGGAAAAGGCCAAAATAAATGTCAAGAAGTAGAAAAGAGGCAAAGTAAAGATAAAAGCAAGAAGTAATGTGATAAAAAGTGGATACAGATCCTGGGCCATCACAGTCACCGTGTGTTGTGGTCGCAGGTTGTTCAGAAAGAGTGGGAGTTTCATTGGTAACTGGAGACTCCTCATTTAGGTGGAAGAGGTGGTGACATCTGGATTGTGGCCCATAAAAAATGACTTGTAAGAAATTTAAAGACAAATTTCCTCAGCAACAGTTGTTGGGTGGAGGAAAAGCAGTCAGGTTAGCACCTAAAAGTCTCCAAAGGAGAAGACCATGAAATCCCAGTGCTCCCAGGTACCTCCATAGCCGGTAAGCAGAGAGATCTCGATGAAGAGAAAGATAGAATTTAGGTAGCTGAAAGTGAGCTTGGTAGTAAATTCCAAATGTCTTACCACTAAAAGGTCAGAAACAAGAGATGCACCTTGAAGTAATGCTTACAGCTGAAGAAGGTCTAGTAAGATCCTGAAATGCTGGAAAATCCTCTTTGCTAAATTGGGTTTCTCATGCAAAAATCTGCTATTGCAGATTATGCATTTACATCTGTAAAGCCTGAAATTGGAACAATTCTGTACAATGATTTCAAACAGATCTCAGGAGCTGATCCTTCCAGATTTAACAGAGAAGCATTTATGAACAAAGGGATTGTCCACAAGTTCCCCAAGCATAGAGAAAGAACCAGACAACTAGGGGGTTTCCGCTTTCTTCCCAAACTCAATCAAAACTGCCTTTTAAACCATACTATTGCTTGCAAAGCAGTTAGAGTGGTGCAAAGAGAAACCTCAGACAAAACCCTCGCTCCCATCAATGAATACAATGGACTTGTCAGATGCCCAAAATAAATTTCATGAACTGATAAGCCAACTCTAGAATCCTGAAGAAAGTTTCTTTTAAAGTATCTATGTCGCTTTACCTTATTTAGTGCACCCCCCTGCAAAAAAATTATTATTTATATTTTCTACTTTTATTTGAAAAATAGAAACATGACTCCAGAGAGGACTTTGAAATCCCAACATTACATCCCTATCTCTACAGTTACCTGAGAAGGAACTGAAGAATTCAAGAAAACCACTGGATAATCAATCACACCAACCAGGAAGATGGTGTTTACCCTACCAGTGACTTAATTTACCAGGCTTCCAGTACAGCATTTTATACCAAGCCATCATAAAAACATGATGTTACTAGCTCCAGAAATGATAGAACTTAAATCTAATAAAAATAGTCCTAAGAAAGAAGGAAATCTTGTCATTGGTAACAACATGGATGAATCTGGAATATATCAGGTTAAGAGAAATAAGCCAGGCATAGAAAGACAAATTCCACATGATCACATTTACATGTAGAATCTAAAAAACTTGAACTTATGAAGAGAGGAAGGGTGGTTACTAGGAGATGAAGGAATGGAGCTAGGGAGATGTTGGGTACAAAGGGTACAAAGTTTCAGTGTCAGTAAGTTATGAAGAGCTGTTATACAGCATAGTGACTGTATATAACATTCCAGCATATCTTGAAAATTGGTAAGAAAGTAGGATTTAAGTATTCTCACCACACACACAAAAAATGTCTATGAGGTCATACGTGTTAATTAGCTCTGTTGAGCCATTCCATATGTTTACCTATTTCAAAACATCATGTTGTACATGATAAATATATAGTTTTATGTATCAATGAATAAAAATATTGAAATTATTTTTAAGGGCAAATATATTACAGAGGGTCAATAAAGCAGAAAGTGTTAAGACTCTGAAAGGACAATAAAATTGGAAAACTTCTGTCTAGAGCAACATAAAAATTCCAGAACAGGTTCAAATGAACAGAAATAAGAATGAAAAAGATGCACCCAGCTGTAGACGTTAGGAATACTGAGGAAGTGGGAGAGGGTGTCAAGGCAACTTTGAAAACTTAGCAAATTTGAAAACTTGGATAAAATGGATAAATCCCTAGGAAATAATGCAACTTTTAAAAAGTTGGCTTAAAAAAGAAATTGAGGGCCTGAGTACTCCCACTATCATTAAAGGAACTGAATCAGTAGCTTAAATATTCTTGTTAAAAATATATACCATCCCATATGGCGTTAGAAATAAGTTATCAAGCACCTAAGGAATAGATTATTCTGATATTTTATGAACTTTTCCAGACAACAGAAAGAGAAAATAGTTCTCAAACCAGTCACCCCGCTAGCTAAACTTGAAAGCAAAATAAGACAGAGTCCAGGAAAGTGACATGACAGCCACATCTCAGATCAGAAATGCAAATGCTTTCTGCTTCTGTGCTGCAGCCTTTCTATTTGTTTTTTAAGCAATACCTTAGAATTTTCTTTGTCTGAGCCAGCCCTCACTAGGGAGCTGGGGTGCCTCATATGTACTATCTGACAAGAAGAATGCTTAAATCAGTTTTATTAAGATTTTGTAGTTACAATTAGTTTTATTAAAATTCGTAGTTAGCATCTCTAATCTAAAATCTGAAATGTTCCAAAATGCAAAATGTTTTGATTGCTGAGATGATATCACAGGTAGAAAATTCCACACCCTGAAACTTCATGCACAAAATTTATTAAAAATATCATATACTTTATATACAGAGTTATGAAAAATTGTTCTGTGGATGGGTAATTATGAATGTAATGCCTTCCACTGTTGTCATGTATGTAAAAAATAAATAAAAAATAAATAAATAACAATAGCAAAGCAAATCTACTTAAAGACAGATAAAAACAAACAATAACAATAAAAAAAAATCATATAAATCAACTTCCTACTATGTGTCTAAGGCAAATAGGAAACACAAATGAATTTAGTGTTCAGATTTTTGTCCCCTCCCCAAGATATTTATACACACACACACACACACACATACACACATACACACACACACACACACACATATATATATATATATATATGAAAATATATCAAAATCTGAAAAGAAAAAAAAAGTCTGAAAGCAGAAGCACTTTTGTGCTAAGCTTTTTAGCTAATGGGTGCACAAGCTATGGTTGTTTCTCCTTACACTGTATCACTCAGTAGAGAAAGAACAAGCTTATTTGTTCTCACAATTTTAAAACTTCGTGTTACTCACTTTTCTGTTATGTTTTTCCCCTTTTTCCTAAAGATCTTCGGGAGCCCACAGCGTCTCTGCGACTTGGCAGGTCCCAGTTCCACTGAGCCAGAACCCAGAAAAAGATCAATTTCCAAAAGAAAATCTCACTTGGATCTTCTCAAACTGTATGATACTTCCCCCACCCCTTTTCCTTTTTTTTAGGGGGGCGGGTATCAGGGATTGAACCCAGAAGCACTTAACCACTGAGTCACATCCCCTTTTAATTTTTAAATTTTGAGACAGGGTCTTGCTAAGTTGTTTAGGGCTTCATTAAGTTGCTGAGGCTGGCCTTTAACTTGCAATCCTCCTGCCTCAGCCTCCCAAGTTGCTGGAATTAGAGGCGTGCACCACCATACCCAGGGATACTTTCCCCTTTTAGATCTATATTGCTTGGTGAAAACTGCTTCTCTGAATTCTATTCATCTTATTTCCAAATTCCTGAAATTTTCATGAACCTACATTAAATGAAAGGTGCATATTTATTAATTACCATTTGCAAGTCATAGAAAAAGACATCATAGTTTATTATAATCATACTACTTTCCTTATTTTCATATTGACTTAACACCAGATATGTAAAATGAAATGTTAAAAAAATATTCATTGGAGTTGTTTTAGGAAAAACTTTTTGATCTTTAATACAGTAACTGTAGAATTTCTTCACCTATAGCCTCAATGGAAAACTGAATATTATATGATTTTAGTAGCTGTATTGACATGTATCTGTTCAGAAGTGTTTGTTTTATAGAGGAAGATCCACATTATCACAAAACATTGTATCAATTTTCTATTGGAAAAAAAATGAGCAAAATATAAAAGTGAGATTGTTCAGTGTCTGTCCTTAGGAAAATTATAAGTTTCCTTCAGGAATTTTCATTTGTACCTTGATAAACCAGCCAACTGAGAGGGAGTGTGATTCAAGGTGGGCCACTTTGCCTGGAGGTTTTCTTAAACTGAGAATGGTAGCTTCATTTCCTGTTCGGATCATTTTTAACTTACTGCAAATTAGACGACCTCTTTTGACCGCTGTTCACTTTGCCAGGCTAACAATTCTGGTTCATCTGGGGACATTTTTCTCTTTCACACACATGTGCTCTTCCTCTCTTGAATGCTGTCCAGCATCATGGACGGCATGACCGAAGCGTGCATCAAGGGCGGCATCGAAGCCTGCTACGCTGCGGTGTCCTGCGTCTGCACCCTGCTGGGGGCCCTGGAAGAGCTCAGCCAGGGCAAGGGCTTGAGTGAGGGTCAAGTGCAGCTGCTGCTCCTGCGCCTCGAAGAGCTGAGGGACGGGGCCGAGTCCAGCCGAGACTCCATGGAGATCAACGAGGCTGACTTCCGCTGGCAGCGGCGAGTGCTGTCCTCAGAGCACACGCCGTGGGAATCAGGGCACGAGAGGAGCCCTGACATCAGCATCAGTGTCACCACAGACACAGGCCAGACCACCTTGGAAGGAGAGTTGGGTCAGACGACCCCAGAGGACCACACAGAGAACCACAAGAATGGGCTCAAATCACCAGCCATCCGAGAGGACAAGGAGACGCTGGGCAAAGTGTCAGAACCAGAGCCAGTAGACCAGCCTGACGTGGTTCAGAGAAGCCACACGGTGGCTTACCCGGACATCACTAACTTCCTGTCTGTGGACTGCAGGATGAGGTCCTATGGATCTAGGTACAGTGAGAGCAACTTCAGTGTAGATGACCAAGACCTGTCGAGGACAGAATTTGATTCCTGTGATCAGTACTCAATGGCAGCAGAGAAGGACTCGGGCAGGTCTGATGTGTCTGACATCGGGTCGGACAACTGTTCACTGGCTGATGAAGAGCAGACCCCGAGGGACTGCCTGGGCCACCGGTCCTTTCGAACAGCAGCTCTGTCTCTCAAACTGCTGAAGAACCAGGAGGCGGACCAGCACAGCGCCAGGCTGTTCGTGCAGTCCCTGGAAAGCCTCCTTCCTAGGCTCCTGGCTCTCCCCACTGTGGAAGAGGTAGACTCCGCCCTCCAGAATTTTGCCTCCACTTTCTGCTCAGGTTTGTAAACCATTTTTTACTAGGTGCTCAGAACCCTTTGCCTTCCTTAGCCATGAGCATCCTGCTTGCAGTTTGGAATCTCTGAGTGTGTTAGTGAATCTTGGGGTTTTCTCTATTTAAAGAGAGCACAGGAATGTAAGACTTAGTGGTCGAACCCGATTCCTGGACAGAGGAGCTCGACAGCCTGGGCTTCTGACCTGCTTGGTATCCCTTGTACCAAGGTGAGAGCCCAGCAAACATTGTTGGTCCCCCAGGATACCTGTGTGTCCAAGCACAGTGCTGCCACTGCTTGTGATAACCATGTTCTTGAGTCATCAAGAAATGGTAAAACTATACATAGAGTCTTCTGTTTGAAATTAATATTATCCATATAAAACCTCCATTGCATGTCTCAGTATTTCATATATAAAATTTAGGTCTCCCAGAACTTTGTGTTTATAAACACCATCCTCCAGTCATTTCAGATAAATGAGTTGTTCTCCACAGTGAATACTGACTTCCAAAGCTCTCTTCATTTCTTAAAAGAATTAAGAAATATAATCCTAGCAAGGTCTTTTGTAAAATTTGAGGCTAAAGTAAGTCTTTGAGTTTTTGTTTTTGTACCTTTCAAATTTATGCTTATTTTTAGTACATGCAAAACAGAGCTTGCATTAATTATCTTTTAATGCAGCCATTATACCTGGTACTCCAAATGTTGCAAACTGACCAAAACTTTATAGGTTTATAAAGTATCCCATCAGAGCCAATATGTTGTATGAAATTATTTTTTACATGTAGAAATCAATACCTTGAAAAATACTTCATAAATTTTTCATTGTTTCTAAATATGGTTTTTAGTGATTGTGATTAAGTTACTTGCTTGCCTTTTTAATTCTAATGACACCCACAGTGCTCTTACCATTTAGGAGTTGGTCTCTAAGTGCAAAGTGTAGACCTGTCAGTCTGTGGTCCTGTTACCAATAAGGTAAATCTCCTTGGTTACCCACTTTGGTTTGATTGATGGCACTGGCCATGGTTGTGGGTCAGCTGAAGCCACTGGATGCTGGCCTATGGCCATTTCTGAACCAAGGCCTTTGCTCTTGCTCCCCTTGCAAGGGCCAACTCCAAGATTATTAATTAACAAAAGAGAAACATTGGTGCTATACTGAGACAAGGGAGATGGCAGATTTCCCTTGTTACCCCAAGAGAAAGTTAATGAAAGTAAAAAAGAAAGGAAAAACTTTGCTGAGCTATAAACCAGATCTTTGGCTTTTGAGGGCTGAAGATCAAAGAAGTGGCACTCTACCACTGAGCTATACCTCCAGCCTTTCTTATTTTATTTTTTTTGAGACAGGGCCTCACTAAGTTGCTGTGGATGACCTTGAACTTGCCATCCTCCTGCCTCAGCCTCCAAGGTAGCTGGGATTGCAGGTGTGCGCCACCACACAGCTTCTTTTATCTATTTTGACATCAAAAGCCTCAAACCTTTTGCAAAAAACTTTCCTTGTGAGCTCACCCCTGCCCCAGTTAGTGGGGCTGCTTTCTTGGCTGAATCATGTCCTTTTGTCTTTCTCAATGATTCCTATCGTCAGACAGCTAATGTGCTGTTGAAATGAGCCTCCTCAATTCCACATGACTCAAGAGAGCCTTTCTTTTAAAACAAAGCTTCTTATGGTTAGGAATTTGTAATCGTTCAGACAAAAGATGGTTTTTATAAAGACGGTACTTGACCTGAGCTGAGGTTACTGCAGGAGTGCCTCTCTGATTCCATGTAGAGCAAGGTGGCATCTGTGTAAGGTGGCTCCTCAGGATGAAAAGAACGCTCCAGCCTTGCACAACAATAGAGAAGGGGTCACTGGCACTTATTGTTCCTTGAGTGAGTGGTTTTCAGTGAGTCTTGAAACTTACTATGACCAAATTGAAGGCTGGCTGCCAGCAACAGGAGATTTATAATTTACCAAATCTCACAAACAATCAAAGAACACAAATGAATTTCAGTTGGGCAAGAAATCACTGTTTCCTTGCATTTAAGACAAATCTGATCAAGACCCCTAGCCTCCCCAGCTGGCAGGATATTTGGTTTCTGCCTCCCTTCAGGTTCCCATCCCAGAATCAAACTCAAAGCTTGAGCTTTGGGAAATCTGTAAAGGGAAACCTCTCACCTCTCACACACCAGTTAGCCCCCTTCCCAGTTCACAGCTCCTGGGGTTCCCGTGGTTTTGCTATCTCCCTGCCAGCCTGGGGCTGGGATGCTCTGGTAAGTCTGGAAGCCCCTGCTCTTTATTATCCATCCCCTTCCTGGTCCTGCTAGCTCTGCAGGTACAGAGGAGCTGCAGGAAGGGACAAGCACCATTATTATTGGTTTAATAAATAAGAAAGGAAGTATTCCAGAAACACAGTTGGAGAACAGATAATCTAACAAAAATCCTTCTCCAGCATCCTGCAATTTGTGGAATATAAAATTTGTAGAATATAATACTATAAAGACAAAATAAAAATAAACAATAATCATATCACCTTGAGGTTGTCCCTGAAATATTTTGGCTTTTTTTTTTTTTTTTGTGCAGGAATTTTTCAGCATATAAATGTGCTCATTTGCATGTATCTGCAATAATAATAATAATAGTTAACACTAACATAGCACTTCCTGTGTACTCTGTATTCTCTAGGTGTTTTAGGTATATTAATTCATGTAATACCCTATAAGGTAGCAGAGCTATTATCCCCACTTTATTATTTTTTTTGAGGGGGGTTACCTGGGATTGAACTCAGGAGCACTCGGCCACTGAGCCACATCCCCAGCCCTATTTTGTATTTTATTTAGAGACAGGGTCTCACTGAGTTGCTTAGCACCTCGCTTTTTGTGAGACTGGCTTTAAACTCGTGGTCCTCCTGCCTCAGCCTCTCGAGCTGCTGGGATTACAGGCGTGTACCACCACACCCAGCTGTTATCCCTACTTTATAGATGAGGAAATTGAGACATGGAGTAGTCAGTCACCCAAACTACCACAGCTAGGAAGAGCTGGACCCAGGATAGGAAGCTGAGTAGTGTGGCTGCAAAGAGCAAGCTCTAAATTGTCACACTCCCAGTGCCTGGGTGGGTAGAGAGAGAATACATACACGTAGACAGGGAAAGAATGTAGTGTATGTCATTGTTATGTTGCACTTAATATTTTGTTAGCATATTCCTGTTTCTTTGAATATTCTTTGAAAGTATGATTTACGATACCTCTATAACATTCATTTCTGTTAACTCACCACAAGATATTTAATGTCTCTTTTTGGTGGACCCCTACGTTTGTCTCTACATGCTTCTCTTGAAGGCTTTTTAATTATTTAGGAAATGCTGTGCTTTTCAAGAACACAAAAGTCCCCTGGAGTTGATCTGCCCTGAAAAGTCATAACACAGAAAACATGGAACAGCTGTCCAAGGCTCAAAAGTCAATGTTGGCTCCTGGGAATCCATACTATGGGGGCAGGGACTCAAAGATATATGTATCGAAATATATATGGTAGCATTATTTAACAGTAAAAATATCAGAAATAACCAAAATGCTCCAAAATATGGGAAAGATGAAAAGATTAAAGTTGGCACCATATAGCCATTAAAAATGATGATTTTGAGTAAAAATGAATGATATGGAAAATGGTCAAAATGTAATTTTTAAAAGAGAGATTCAAGATTAACATTAAAATATTAATATTACTTACACAGAATGGCATGATTATGGATTAATTTTATTTTCTTCTGTGTATCTTTTCCCAAATCTCTAAGCATAATTTCTTATAACTTTTACCAGGAAACAAAGCAGCAATATTATATAAAAATTGGAACTATAGACTCTAAGGGATACAAAGTCATATAACCTTATCATGGAGGCTTAGAAAGTTGATAAGGCCCATGCAGCACTGTTGAGAGTAGCTGTAAGAACATCGTTGTGCACAGTTGGTGAGAGGAAAACATAGTATGTATAAAACATCATGGAAGATGTTTGGGCCATATCTATTAAACTGAATATATTTATTCTGCTCTTGGAAAATTATCCCACCAATACACATGCTAAAAGTAGTTCATCACCTCAGCTTTTTTTCGTAATTGAAACAACAGAAATGACCACCAGGTGAACGTTAATCATTCTGATCCCCAGGCAACCATGCAGGGCCCATGCACACGTGTTCAAGAGAGTAAGGCAGATCTGTAAGTGCTCATATGAAGAGAGGCCTAAGACATCTTCTTGGCAGATGTCACATTACAAAATGATGTGTACAGTATGATTTTATATGTGATTATATTTCCATACATACAAGGAAGTTTTGCTGGGAACATTATCACTGAGATTCCGGAGAAACAAGATTGTTCTTACTTTTTTCTACTCTATAGTCTTGTTAAATATTTTAAATGGGGGTATTTAATGTGAATTTAAAAAGAACTGTTATATTATCTTGACATGGAAGAGACTCTTAAGGGTCTTTTGTGCTTATTTTGTATCCATTTGTGCGCTGGTAACCAGTCAGGGAGGTGATCTATCCTCCTCTTCCTGACAATAAAGAGCATTTCAGTTGCAGAGGGACAGAATGAGCTTCAGTTATTGAAACTGGGAAACACAAATACAAAAGCCAGAATATGTTAAAGGTTCCTTTAGTTTGTCACTCCAGATCAGGTAGCACTGCAATGAGACCAATCAGAAGGACGCTTGGGAAATAAAAGATCAGAGAGTGACATGTAACAGCAGAATCTCCTCACAGCATTGGAAGCCAGTATAGCATGGCACAGTGCAAGAATCCTGAAGTTTGGGCCCAGAAGACCTTTGCCAATTTCTAGCTGTATAACTTTGAGCAAGTTAGTTAATATCGCTTAGGCACTTTCCTTGCTAGTAAACAATGTTTGGGAAGAATCAAATTAAATAATAGATGAGGAGAGATTGGTTTTAGGCAGTTGGAATTTAATTAATTATACCCACTGTGTTCTTTCCCTTATTATTAATATTACCAGTGAACTATATCTGGTATAGCAAGCAAATATCTGTTTTCCTTAACTGGATGGAATATCCCTCATTTTGTTTTATTCACACATTTGCTAGCTCTTTGTAACTGAAGAAATTAGTCTGCATGCAGATACAGGCCAATACCAACAGATTGCTGCCAACAAGTCGAACAAATTATTTAAAAATTGGGTACATCCACTAGCAGCGCATTCCAGGAGTATGCTGCATCTCTATCTGAATCTCCATGTGGATAGATACAAGAGGTGTGTTTTTCCCCTTTTTATCTTTGAGCAAGTGTTCAGTTTTCTGAAATATGTTGCAAGGGAAATAGTAGCTGATTTCAAAATCTTTAGAAGAGTTATGACTGGTGTCTAAAATCAGTACAGATTCTTCCCCCACCCCTTATTCACAGACTCAAATGTATCTTTCACTTATTATCTAAAGTACTTAAATTCCTATTCCTGAACACTGCTTTTTGGTTTACAATGCAAAGAGATGAATTTTAGGCCCTCTATCTCTTCTGGAGAACTGGAGGCAACCCCACCAGGACCTTCAGAGTTCTGGGGGTTCCCATAGACCACTGGGGCTGAGTCGTAATTTCATGTCCTGCTCTACATTTCAAGGACAATGTAATTTTCAGATCCTGCTCTCAACCTGACCCTCCTTTTAAAAATGCACCTTGGCTCATGATCATAAAGTACGCTCAGCAATCTCTTAGGGCAGCAGCAGAATTCTGTTAGCACTCTGTAAAGCCAGGTGGGGGTGATACCTCGTCTCAAACTGTCTGTGGTAGTTCTGCTGGAATTGCACACGCACATGCACACACATACACACACGCATGCACACACACACGCATGCACACACACACACGCATGCACACGTGTACTCTCAGATGTGCTTACTCCCACCATAAAATTTTGGAAAGATCATCATTTTTTTTTTCAATTTCAAAAGCTTTTTCTGGCCCTTCTTGCTAGCATGTTCCCTAAGCCACAACCCCAGCCCCATAACTTTTTAAGAAAAAAAAATTGAAAAACAAACCAATAGCTATTACATGGTTGTGTGCCTCTCTATTCCCCCATTTTTATAAAAATGGCTTGAGATAAAATTTACACACCATAGTTTAACCATTTGGTGTGCACAATTGTTTTTGATATATTGCATTATTGTTTGTTTTAACAGTGGTAAAATGTATGTGACACTAATATTTCTATTTTAATCATTTTTGAGTGTATAATTTGGCACTAACTACATTCGCAATATTTTGAAACCATTGCCACTATTTCCAGAATTTTTTTAAAATTATACCAAATAGGAACTATCCTCTCCCCTCTGGTAACCTCTAATCTGTTTTCTGTCTCTATGAATTTATCTATTCTAGGTACTGCACATAAGTGAATCATACATATTTGCTTATTTCACTCAACATAATGTATTTTTTATTTATAACATAATACCTTTATTTTATTTATTTTTATGTGGTGCTGAGGATGGAACCCAGGGCCTCACATGTGCTAGGCAAGTGCTCTACCACTGAGCCCCAGCCCCAGCCCAGCTTAATGATTTGAAGGTTCATCTATGTCATAGCGGGCACCAGAGCTCTCATTCCTGTTTATGGCTGAATAATATTTCATTTACATACATGCCAGATTTTGTTTATCCAGTTGTCCTGGCTAGATTCTTGGATTATTGCCACCTTTTGCTTCTTGGTTGTTATGTGGTTCAAATCCTTGTTTTCAATTTTTTTTTTTTAAATATAACTAGAAATGGAATGGCTGGATCATAAGGTAGTTCTATATTAAGCATTTTGAAAAGTTCGTATTTGAGAGTAACTTCCATAATCATCTCACGTGCATGATTGCATCTTGTTCTCATAGTAGTTTTGTTCATTCATTCTTATTCAGATATTCAACAAAAATTTGTAAGGGTCTATTATGTGTTGGGCACCATTCTGGACACTGGGGATTCTGTAATAAACAGAACTAGTAAAGTCATACCTTCTCATAGACCTTAAGTAATAGTGATACTGGCAGAAATTAAAGAAATAAATATTAGTATAATGTTGGCTAGAATAAATTCCATTGAGGCATAAAAAAATGCAGAGTGAGTTGGGCGCAGTAGCGCATGCCTGTAATCCCAGCAGCTCAGGAGGCTGAGGCACAAGGATCACAAATTCAAAGACAGATTCAGCAACTTAGTGAGATACTGTCTCTAAATAAAAGTTAAAAAAAAAAAAAAAGTCTGGGGATGTGGCCTAGTGGTTGAGGGCCCTGGGTTCAATCTGGTACCAAAACAAAACAAAACAAAAAAGACAGCAGGGTGAGGAAATAGAGTATTCGGGGGGTGGTGGGATTCTATTTAGATGGAATTGAAAGGGAAGAGAGCTGAAAAACTGACACTTGAACTGAGAAATGAAAGAATCAAAGGAGCAAGTCATTAGGCGATCTTCAGGAAACCATTTTGGAGAGTGACAAAAGTGATGCAAAGATCCTGAAGCAGGCCCAGGTGGGTGTGGTGATGAGAGAGCCAGAAGATCAGAGGGCTGCAGAAGTGAGAAGGAGAGGGGAAGGGGAGGCTGGGGTTTTGTTATATTGTCATGGGAAGCCACTGGAGAGTTTGAGCAAGGAATAGAATGTAGTCAGTTATTCTCCCTATTCATAGGAAAACAAGGTGAGAGAGGACTTAAATGATTTACCAAAGTTGCAGCTGCTAAGTATCAGATCAAGGTACAGCTCAGGTAGATGTACATTCTTCCTCCTGTGTGTCTATCTGGTCCTATCAGCATCTGGCTGGCTGCTGTTGCTATACTATGCTGTAGAAAGGCTCTCCACCATGCACTATCCATCCCTAGGACCAATTCTCAGCTCCCCAGACGCGGGTCTCAGCAAGCATCTTGTTTGAAGCCCCACTGCTCTCTCAACTCCCCCCCCAGGCATGATGCACTCTCCCTGCTTTGACGGGAGCAGCAGCCTGTGCTTCCAGATGCTGATGAACGCGGACAGCCTGTACACAGCCGCACACTGCGCCCTGCTCCTGAACCTGAAGCTCTCCCACGGTGACTACTACAGGAAGCGGCCGACCCTGGCGCCTGGCATGATGGTGAGTGTGCGTCTCACTGTGGCTGCTCCAGCCTCCTGGCTACACAGCTGAGCATCGGTGCCTGGAGAGGATCAGCACAGCGTGTTCTAATCCACACCGCTCAGCCGTGGTCGTGTCCGTGGGCACAGATTGGCAATTTGCACCATGCCGTGAGCTACAGAGCTGCCCACAGGGAACGATAGCCAGGCAAGAACTCTGAATCTTGCTGATGGCCCAGTAATTCGTCTGGTGGCTCTGTCAAACGTGTGTAAAACACGTTTAAAAAAAACACATCAACACATTGAGATCAGAAGATGTACAGGGAATTTCCTGAAAAATGAAGATGTACTGTTACAAACCTCTTGGTTGTATTCCAGAACATTCCCAGACCTAGCCAGAACTGAGGCTGCTGACTGCTGCTGATGAAGCAGCTCCTGTAGGGTGTTGATTGAGAAGGACACTGATTAGCTGTAGCTGGGCCCCTTAACTGAGCAAGCCACTCAGAGTTATCCTCTGATATCAGTGTGTGAGGCTGAATCCGTGGATCTTCAGAAGGGAATCAACAGCCATTTGTTTGCTTAATACATTATGCATTCCCAAGGGTGAGTGATTATTTCATGAGGATAGTCAGGTGGCTCTTAAGGTACACATGTTCCTTAGGGGAGCACATTCCATCTCTGTATTGTTGGAGCAGGGAGAAGAGGAAGCTGTCAAAGGTGGCTGTGCAGTCTGCGGCCCTCTCCCCAGTACAGTTAGAATATAAAGTGCAGCATCTTATCCTCCTACGGGGTACCTGTCAAATGACGGCAGAAGTGAAAAGGACTACATGAAGTTGGGGACTTCTCCATCTCAGCCTCTCCCCCCCTTGCAGCTTCCCACCCCCAAATAAAAAGCCCTGAATCAGTGGCAGGGGAGGGGGTTGATCTGAAGAGGTGGCTTGGGAACCTGTTCATTTGCAGAAGGTCACATGTGGGTTCCTTTTAATATGCTCACTCTGCAGAAAGAGTTCATGAAACAGGTGCAGACCAGCGGGGTGCTGATGGTCTTCTCCCAAGCCTGGATCGAGGAGCTATACCACCAGGTGCTTGAGAGAAACATGCTTGGAGAAGCTGGCTACTGGGGCAGCCCTGAGGACAACAGCCTTCCCCTCATCACCATGCTGACCGGTGAGTGGCTCTTTCCACTCGGCAGGGTAGGAAGGCTCGTAATCAAAGTCTCTTTGAGGTAGAAGTTGTGCTTCAAGCAGACTTTTGAAACAGCACCTACAAAGCTTCTCTGGTAGTCGGTGACAGTTCCAGAGAAGTGTCATGAATGCAACCTCACAAGTATTTTCTGTCCTTTTTGCATGGGGAGCCGGTAGGGCTCTCTGTGTCCTAGTAGACAGGGACTAACTTAGCACCGTTGCCTATGGAGCAGGCTATAGGCCTCTTCAGTGAATACCTAGTACTTTCTGGGCACAAGGCCCAGAGTTACTCCAGGAAGCTCTCACATGCTAGGAGAGGCCCTCTACCATTTACTGCTCCTGGGATTTGACCACCAATATAAAACCATTGACCTTAAACTTGGCCTTGTTCCCATTTCCTATCCATATCAGAGCTCCTCCCTTCCCCTCCCAGCTCTCCCAGAATTCACAATAATGCTAATACACACCTTCCCTGTCTAGTATCTTTCCCTTTCAGTGTCCAGAGTTTTTAATATCCTGTTCAGCTATTAGAAATTTCATATGACAGTAAGGAGAGCAGTCTTCAGTATCATGTTGGAGCACATTTGGATTTTTTGTTTGTTGTTGCTTTTGGCAGATCTTGTTGGTCTTTCCTGACTTGGCCAAGATGTCAGTTAAAGATCAGGAAGTATCCAAGCGTTTGCTCTGTTCATCAGAAGTGTTAATCAGTTAGATCTTCAGGTTTGCTCTGTATTTGTTCAGAGATTGCAAGCTGGTGTCTGATCTGAATTCTCATCTCATAGTTCCAGCTGATAGGACATGAAGGACAAATGTTGCAGCCTTCACTATAGTGTCCTATATCCTCATTCAGCTAAATAGCTCTGTATTGGGCAGGAGCAATGTTGTGCTGAGCTGCACAGTCCTTCTGGGCAGCACAGTCCAGCTGGGAAGCTGATCTGTTGGCCAAATGGCATGTCATGTTGCCTGCAGCTGGTATTGGGGGCTCTTATAAGTTGACAGATTTGACTATTGGCAGATGGAATCCAACAGTGAGGAATTTGGGACATGGCACTATTGAGGAACCATGCAGGAAGTCAAGATATATATATATCTTGTCCCCGTGGGGCAGAGTTCTGGTCATTATCTGGCATTTGTAGTCTTGCTTCCAGAACAAGGATGGAGCTGGGGAGGCAAGACTGGTTCTCAAGCATTGCAGATCAAAATCCCTGGACAGTTACCAATTTGTATTTTGTTGATTACAATAGCATTCACATTCATTTGAAAAAATAATAGTCTATACCTATGAGAGACATTTATTTAATGTATCTATAAGCAATACTTGGTTTTCATAAAACCCCTTCAGTAGGGATGGAGAATTCTGTCCAGAGCTTATAAATATCTTGGAATTTGGATCTCCAACACGCCAACTCTAATTCTTCAATTTTCAAATACCACAGTTTCTGCCAAATAAGTCTGTAAAACTATTACCTGAGGCTAAATAAAAGGGGTCATTCAGTAAATGTAGAATGAGCAACAGACCATTCATAGTGGTCGTATTCATCAAACACCATTAATGGAACAGTAAGTTCAATTGCTACATCCAAAGAAAAGTTACTTAGCTTCAGTTTAATGGTAGAAAAATAGTCTTTTCACGGGAATTTAGCAAAACAAGATTTCATGAATCTTAGCAGTAAATTCCATATGTGAAGCAGCATCTTACTACATTTTGGAAGCTTCTGTCTGATTGCTTCATTGTGTACAAGAAGCATCAGCAGCAATATGATCACCAACATGGCACTGAGTGGATGTTCCTGGTGCCACGTCAAAGCCTTCTACAGCATTGTGAAGTTTAGTGCTTAAATAAACTTTGCATACTCCAATAGTCCTTTACCTAGCATATGGGAAATACTGTAACTTAAATTTATGGCAATTTTTGGCAAATGGCATTAGGCCATTTTATCAAAAGTCAAAATAATGTCAGAGGAACTGGCCTGTTCTCACTTCAGCAGCCATAGAGATTCCTTCCCCTACCTTTGTTTTTTTGGATTTTTAAAAAATGTTCCAACATGTTGCCAGGGAGCCTTCAGGATTCTTAAATTTTTTTAAGAATCAAAGATACAGTGAAGCAATTCTAAAACACCATGCAAAGAAGTCTCATCTTCTTGGACTGAAGCTGAAGTTTTAAACTCAGAATAAATATATGCCAGCTTCCTTCCCTTTTCCATCCCCTGCCTGCATTGCATTCAACTATATTGTCACACCCAGGTACATGGTTCCACTTCTCCAATGGCTACTCTCTTTATAGTGAGAAAATTGGTGCCCAGAGAACAGAGTGCTTAGCACAGCTACAAGGCTGCCTGATACAAAGCCAAGACTGAATCCCAGCTTTTCAACCCCAGGCTAATTTTCTTCCTGCCAGAATGTTAAGTAGGGGTTTGTTGAGCCAATGGTGTATGGGAGTTTGTTTTAACAAAAATTTATACAAAGTAGATCAGGATCCTGTATAGAACCGGAGTATGCTATCATGGAAAGAGGCTTTATTGGGAGTTAAAAGACATAAATACTAAGTCTGATTCCTTCCTTTACCAGCTTCATGGTCCTGGGCTGTTTAGCAACTTTAAGAATTAAAGTTGAATGGAAGAGATGGAATAGCAGGGAGATGGAATCACAGCGGCTGGAGTGTAGCTCAGACTTGCCCAGCATGCATGAGGCCCTGGGTTTGATTCTCCAGTACTGCCAGAGGAAGAGTAATTATAATATGGGATGATACTTTTTTAAAAATGAAAACTATAATCCTAGCCCTGCTTACTTTCTTTGAGTTGTTTGGACAATGAAATGAAAAAAAAAATGTTAGGTGAAAACAGTTTGAAAATTGGGAGGTATTATTATCTCTGCACTATTATTGTGCTTGACAATTAGAGTAAACAATCATCTGATCAAAGAGGCTGATTCTCCTATTAATTCTGATGAGGAGGTTCTGAAAGAAAAATCCACGTTAGGGTAATGTGTACACAAAAAAATTGGGGAATAATGCGCTGGTTTTGAATAAGAAGAGTATTCAAAGATCAAAATATTTAAATGAATAAATTTTCTAACAACAGAGATGGCAGAATTTAGCTTTAGTTTTTCACATACAAAAGATGCAACAGCATAACAGAAGAATCCTTTGAAAATGAAAGAAACATGGAGTGACTGAATAAAACAAAATTTGCAATATTCTGATCAAAGTTGCTGTGTGCTGAGTACATAATAGATACAGTGGGTGCTTGTTGAAGAAAATGGAACATGGCACTGGCCATTTGTCTCTGACTGGAGTGCTTTATTTAGGGAAAACCTTGCTCTCTTTCTTGGACAGATATCGATGGCTTAGAGAGCAGTGCAATCGGTGGCCAGTTGATGGCCTCAGCTTCTTCAGAGTCTCCTTTCACCCAGAGCAGGAGAATTGACGACTCCACGGTGGCAGGTAAGGACTTGGGTCTTGAGTTTATGAACATTGATACAGGCTTATGTTACCAGCAATTATGTCATCGTGTGGTGACACAAAGGAACTGAGATTGCACCTTGGTAGCAAAAGTGACTGATGGAAGTTACTTAGCATCATCCAGCTGATGATGTAACATTTATTATTTATAAGCACAAAGTGAAACATAATGCAACCCAACCCAGTGAATTATATTTCCTATCAGAGAATTGCATGCAACTCAGTATTGCAAATTGGATGGCCAGAGAACCTCAGGCTTTTTTTTTTTTTTTTTTTTTTTTGCTAGGTGGTTGTTGTCTCTGGAAAATGACCCATACCCCTTCCTGTTCTAGGTGTGGCATTTGCTCGCTATATTCTGGTTGGCTGCTGGAAGAACTTGATTGATACACTATCAACCCCCCTGACTGGCCGTATGGCAGGGAGCTCCAAAGGGCTGGCCTTCATTCTGGGAGCTGAAGGCATCAAAGAGCAAAACCAAAAGGAACGTGACGCCATCTGCATGAGCCTGGATGGGCTGCGGAAGGCTGCCCGGCTGAGCTGTGCCCTAGGTACTGTGGGAGTGGTGTCCCTGACCAGGGGCCTGTGGGGGACCCTGCAGAACTCACCAAGGAAGAAGCATGTAGCAGGGGTTCGCCAGGTGAGTGGCTGGAGGACATAGTCAGTTAAGGGTAGTCGTTTGTTTCTTCTAAAGGGGTTGCTGCTAACTGCGCCTCAGCCCTTGCCCAGATGGCCGCTGCCTCCTGTGTCCAGGAAGAAAAAGAGGAAAAAGAAGTCCAAGAACCCAGTGATGCCATAGCACAAGGTAACAGCTGAAGGGCCAGAATCTGCCTGGTGCCTTGGGCGTGGTGTGTGCCCCTCTGCACATGCCCATACACCTCAGCAAACACGTACACTGCGGATCTACACCACAGTCACAAGTCCCACAGGTCACAGGCTTGGGATGTTTGAGGTGACGGGTATACACAGTGCCTACAGAAGGTCCCTGTAGAGATGAGAGACACACTAGCCACTGGTAACCAGAAAAGTGCAGTTGGCCACTTACAGGAGCCCGTGGGTCCACCTGGCTGAGCTGTTTACATCTCATGCCACTGGCCCTGGTGACTCATGGAGGTACCCAGTGGAAGGCAGATCCATCATTTTCTGAAGGGCAAAATCGAACAGACAGAAGCAGTCCACAAGAGGGGACTCGGGGAGATTTCACTCCTGTCAGAGTAAAACCTGAGCTGTGTGGACTCAGAAAAGGGTTGAGTTTTGTCTCATTAAAATCAGTTTGTTGAAATATGATATATCAAGAACTATGTAAGGTTTTGAACAGCCAACAATAAAAAATTTAAAAAAAAAAATCAGTTTGTTAATGATGCTCTGACTGTCTAGACCTAAGGGGAGGGAATGACCTTCCCAGTAGCAGTGGAAGATAAAAGGCAGACAGCAAGCAGGAGAAAGGCAAATTGGGTCCAGACTGCACCAACACCATAACCAGATGCGTGAAAGTGCTAGTCGCAAGAACACTTGCACACTCTTGAGAAAAGCAATGTAGGTGAGTGTGCCTCAATCTCGAATAATATTTAGAGATCTACTTGAAAGCAAAGGAGTTCTCAAGGATCCCCAGTGTCCACTAAAACAAAGGTCTCACAATTTTACTTACGGATTATTCAATCCTGAGCCGCACAAAAATCCTTACATTGACAGTTCTTTAAAAGGCCACAAAACCAAAGTCCAAAATATTCTAATTATAAATAAGAAAGAAATTAAATTTGTATTATATTTATGAGACAAGTGACGTTTTGCTAAAAATCACTTTGTTCTTTACAACAGAAATATGGTTCAAAGTCCTTTAAAGTCAACTAGCTATTTTCCTCAGTTTTGGATCATCACTGTTAACCCCCAATCTAGGGACTTGAAACCTTTATTCAAGGAAGACTGTGTTATTTGGTCATGCCCACATCCTTTCTCATTAGTCATTTATAATTATTATTTTTTTTTGGTGGAGAGGGCACCAGGTATTGAACTGGGGGGCACTCAACCACTGAGCCACATCCACATCCCCAACCCTATTTTGTATTTTTTATTTACAGACAGGGTCTCACTGAGGTGCTTAGCAACTCCCTTTTGCAGAGGCTGGCTTTAAACTTGAGATCCTCCTGTCTCAGCTTCCTGAGCCACTGGGATTACAGGCATGTGCCACCGTGCCCGTCTAATCCTTTATAATTATAATAATTTGCTCTTATATATAATGTAAACTCAGGGAGTGAAATGATATGCTAATTTTCAGTTATAAGGAAGTCACCCTGGTGATCAGAATGTGCACACATAGTTGATTATGAGATGACCACTACAAAGAAAGTATAACATTAAACACTCTCAGAACTTCCAGACTTCCAGGAATTCCTCTACAATACCAATTTGAGTACAGGGGAGGGTAAAAGCTCTGGGCACAGATGGCTTTAGCTGGCATTGGCATATGAAGCCCATCCACACTGCTATGCCTGAATCAGAGTTATGGGGCCGGGAGGATATACACCTACCAGCTCAGGATCTGTCTGACTTCAGAGCCAGAGCTGGGGTCACCAGTTTGAATGGGGCCTGTCTGAGGGGTTGTTGGCATGAACCGTGGGGATAGGCCAGAGAAGCATTCGCTGCCAGTGACGTCTCGTTTCCCTTTCACCCTTGCATGACACATTCTTTCATTCCCATCTTTTCTCTCTCCCTTTCTGTCTCCCTCGTTCAGACTGTTATTTTAATAATGTCTTTCTGACACAGTGAAACTAAAAGTGGAGCAGAAACTGGAGCAGATGGGGAAGGTGCAGGGGGTGTGGCTGCACACAGCCCACATCTTGTGCATGGATGCCATCCTCAGCGTAGGCCTGGAAATGGGAAGCCACAACCCGGACTGCTGGCCACACGTGTTCAGGTGCATGACGGGATCCTCACCCCTGCCTATGGCACCAGCCCTGACTCGGGAGGTCCCGGGGGTGGTGGGGAGCATTGACTCAAGGGGCTTCCAGCTCTTATATGGATTAGGATCATTCACAGAATTTGAGTACACTCCAGATGAGAGTCAAAAAGAGAAGGGAGATATAAAGGCCCCACTGAATGTGTGTTTTGGAGAACGGAGGGACAGAACTGGATTTAGGGAATTGTGATTTATCTATTGACATTGCCAGGAGAGGCAGGTGTGTTATACCAAGGAGGAAAAGTCAATTTCTTAAGTAAAGGATGGAGGAAGATCACGTAAGTTAAGTGAATAGTGTGCAAAGGTAAAAATGGTCTTGGCTGTAATACATGTTTACCTACGTCCTCTTTACTGAAAGAAGGATTTTGAATTGCAATGCATGTTTATATAAAATACCTAATTAAAGATGCCTACTCTAATTCAAGTAAAGGAAAACTAGAATAGTACTTCTGCGCCAAAGACAGTTCAAAAACTTGCCTTTGAACTTTGTAGTGTCAAAGTGAAAATGAGCCCCCATTCAATTACATAGTGCAGAGTCCTGTAAGGTGAAAAGCACAGAGTCCAGGTCCTCCCATGACTGACACAAAAAGCACCTCTCCCCACACTGTGGCTTCACGGAAGACCCAGTTCAATGGCAGGAGTACCATTCACCAAACAGGCAAAGGACAGGTGTCTGGCTGTGCCTTGTTTTCCCTGGAGCAGAGGCATTGAGACCTCACCAAGTGGGAAGTGAGGCAGGAACATCAAGGCAACAGCCCAGAGCACCAGCCAGATTTGGGTTCAGTTTGACATCACCAAAGAAAACATAGCCACAGGTGTTTGTTGAATTTCAAAGGGGAAAGCACACGGAATAATCAAGGGTTGAAAAAAACAGCCAACTTGAGAGGAAAGTATGAAAGGACTAGGATAAATCAGCCTGAGGCAAGACAGGCTTCAGTATACAGGGTGGTGTTGACTGACAGGGAAAAAGTTCAGACGGCACCGAGCAATATGTATAGAGTCAAAAAAAATCTGATTGCTAACAATCCCATGGATTAACCAGGGTGCCCTTCCCCAGTAACTGGATTGTTCTGAGATGAGAGACCTCTTTCTTACAAAGCATCTGAGTCCCAAGTTCAACTGGAAACAGAAACTGGCAGTTGCACATATTGTTAGTCTGCTCTGTGTTTGGCATGTTCGGGGACTGTCCCAAGTCCCCATACCTCACACCCACATGAGTTATGTGGAGCTTATCAGGGCCAGGCAGGACTTGACTGGGTGGAACCCCATTGTGGTAGGAGGGCCTGTCCATCATGTGCTAGTTGTAGGATCCCATAGTAAGGAAACACTTCCCAACTCCTAACCAGAACACTATACAGAGGGGGAAAGGGTCCCTTGGAGAAACTAACTCAAATGGCCAGAGTCTAGATACACCAGTGAGCCGGGAAGGATAAAGTGGGTGAGATGGGCTGCTTTGCCCTTCTTTCTCCCAGACAGGGTGATGACTGAGAGAATCTGAGGAACCCCTCACCCATTTGAAGCCTGTATGATCCAATTAAAAAAATGTATATGTGTGGGCATGGATAGATATTTATAGGTACATAGTAAGGAAATGGGAGAGAAGGAAGAAAGGGCAGACTATGAGTGGGGAGGAAGTGGGGTGGACTGCAGAGCTGGTTTAATTTCCTTTGTATTTCACTGTGGGGTGGACGTGTGATGGCTGGTTGGGCTGCGGCACCTAAATGCTGCTTGTCTCTGGCTCTCTCCAGGGTGTGTGAGTACGTGGGCACGTTGGAGCATACCCACTTCAGTGACGGCACCTCACAGCCCCCTCTGACCATCAGCCAGCCCCAGAAGGCATCGGGGGGCTCTGGACTCCTTGGGGACCTTGAGAGTGAGGGTCCCTCCCAGGAGCAGAGCTTGGAGCAGGGACCTTCCCTGAGCACGGCCCCTGTGGTCCAGCCCCTCTCCATCCAAGAGCTGGTCCGGGAAGGCAGCCGGGGCCGGACCTCTGATTTCCGTGGTGGCAGCCTCATGAGTGGGAGCAGTGCAGCCAAGGTGGTCCTCAGCCTCTCCACCCAGGCTGACAGGTGTGTGCCCTCATCCCACATTCCCCCAGAAGGAAGCCTGCATCTATCTGATTGGTCTCATAATTGGCCCAGGAACAACTTGACTTGTTAGCCAGTCATTAAACCCCTTTCAATATTTTTCAAGCAGTTCTGTCTTACCACACCCCATCCTCAGAAGGACCCGATTTCTAAAGACTGTGTTCAGGGGGGAGGCAGGCTACCTGCGGTTCAGCTGGCATCTTGGGCAGCTTCACCTCCTGGGCCCTGGTTTCCTCATTAGTAAAGTAGGATGATTTTTAAGAGTAACTATCTCACAGGGTAATTGTAAGGTTAAGTTCATCACTACACCTAACAGCACCTAGAACAGAACTCAGCAAATAGTAAAAATCCATTGTTTTTGTGATTCTTATTATTCACAAAATCCCACACCCAGGAACACACATGTTATTGGTTGGTGCACAACAACTATGTTAAGGGAAAATCAACAATGGCCCCAACTGGTTGGTGACACTTCCTGATGCTGAAAGTGCTTTTGATCACACATAGAACACTTCACCTAACTCCTGGGCATGTGATCATCATGCCCCAGGCTTCCTAGAACTGGTACCACCATGAAGTTTATTTAGAGAGGACACACAGAAAGGGGCTGGGAAAGTGGACAGAGCATTCCCTGGTCTGGGGCTTAGACAGCCCTGACTTCCTGTCCTAGTTTTGACACTGACCAGCTGCCTGGTCACGCCTATAGAAATAGTTGCACTGAGACTTAGTTTCTTTACTGATTCATATAATATCCATATATACAACCAGTACATTCACTTCAACTCAACAAGTTGGCCATGAAAGTGTTTTGGAGTCTGGGAAGTAATAAGCAGATGTCAGGTAGTGTTATAATGTACCCCTGTTTTCTTACTAGGATGGGGGACAAGAAATGGTTAATGGCACCCAGAAACCAATGGCATCAAAACTGGAATTACAAAACAGCCATCAAAATGTGTTAGTTTCAGTAATTTGTAAATATTTAATCTACCAGTTTCCATCTTAAACCTTATTTTACTCCTTGAAAAAGGCCCAGGACTCCATTTCTACTAATGATACTCCCCTCAAGAGCACATGGCATCCCACAGTGCCACCTGCCCTCTGGTATCCCCACAGCGGTGGGAGGGGGTGACCCAAGAGCAACAGCAGGCTGGCTTGCTCCCTCCACTCTGTGGCTGCATGAAACTAAGGTTTGATCTTTACACTCCTCATTCCAGGGACCCAGGGATCCTTCCCCAACTTTTGTGCTCCCCTCCTCCCTCCTAAGTCCTTCTGCTAGAAATGTCTGTCTCCAACTGAGTGGAAAACAAGAATAACTGGCTAGGAAGTTCATGACCAGGGAGCATTACTCAAGCCAAGCGCCTTACTCAAGCCAAGCGCCCCCCTGAGCTCTACCGTTGAGTTCCACCCAGCCCTGGGGAACACTCTTTCTTCCAAAAGATACTTGAGCTCCCTTAAGGTGTATAGTCTTAATCATCAATTATAGGCAAACAGAAGCTTCTTGGTTAATTCACTGAGTTTTAAGCAATGGAATTGAAGCTAATACAGAGGATTCCACCCTCAATTACTTAATCACCTTTTTTTTAATGTGCTTTGTACCATTTGGATCCTCATCCCATGGTTAGCACAAATTTGAGCATAGTAGTAACAGATAAAATAATACCATACGTTTGTCTACAGTGTTTTCCAGCATTTTCATTAATCACTTAAAGAAAATTACCATAATCATTCTGTCATAAAGACCTTGATGAATTGTTCGCAAATTAACAGATGTCCTCTGTTTGCACCCAGGCTCTTTGAAGATGCTACAGATAAGCTGAACCTAATGGCTTTGGGAGGTTTCCTTTACCAGCTGAAGAAAGCATCCCAGTCCCAGCTTTTCCATTCTGTTACTGATACAGTCGATTACTCTCTGGCAATGCCAGGTAATTCTTTCCCAGAAGGAATTGTGCCGGGAAGTGAGCAGGAAACATCCCAGGTCTCTGATGCCAGCAGCACGCCTAAGATTCAAATCCACATTCCCTTCTCACAGGGTCACACTAGGGAAGTTCAAGTGCAAGCTTCTCTTTCAGTTTTGAGGCACAACATGAAAAGGGTGATACATTCTGTCAATGCTGCTGCTCATGGGGGAGGCAGGCTGGGTTGTTCTGCTGAGGTTTGTGCTTGTGATGTTGAAACTGTGTAGCACATTGCATCCCATGGGGGTGGGGTCCCTTCTCCATATCACAAGCCCAGACTTGCCTGAGTCCAGCCAGCTTGCAGAAAGCCACTGATTTCAGAAGGGGTGGTAGAAGAGAAAAATGGAAGGGTTAGCAGAAGCTTAATCCTTCCCTTAGGAAACTGCTCTCAGGTTTATCCTACTAAAGATGGGTCAGTATCACTGCCTTCACAGATGAGGCCAGGTGAAGAGAAAAGGCTTCCTGAAGGGCATCCCCGTGAAAGGAATGGAGTTGTATCAAGTTGCCCGAGTTCCAAATGAGTGGCATGTTGCTCACATAATCTGTGTGCTGGGAACAGACCTTGGATGGCGGCAGGTTGCAAAGTATAATCACTGAGGTCCCTTCCATGTTAGGAATCTGAGGTTCTGAGATATTTGGCCTCATGATGCTTACTGTAGATTTTGATTTGAGAACCACAGTCCTTTCCACACTAGTTTTTAATAGACTGTCAAATTTTAGCTATATAAAGCCATTAAGCTTCCAGAGCATCTCTGAGTGCAGTGGTAACCCTCAAAGTCTTTTGCATTAGAGACAACAGGAAGCTCTGAGCTTACAGAGAAACAGTGAGCAGGATCAGGAAGAGGTGCAAATGGGTGGAAGGAGCTCTGGCTTTGGAGTCCATAAGATCTGAGTTAAAATATTACTTTTACTACTTTCCGACTGCACCGTCTGAGCACATCATTTCATCTTTCAGGCATTCAATGTTTCACCCCATAAAGTGGCAATAGTTATATTTACTTCTTAAGGTTGCTTTAAAATTACAGTGATTAAAGATGTAGAGAACCAACACAATGTCTGGTTCAGTAAAGGTCTGTGGTTATTCTCAACTATTACCACTGTTCTGAAGTTTATTTGATGTGGCATGACCAATTAGAAAGGAGTCTAGTGGTTAGAAGAGCCAGATAAAGATCAGCTTTGGGGAAGATGCCTGGGGTAGCAATGGGACACAAGCAAGAAGCAAGTAGGGAAAACTAGAGTGACAGTGGCAAAGAAGAAGCAAGAAACCAGAGTAGGCAAGAATTATATTGGAGCCACACAGAGCAGGTTAAATGGATGCACTTTACTGGACCGAAAAAGAGCCTGGTCTGGTCTACTCTGAAAACATTGCTGAAATGCCATTAAGGACTGGCAGAGGATGACAGTAACAGTAATCACAATAGCTAAAAGCACTCATCAGTTAGTATGTACCAGGCATGAAACTGAGCACTTAATGTGTATTATCACATTATGTAATCCTTAAAGCAACTTTAAGAAGTAGGCATGATTATCCAGTTTCACAGATTATTAGGGGCTGGAAAGAAATCTTTGGTCCATCAAGGCACAACTACTAAATGGTGGAACCAGGACTTTTGTCCAGGCCATCCGACTCCCCAGCCACCTACCTAACTACTACTGCATTCCTCTTTTAACAAATATTTTTCACACCTGTCACATCCCAGGGACTGAAGACATGGTGGTGAACAAGAGAGAGGTGCCATCCTTGCTGAGTGAACCACCTGGTTGGTCTCTTTTGAATGGAGGGTCATCCCCTTTTTTTTTGGTTAACCTATGCCAAAGAATCCTCTGGTCTGAGAACACTGCCTTGATTCGCAACTACTCTCTCTCCGATTCGAATAGGCCAGATGATTTTCAAGTTTGGGCTTTCTGGCTTCTATGTCTTGCCTTTCTGTAGGAGAAGTGAAATCTACCCAAGACAGAAAAAGCGCACTCCACCTCTTCCGCCTGGGGGATGCCATGCTGAGGATCGTGCGGAGCAGGGCACGGCCCCTGCTGCATGTGATGCGCTGCTGGAGCCTCGTGGCCCCGCACCTAGTGGAGGTGAGCCTGGGAGGTGGGAAGGGGCTGGGCTACTAATGCAGGGATGTCCTGCAGCAAAGCAGCGTAGCAGCAGCTGTCAGCACAGTGGCCATGGGGCAACAAGAGCTCTCCTCTCATCACCTGCTCACCATTGTTCCCCGATTGTACCTCAAGGTGTCCAAAGACTCACCCCATGAGGCAGTGCCACCCTGGTCCCACCATGGCCATCTCTCTTTACAATTCTTTATACCCCCAGGTCTTTATTATTCAGGATCTGCTGTCAGTCTGGGTCTGGAGCCAAAAGACGAGCAGAGCTGGGGCTGGGCATGGTGGCACATGCCTGTAATCCCAGTGACTCAGGACACTAAGGCCAGAGGATCACAAGTTCAAAGCTAGCCTTAGCAACTTAGTAAGGCACTAACCAACTTAGTGAGACCATGTCTCAAAAAAGGACTGAGGATATAGCTCAGTGGTTAGGCACCCCTGGGTTCAATTCCTGGTAGCAAAAAAAAAAAAAAAAAAACAAGTAGAGAGTTCCTAATATCTTCACTTTTATACATTAATATAACAATGTCTTTGGTTCCTGCCACTCTCTTTTTTCTAATAACTTAATTACTTGGGAGAGTGTTCTTTCAGGGGAACTACATGTCCTGATTTTCCCAACAAAATTAACACAAAGACCCTTATGCTTTCCAAGAAAGCAGTTTATGGGAACTCTGTCTCTAAGCATCTTAATACAGGATGACTGACTACTTGTAAATGGGCAGGGGGAAGCATTGCCCCATTTTACAGTGGTAACTATTCTTAATAGCCCATTAAGAATAAAAGTGCTGTAGCCTCTTAAGAATAATGCTATTGTTTCAGCACTTACCCAGTAAGACAATGTTACACAATAAATATTTTTTTTTGGAACTTAATTTCTACCTAAGAACATTCTAGTAGAATAAGGGAGTAGAAAATATCAATTTAGTCACAAGAGAGTGTATCAGCTATATACTATACAATACCCCCAAAATCTATTAGCTTCAAACAACAACCAGTTGTTTAGCTTGTGATTCTTTGGGTCAGAAACTTGAAGAAGGCTCATCTGGGTAGTTCCTGACTTGGCCCAGCTTGGCCAATTTGGTCAGCTGGTTCAAAGACCAGGGCCAACTGGTTCATGGTCTCTTGACTGGGAAGGCTGGGCAAATTGGTCCCTCTGTGCATGGTCTTCTTGTAGGCCTCCAACAGACCAGTCTCTGCCTGTTCACATGACATTCAGAGAATTCCCAAGCACATCAAGAGAGCAAATCCCACATCACAACTACTTTTTAATACTCTACTAACATAATGTTCACTATTGTGCTACTGGCCGAAGAAAGTCCCATGTCCAAATTCAGGTCAGTATGGGACAGGACTTCTAAAGAGTGCAGATATAAGGAGGTGTGAACCAATCAGAACTCTTGTTGCAACCAACCCACCTCACTGAGGGACAGATGGTTCACCTAATCTTCATGTTCGGGGCATGACTAAGAAGTTAGTCATGAGCAGTTCCATGACGAGGTTCTGGTGTCCTTCCAGTGAGCATGTTCTGTGTCATCCAGGAAAATTATCATGTTAAAGAAAAAGCACAAAAATTGCTAGAAACTTACTACCTCAGTGTAATAAGGTGGACTGGGAAAGCTGTCACAAACCACGTGCTTCCTACTGAAGTCCCCCTGGTGTTCCACTCTCCCGCACCCTGTAGGCTGCCTGCCATAAGGAGAGACACGTGTCCCAGAAGGCAGTTTCCTTCATCCATGACATCCTGACAGAGGTTCTCACCGACTGGAACGAGCTGCCTCATTTTCACTTCAATGAAGCACTCTTCCGACCTTTTGAGCGTATCATGCAGCTGGAGTTGTGTGATGAAGATGTCCAAGACCAGGTCAGTGTGACGCAGTGTTCCGCATCACCAGATCTAACAGCGAGTGTGGTGGCAGGCATCGTTCTAGGAGGTCTGCATACATAATCTTTCCAAGAACCCCACTTTGGGTCATTAGAAAACACAGGTTAAGCATTTGGCCAGGGATACCTAGTTAATGATTGCTAGAACTGGGATTGGAGCTAAACCACATGTCTCTACTGGTCCCCCCTCTTCTATCTAGGCTGAATTCTTAACTAATATGGTCCTCTCCACTGGGAGACAGACTGGAAAGAAAGCAGCAGCAGACCTCATATCTAAGAGGATGGAGGGCTGGGAATGCAAACAGAACCTTTCTCTAAAATCCACTTATAATGTTGAATAAAGGTTTTAAATTTCCTTTTAAATACAATGACATACTAGCAAGAAAATTAAATACAGCTAGAGAGACAAAAGGAATTAAAAAAAGGGAGCTCACAAAAATAGAAGGGAGAACAGTGGAGGAAGGGAGAAGAGGAGGTACTTAAATTGTGTTATGTGCATGTACGAAGATGTCACGATGAATCACGCTAGTATATGTAATTGTAATGCATCAATAAAGACACTTTTTAAAAAGAAAGAAAGACTTAAATGCCATAAACTAAGCAGCAATAGGAAGCCACCAAGGAAGCAGAGCTCTGCAGCAGATTTTTCCTGGAAGGATCTGCCATCAGGTGAAGCAGGAGTTCTGCATATCACGTTTTTGAGGGCCCAGGGACAGAAGAAAATCCTCACTTTGTAAAGCAGCGGCTGAGGGGGATTGAAGTAGAAATGAGCCCAAGTGCCACCCTCACCAAGAATACTTGCAACCTGTTACTAACATTGGCTCTAAGTAGAGATTTTTTTTTAAATAGATAAATAGCTCTCTAGGATTGAAAATTGCAAGCTGGCCTTTTCCTAGGATCCCTGTATGAAGTAGCACAGCCCCAGGAGTCCTAAAAGCTTCCCACAGGCACCACAGAGAAGCAACAGAATCTACCTGGAGGAACTCATGTCAACTCAGCCACAGAAGAATTCCACAAATAAAGTTTCAAGATGTGTGAGCTCATGGTATTTAAGGGAAAAAAAATCATCAGACACACAGGAAAAGAAAGCAGTAGTTCAAACTGCCAAAGCTACAGATGATACCATTAGAGCTAAAAAGAACTGAATTCAAATATTGTTATCTTCCACACAGAGTATCAAATCAATATGGAAGTTTAAGGAGAGAAAAGAAATGAATGAAAATATGAATTGACACCTAACAAGTAAGTTGAGAGATTCCAATAATAATGAACTAAGTAATTCAAATTGACCTTCCAAAAGAGAAACAACTAGAAAAAGTTGGATTTAAAAAAATATATATTTTTTCAATCACTTGAAAACATCAGAGTACAAGACAATGAAGAACTACAGGGCCAGAATTTGGGAGAAAAAGAATACCTAGAGTGGTGTGCCCGGGGCTTTAGGCTGCTTTTCCTGAAAGCAAACTGAAAAAGAAAACTGAAAGGCTAAGAAGCTTAGCAAAGTTGAGTCTAGGACATGCCATTCTGGTAACTTCTGAAGAGAAAAGGACATCCTAGGAAGAAGACTGAGCCTTAAATAGACTAGTCATGACAGAAAGGAATCCCATCTTCAAGTGATCCCAATTATTGACATGAGATCGAGGTGATGTGAGATTTCTAGTGCCTACCATAAGCATGGGCACCTTGCTGACAGACACCACCATTACCCTGACCTTCAGACTATTTCTTGGTTTACAGGTGTGATGTCTACATTTAGTAAAAAAAAAAAAAAAATAACCAGACTCATTAGGAAATACTATGTCATAGAAAACAAAAATAATAAAAATAGATACACACATAAGGACCCATATAGCTGAGTTATCAGGTAGGCTTTAAAATAACTATGCTTAAATGTGTTCAGAAAGATTAAGGACAGGAGAAACATTGGCTATGGTGGAACAAAGAGGTTAGTAAATCCTGTCCCTCCAAAAAAAGAAGAAAAAAAAGCATAAAACTGGACAAAACTGTCAGATGACAGTTCCAAAATGTGATCCATGGTAGACACCAAATGGAATAGCATGTGTTCTTAAAAATGGTTCACGCAAGAACTTCAGTTATGAACAGCGGAGGGTCTGCGCCCTTGCCAGAGACTTCTCGCATCACGTGTACTCTCAAGCTCTGTTGGCAGGAAGAGTAGTTTGACCAGTGTGAAGCTAACCGGGAAAGTCAGCTTTGCTTTGGAGAAGAGAGGAAACAACCATTGGCTTGTCAACAGAATGTGATAAATTTATTAGGAAATGAACCAGGGAGTCCTACAACTTGATAGCCTAAGGTGAGCTGTGAAGGAGTAAGAAAAGTAATATGAGAACAGAGTGAAGAGATGATCTACAGAATGGGAGAAAATATTGCAAACCATATGTTTCACAAAGGGTTAATACCCAAAATATATAGGGAGCAAAAAACTCAATAGCATAAAACAATCCAATTTTAAAATGGGCAGTAGACCTAAATAGACATTTCTTAAAAGGTGAAAAATGAATGAACAGTGTGTATATTAAATAAATTAAATAAAGCTCAACATCACTGATCTTCAAAGAAATGAAAACCCAAACCCAATGAGATAGTACCTTACTCTTTTTTTTTTAAGGATGTTATCAAAAAGACAAAAAGTAAGTGCTAACAAAAATGTGAAGAAAAGAGAACACTTCTACAACTGGTGGTGGGAATGTAAATTAGTACAGACATTGGCAAAAAACAGATGACAGTACCTCAAAGAATTAAAAATACAACTATCATAATCTAGTAATCCTACTATTAGGTATATACTAAAGGAAATGAACTTAGCATATGGAAGAGACATCAGCACTTCCAGGTCAATTGTAGCAATAAATATCATAATAATACCCAAGAAATGGAAACAACTTTTTAAGTATCCATCAACTGATAAATAGGAAAACCTACATATATCCAATGGAATACTATTCAGCCATAAGAAAATGAAATCTAATTATTGGCCACAACACAGACAGAACTGGAGATCATGTTAAGTGAAACTAGCCTGATACAGAAATACAAGTACCATATAATCTCACTCATATGTGGAATATGGGAGGAAAAAAGTTTATCTCATAGAAGTTCAGAGTAGAATGGTAGTTACCAGAGGCTAGAGAGGGTAGGGAAAAGGGAGGGGTGGTAGAGGTCAATCAATGGATATTAAGTAATAAATAGGAGTAAGAAGTTCTGGTGTGCGATTGCACAGTAGGATGATTATAGAGAACCATAATATACTATATATTTCAAAAAGCTTGAGGAAAGGATATTGAATGCACCAAAAGGTGATAAATTTGAGAAGACAAATAGACTCAACCTGATTAAACATTACATGATGTATACATGTATCAAAATATCACATGGTACCCCATATGTACTATTTTTATGTATCAGTTAAAAATTAAAGGTGAAAAATGGGGGTCAGGGAAATAGAATGTAAGATCCTGGAAACTAGAGATTCATGGACTAGATAAGCACCTCACTGGCTCACGGAAACGTGGACATAAGAGGGATAAACCACAAAGATCTCATCAGAAAGTCAAAGACCAGGGAGATGTAGGATATGGCTGAACCTCCCATATCCTCCCCAACCTACACTCATGGATTGGCAAAGAGTGGAAGCCTTAAAAGCTGGGGTTTGATTACAGTCTCTGCCCACATCGTCAGCTGACCACACACAGGGATGAACACTAAGAAGTCAGACTAAAAGAAAAAGAAAAATTACTAAAAACAGAGCAGAGACATCATCACCTCTTACCGTGGGGGAAAACAGAGTCCACTGTTAGTTTCAAGTTAATTTGTTTAAAATAAACCCCACCTAAATTAAATCAGAATCCCGCATTGTTAAATATATTATCTAAAAGGTCTAATTTCAGACAGTAGGGGTGGTAAATGAGACATGCAAAGGAAAGAGTGGGGCAAACTTAGAGGGGAAAATAGTAAATAGAAACTGACTTAGAGTGATCCCAGTATTAGGTGTGGGAGACAGAGGCTTAAACAGCTTCTATAAATATGCTCAGGAAATTAAAATAAAATATTATTTCAAGGACTCAAAAATAGGGAATTAAACAGAGAAATGGAAATGGAAATTGAGGAAGTGCAAATTCTGGAGAAGAAAAAGGCAATAACTAAAATGAAAATTTAGCTAGATGGGCTTGCCAGAAGGATTTGCCATGGCAAGAGAGAGAGAGAGAGAGAGAGAGAGAGAGAGAGAGAGAGAGAGAGAGAAGAAAAAGAATCAGTGAACTAAAAAATAGAGATTAATAGGAACCATCCATCCTCAAGATCAGAGAAATAAGTTTGACTAGAAATAAAGCCTTGAAGACATCAGCATAGGAACACACATGTATTGAGAGTGTCAGGCAAATAAAGGGGTGGGGTACTATATTTGGAGAAAAAAAATGGAATTCCAATTAGTTTCAACACAAAGACAGCTACAATAGACCGTGATACTCAAAACTGCTCAAAGACAGTGACAAAACCTTGAAAGTCACAAGGGAAAGACAGCTCATTACTACAGATGAATAGCATTAGAATTAATTGCTGACTTCTAAGAAAAAATGAAGGGCCTAGAAGACAATGTAATGACATATTTAATGTACCAAAAGTGAAAAAAGAAAAAAACTGTCAATGAATAATTCAATGAATAATTGAAGAAATTACCCTTCAAAAATGAACTAAATAAAAAACAGTCTTTGATAAATAAAAATTGAGAGAATTTCCTGCCAGTAGACCTATCCTACCAGAAACTAAACCTCATAGAGAAAAGAAATAGCACAAGGTAGTAACTCTATTCTAGAAGAAGAAAGGATACGTATGTGGGTAGATAGTTAAAAATTGGATGTTTCTCATCTTTTATTTTAAAATATGTAATGTATAAAGCAATAACTCTGGCAACAATAATATAATTATTGTTGAACTGATTAAATATAAAAATGTAAATAAAGTTAGCAAAAAAGGACAGTCAGTGAAGATATGTAGAAGCAAAATTGCTGTTTTGCAGAAATTAAGTCTGCTAACTTGTTGTAATAATGTGATACATATTAAAACAATCAAGAGAGTAACATACACACACACACACATGCACACACACACATGTACACCACAAAATAGATAAAAACTAAGCAGAGATGTAGGTGTAGTTCAGTGGTAGAATGTGTACTTAGTGCACCCAAAGCTCTGGGTTCAACCCTCAGCACCAAAAAATGATTTAAGTGATATTCAAAAGTGTGTTTAGCATGAAATAAAGCAGTAAATGGAGAACATAGGAACAAAAGGATGCATTTGAAAAAACAAATAGCAAAATCTCGGGTGTAGAGAGAACCATGCAAAAATAGCATGAAGTGCACAGTGGAAAAAAAGATGCTCAATATCATTAGTCATTAGAGAAATGCAAATCAAGCCCACCATGAGACAAACTTCACAACTGCTAGGATGACTTCAATCAAAAAGAAAGATGCTGGGGCTGGGGATGTGGCTCAAGCGGTAGCGCGCTGGCCTGGCATGCATGCGGCCTGGGTTCGATCCTCAGCACCACATACAAACAAAGATGTTGTATCCGCTGAAAACTAAAAATAAATGAATAAATATTAAAAAAAAAAAAGATTCCTCTTTAACGAGGTGGGAAAATCTTTAAAAAAAAAAAAAAAAAGAAAGATGCTGGCAAATTTGGTGAACATGTAGAGAAATTGGAACCCTTATATACTGCTGGTAGAAGTGTAAACCATGTACCTTATTTGAGAAACAGTCTAATTCCTCCAATAGTAGTCCCCAAAAGAAATGAAAACAAATATTCATAGAAATCTTATGCACACAGTTTTCAAGATGGGGGAATAGAGGAGGTTGCTTTCCTGGCTGCTGTGTGGCACGGAACCAAGAAAGCAGATAGGTAGCTTCTCAGCGGTGAGGTCGTGGAATCCTTCAGGGACACTCTAAGTCCATAGGGTAGAAACTCTACTGCCTCAGATCCAAACCATTAGATGGGTAGATACAAAAACATGAAAAAGCAATAGAATAAATCACCTCAAATCAAGATATTCCAGTAACAGAATCCATCAACACCACAGTGGAAGAAATGTCAGAGAAGGAGTTCAGAATGTTCATAATTAAATTGATCTGTGAAGTAAAGAACCGTATAAAGAGAAAGATCACTTCAATACAGAGAGATTCTGGGGGGAAAAAAAAAAAGCAGAGACCCTGCGTCTAATAGAAGAAAAAGTAGGCCCAAATATTCATCATGTTGGATTAGGCCCCAACTTCCATAAAAAGACTCCTATTGTGCAAGAATTAAAATTAAAAATCAATAAATGGGATGGATTCAAACTAAAAAGCTTCTTCTCAGCAAGAGAAACAGTGAGGTGAATAGAGAGCCTACAGAATGAGAGCAAAATTTTTACACTTGCACATCAGATAGAGCACTAATCTCTGGGGTATATAAAGAACTCAAAAAGCTAAACACCAAATAAATAAATAACCCAATCAATACATGAGCCAAGGAACTGAACAGAAACTTCACAGAAGAAGAAATACTACCAGTCAACAATACATGAAAAAAATGTTCAACACCGCTAGCAATTAGAGAAATGCAAATCAAAACTACTCTAAGATTTCATCTCACTCCAGTCAGAATGGCAGCTATTAAGAATACAAACAACAGTAAGTGTTGGTGAGGATGTGGGGAAAAGGCACACTCATATATTTCTGATGGGACTGCAAATTGGTACAACAACTCTGGAAAGTAGTATGGAAATTCCTCAGAAAATTTGGAATGGAACCACCATTTGACCCAGCTATCCCACTCCTCAGTCTATACCTAAAGGACTTTAAATCAGCATATTATAGCAATGCAGCCACATCAATGTTTATAGCAGCTCCATTCACAATAGCTAAGCTGTGTAACCAACCTAGGTACCCTTCAACAGATGAATGCATTTAAAAAATGTAGTTAATATACAATGGAATATTACTCAGCCGCAAAGAAGAATGAAATTATGGCATTTGCCAGTAAATGGATGGAACTGGAGAATATCATACTAAGTAAAATAAGACAATCCCCCAAAACTAAAGGCCAAATGTTCTCATTCTCTCTGATGTGCAGCTGCTTACTCACAATAGGTGGGGGGAGGAATGAGTGGAAGTTCATTGGATTGGACAGGGGAGGATGGGGGGGATAAGAATGGGAAAGACAGTAGAATGAATCAGACATAACTTTCCTGTGTTCATATATGAATACACCACCAGTGTAACTCCATATCATGTATAACCACTAAAAAAGAATTTTAAAATGTAAAACAAAAGAAACTCTTGTACACAAGTGTTCATAGCAACATTACTTATAATAGCAAGAAAATTGAAAACAACCCAAATTTCATCAGTTGATAATGGATAAATAAAATGTGGTATATTCATTCAATAAAATGTGCTATCATTCGACTGTAGGGAAGGTTGTTGTTCAAGTCCATAAATATCCTTTGAAAACTTTGAATCTATGCTTTAAATAGGTAGAATTTATGGAATGTTATTTATAACTCATTAAAGATGTTAAAAATGTATATTGACTAAACTTCAATCAAAAGGCAGAAATTACAAGAAAACAGCAAGATACTAAAATATACAGTCTTCTTTTGGATTAAAAGGCACCAATAGGTTGATAGGAAAGGACTAAAAACAGTAAGTGATGCAGATTGGAACCATGAGAGTCAAGATGACTGTGTTAATGTCTGGCAGCGCGGGGCGTTGGGTTCGATCCTTAGCACCACATACAAATAAAATAAAGATGTTGTGTCTGCCAAAAACTGAAAAATAAAAAAATTAAATAAATAAAAAAATTTTAAAAAGACATTAATAGAAGAAATATTACTAGAAACAAACATTTCATAATTATGAAGGAAGACATATCAATAAAAATGTGTATGTACCTAACAATAAAGCCTTAAAGTACATAAAGCAAAAACAGAATTCGAAGAAGATATGGACAATGTAAGAATTATAGGGAAGGGAGTGGAATGGAGAGTTATTATTTAATGGGTGCAGAGTTCCAGTTTGGGAAGATGAACATATTCTAAGGACACATGGAGGGGGTGATAGTTGCATGATGGTACTTAATGCCATTGAACTTTATGAACTTTATACAATGGTTAAATGGTAAGTTTACATCATGTGTATTTCACCATCATAATAATGAAAAATAATTATAGTGGAGCATTTTAACACTCCTTTCTTAGTTTTCTATCAATGGAAAATCAGGACATAGGAAATGAACACTATTAACCAGCGTGGCCAAACTGACACCTGGAATACTCTGCCCAACAAAAGAATACACGGAACATTATCCATGAATCTTTTAGACCATAAAACAAGTCTCAATACATTTAATAGAACTGAAGTCATATCAAGTATGTTTTCCAGCCATATGGAATTAAATTCAAAATTTAAAAAATTAGAAAATGTCCAAATGTTTGGAAATCAAAAAGCCAAAATTCTAAATAGCCCATTTGGTCAAAGAGAAAATTATTTCCAGAAAATGGTACTAGAACATACTTCAGAAAAATGAACTTACACTCTTCTCTTACCACATACACCAATTAAAAAAATGCTCAAAAATAGGTCATTATTTACATATAAGAGCAAAAACTAAGTATTTCTAGAAAAAAGCATAGAAGGCAATTACTGAGAACCTGGATTAGGGAAAGATTTCTTAGAAATACTGAAAGCATGACTCATTAAAAAGAAAAACTGATAAATTAGAGTTTATTATTATTGAGAATTTTGTTCTTTAAAAGGGACCATTAAAAGGTAAAAAGACAAGTTCAAGTTGTGACAAATATTTGCAAACTATATATCTCAGGGAGGACCTGAATCTTCACATTATATACAGAGCACTAACAATGCAATAATAAAAAGAAAAGGAGACACACACCCAGTTTGAAAAATAGCAAACTATTGACAGATGACCTCATAATCTTGTGAAAATTTGCTCAGCAACATTAATTACTAGTGAAAGGCAAATTTATAGACTCTGGCCACATAGGAGATTCTTGAGTGAGCCTGTCTGACTTCTGGTTTTTCTCTTTCATTAAAACTAACTTGGAAATAGGGGGCAGAGGAGGATATTACCCTTCCCAGAAATTCTTGTGCCTCTGTTAAGTGCCACCTCCTTTGCCCGTGCCAGGTGGTCACATCCATCGGTGAGCTGGTTGAAGTGTGCTCCACGCAGATCCAGTCGGGATGGAGACCCTTGTTCAGTGCTCTGGAAACAGTACACAGTGGGGACAAGTCCGAGGTGAAAGAGTATCTGGTTGGTGACTACTCCATGGGTAAGAATGTGCCAGTGATTCTTGCAGCTGAGATTTCTTTTTTTTTTTTTTTAATTGATTTTTTTAAAAAATAAATGACAGCAGAATGCATTACAATTCTTATTACACATGTATAGCACAAATTTTCATATCTCTGGTTATAATATAAAGTATGTTGACAACATTTCATGTCTTCATACATGTACTTTGGATAATGATCTTTATGTCACAGTTCATGATATCAAGAGAAATTGAACAAGAGGGAAGACAGACATTCCACCATGTTTTATCAGTAGGGCATGATGTTTAGTATGAACTTCGGGTCTGAGTCCTACCAGCAGGCCAAGAGCCCTGTCCCTCATCAGGCCCTGCTCTTGCTGACAAGTGGACAGAAGGTTGAACGGCCTCTGTTGGTTCACTGAATGTTGCTGTGTAGATTTCTTTCCTAAGGCCAAAATAAAAATATTAAAGGTTGAGCATCTGAAAATTGGAAACCTGAAATGCTCCCAAATCTGAAACATTGTTGGCATTCCACAACATTCCAGATTTTCAAATTAAGGATGCTCACCGCAGTAAAGTTTATGTAAATCTTCAAAAAGTGAAAAACTCTGAAATCTGAACCACATCTGGACCCCAGCATTTAAGATAAGACATATTCATCTTGTATTCACTTGCTAGTAAGAAACAGAAAAGTGGGCTGGGGAAATAGCTCAGTGATAGAGTGCGTGCCTCCCATGCACAAGCCCCCGGGTTTGATTTCCAGCACCATAAAACCTGCATATGCATGCGTAAGCACGCGAGCGCGCACACACACACACACACACACACACACACACACATTTTAACAAAGGGAAGTCAGAATTATGGAAACTGGTCTGGTTGAAATGAATGGGCATGCCCAGGGATGTTGTGTCAGGTCCCCAAGGACACCCCTACATTCAGAAACCAGAACAACTCATAGGAGTTAACATATAGTTTCACTAAGTTTTGTTGTGTAATTCTGATGTGTTATGGTTATGTAGTAAGAACACAGCTGGGTTACAGGGGACAAAGACACAGGTAGGATCTGGAGGAATGTATGAACGGGCTTCCTTATGCTCTTATTGACCCCATCGGGGAATCACACAGCTCACTCTGCCCCTAGCAGTGAAAATACAGCAACCTGTTTGTGATGTTTCTGCCCAATGACATCAGTTAGGGACCTAGCTTGAACTGGTCAGGCAGGCATCCTCTGCCTAGCATATACCACAATTCCAGATAAAGGAAAACAGCATAAACCACATAGTTCACACAGTCTAGGCATCGTGAACCACCTTATGAGTTAACTGTTGCTTGGGAATATTCTGGGAACTGAGTTCCTAGATACTGAGGGCAAGCAGGATTTTTTGAGGTTAGCAGTCTTGGGCCTTCTGTATGAACTCTTCTGCACAGGTATGAGTAAGTGTACATAAATCATACAGGAGCCTTCCAGAGGCCCCATGTCTCACTGCTCTACAGATCTGCACATCACTTGAGCCCTGTATTCCTCCAGCATTGCCCTCACTTCTCCATCCAGGGTAATTTGCAGCCTTCCTGCAGTTCCCTGAAGGTGAAACTGAGCAGGACAGCACAGCCATCCAGTCCAAAGGCCCAGGCAGTTCCCCAGGAGATCTTTTCAGAGGCTCCTTGGATGGTGCAGGGAGTCTGAGCAACCTGAGCAGTGGAAACCTATCTATCTTAAACCTCTGATCTTCCTCCCTCAGGAAAAAGCCAAGCCCCAGTGTTTGATGTGTTTGAAGCTTTTCTCAATACCGACAACATCCAGGTCTTTGCTAACGCAGCCACTAGTTACATCATGTGCCTTATGAAGTTCGTCAAAGGACTGGGTAAGTGGAATCCTCCTTTCATGCCTCGTAACCTCTGAAGACACTTTCTAGGATGACTTTGTGCCAAAGGCCCTGGAGACAGGGCCCACTGACCAGTAGGAGAAAACAAACATCATGGGATATAAACAAATGGGGTGTGTCATGTACTCGGGGGCAGAAAGCATATTGGGAAAGCAACTTGGGTTTGATATTTTTTTTAATTGCATTCATGGAATATCTTGTAAGATAATATATTTTCAATCTATATGTTGTTTTGCCAACTTATTTTCCAATCTTAAAATATTTTCAATATTATCTTCAAAAACTGCCTTTTGTAGGAAACTACCCTCCTCGGTGTCAAACAATTAGCAGTCTGAGTTTGATTTCCCAGCTCCTAAGAATTCAGAATGCCTCCCACCAGGCCTTATTAATCATAAAATGTATTTTGGACATGTAGACATCCCTCTTCTCTGAGGCCTAAAGTATTTCAAGAACTAGGTCATTTGATTTTATGCTTAATTTAGGAACATTTAATAGTGTAAAGTCTTGCTATACAACAAGACCTGCTGGAGCTGAGTTTTTTCTAAATTTTTTTTTTGTAGTTGTAGATGGACAGAATGCCTTTATTTTATTTGTTAATTTTTATGTGGTGCTGAGGATTGAACCCAGAGCCTCAAGCATGCTAGGCAAGCGCTTTGCCACTGAGCTACAGTCCCAGCCCTCGAGCTGGTTTTTATATAGCACAGATTTCCCTGGGGTGAAATGGAAGGAAGAGACAGTTAGTTAACCCAAACATTAAAAGAAACTTGAACTTTTGAGAGTTTTGCCATGGAGTACATTTAGACTTGCAGGCTGAAACCCTTGGAAATAGTAATAGTATAAAGTCAATATTATTTTATATTCTTGCTATGTAATTGATGGTTCTTATGCAAAAGAAAATCAGACACAAAGAAACTGTGTGTCTCATGTCACCCTTATTTTTGGAATAGGAATAAAATGCAAGTTTCAGGATAGAACTCAGAGGCCCTAAGTCTGATCTATAGACCATTCTTGTTACAAGTGCATCACCCTCACTCTCTGATATACCATAGTCTCACCTTGTCCACAGAACCCCAGAGGATGCCTGGAACCATAGATAGGCCAAACCTTATATATGCTATGATTTAATATGCTATGATTTATAAATTAGGCAGAGTAAGACACTAACAATAACTAATTATAAAATAAGAACAATTCTAACAATATACTGATACTATGACAGTCTGATAACTCAGGCAACTACTAGAGGACAATAGACAGGTAACATATACCATGTGGATATGCTGGACAAAGGGATGATTCGCATCCCAGGTGGGATGGAGAGGGTGGTGTAAGATTTCATCACACTACTCACAATAGCACACCATTTAAAACCTGTGAATTATTTGTTTCTGGAATTTTCCACCTAATAATTTCATGATATGGTTGATCACAGGTCACTGAAACCTCTGATAGTGAAACCATCGATAATTCCAATTATCGTCCATATTATAGGGAGAGAAATATGAATAAAACAGATTTCTTGCTGCAAGATCTCACAGCCCCTTTGGAAGCAGATACATAAATCAGTAATTATAGTCCATAAAGACAAATGGTTTAATAAAGATGGCAGGGGGAGGGCGGCACTGATACTAAAATGAGTAGTAGTACCTGAGACAGGGTGTTTGTCAGTAGGGCCATACAGGTTTCAAAAAACAAGTAGCATCTGAATTTTATAAAGTGTGCAGGTTTGCCTTTCTAGAAATAGGGTTCATTGAGGGTACCCTGACAGGTCAAAAAGGAAGGGGCCAGGCTGTGTTGCTACATACCCTGTCGGGAAATGTAGAATGAGTAGGGAAGGTTTTTCTGCTCGACAGTCATGAAGATCCATGCGATATATGAAATTACACTGGCAGACACATGTCCCTTAGATAGGGCAAGAAGCTGTAGGCAGAAGCACCATTTCTGGCACAGTTTGGGGAGGATAGCAATGAGAGAATAGGCTCCAGCAGTATTCTAGAGGTGATATCTAAAGAGCCTGTGTCTGCTTAAATGTGAAGCCTGAGACAGGGACGACTGAGGACCACTCCCTGTCCAACAAGTGTCTTGGAAGGACCAGTGTTACCCAGAATTAGGATATCCAAAAGGAGAGCAGCTTTGATATAGCGGAGAGTGTCTCAATGTGTTCAGATTGCTATAACAAAATACCTTAGGCCAGGTAATTTATAAACAATAAAAGGTATTTCTCACAAGTCTGGAAATTGGAAAGTCTAAGATCAAGGCACCGAGAGATTCAGTGTTTAGTGAGGGATCGTGTGCTTCACAGCACTGTCTGCTTGCGGCATCCTCATATGGCAGGAGAATAAGGTGACTCTCTGGAGCCTCTTTTTTAAGGGCACTAATTCCATCCACCTTCTAATACCATCACCTTGGTTATTAGGTGTAATATAAATTGTGTGGGTCGGTCGCAAATAATGATCATGGCAGATAGGAAAAGTATTTATTCTTTTTTGGCCAATGAGACACATTTTCTATGAAATAATAAGAAATGCCTAGCCACATATTAAAAATTTGAGATTTTGGTCTGAGGAGTTAGGAACTAAAAATAGAGATGCCAAATTATCTGAGTGCATGTGGAAGATATTTAAAACAGGTTCGATTTCTGTGTGTGAATTATAAGGTGGAGTGATTTGTCTGGAGTTTGGGGTTAGTGGGAGATGCAGAGTTCTCAACACAGCCACACTGCCCGAGTACTGTGCAGCTCCATGGAGTGCCATTCACAAATATTTGAGTGTGTGACATGGAAAAAGGTTGACATAGCTGCTGTAATCAATAGGATAGGAAGTTATTTATGTATTTCCACCCATTTATTTCAATATGAATTTGATCTGGCTTCTGTTTTGGTATCATGAAATATAGTCATGTCAACTAGGGGTTGGCAAAGTACTTGCAAGCCAAATCTGACTCAGTGAGAGTTTTTATAAATAAAATTTTATTGGAACACAGCCATGGTCATTTGTCCATGGCTGCCTTTGTGCTACAAAGAAGTTGAGAAGTTGCCATACAAACATATGACCTGCAAAGCCTTAGGTACTTACTGTCTGGCCCTTTACCCAGAGTAGGCCAACTCCTGATCATAGACATTTTTTTTTTCTTTTTCTTAAGAGAAGAAACATGCCTCATGGCTTCTGAGTTTTAACTAATGCCTAGTAATTATGTCTGTCTACTCACAGGGGAGGGTGCTAGTTGCTACAATAGTAGACAATTAGAAACAATTACAGTGTTGAGGAATGATTTTATTAAAAGTATTGAAATATATTCATTATATGAGAAAAATTATAATTCTCAATTATAATTATTGAAAATCTAGATGCCCTTCTATAGTGTTTCATCTGTACATATATACAAAAAAAATAGAATTCATTTAAATTCACTTAAGTAGACTCTGTCCCCAAACCCTCCATGTTTCTTCAGACTCTTCCCAGAGCCCTCGTTTATCATCATCATTTAGTGCTGCGTACTGGCAGCACACAAGTTCCTTGTCCATTAGAGACTAAGTGCTTCGTTCCAGTCCAGCACAGGGCTTGTCCCTGGGGTCATCTTCTCCCAACAGAGCTTCAGAAGTGACACCGTCTGGCAGCAGGGCCTGGAGAAGTGAATCACAGTGTGTCCATGAACAAAAGAACCCAGTCTGGCTACTGAAAGTACTGGGGTAGAAAAGAGAAGAAATGTTCACTGTAGGGTTAAAAATGGCCAAGAGGGCTTTTCTCAGGGTTGTGCCTTGGGGTCATTTTTCTTTTCTCCCACTCTCTGCTTTGGTGACTATCTGATGAACTTGCATGATGTGAGAGAGCAGATCGGAAGGCAAGGGTGATTTGTCTGTCTGCCCTAGGGGAGGTGGACTGTAAAGAGATCGGAGACTGCGTCCCAGGAACAGGAGCCACATCCACAGACCTTTGCCTCCCTGCCCTGGAGTACCTCCGCCGCTGCTCTCAGGTATGGGGAGAAATTGTCCCTTAAACCTGCCTCACGGGTGTTCCCAAAATACGAGCCGATATCTTTTGCTGAAACCCAGGAGAGACACTGTCTTCTGTGTGAGAAGATGGGAGCTTAGCCTTGGAATATATATTTTTGTTCCTACCCTTTCCATGAAGAAAAACAAAAGATATACTGGGACACTCAATGAGATCCTCAGATGCCCGAAACTTCTCACCTCCGCTCAGACATCATAATCTACCATAATCTCTGCTTGCATCAGCCTGTAGAGAAGGGGTCACAGGACCATGGGAGGTCTTCCCGGTAGTACTAAAAAGTGGACCATGGAAAACACACACACACACACACACACACGAGGGATATGTTCAGTTAAGATCTCATGAAGAGATCCAGTAAAACAATGCTTATCTAAAATGCACCTTCATTGTGCATTTTCCTTGTCTTTGACAAGCAGGACAATGTTCCCTCCTCAAAACATTTTCTCCTCAGGCGCAGAGACAGCCCTGTGTGTGTGTGTGTGTGTGTGTGTGTGTGTTTTTTTTCCTGTTTTCTCAGGTTGTATACCAGGCCTCTTCTGGGGTCCACCTGCCTGTCTGTCTGTGATACCACTGAGTCCCATGAGTTGGAGAGGAGAGATGCTTCTGATTTCTTCCCCCAGCTGCCTTCCCCAGGCCCCATATGCTGTCCCCCCCACCCCAAGCCTCCCTCCACCCCAGGTCCTTCCCTCTCACTCAGGGCTCCAGCCACATTTCCCTGGTTTCTAGAACTATGTGGACCCAGCAGGCATGATTCTAATTCATGAAACTGTTGGAGTCCTGGGGGACTGTGCTCCAGCAGCAGAGGAGAATAAGGAGCCCAGCCACCTGCTCTTCAGCCCTGCTTCTAAGACTTCACCTCTCCCTCGCTGCCCTCAGACACCTCCATTTCTCCTCTGCTCTTGCCCCCCTCTCTTTCCTGACAGGTTGGGTCAGGGATGGGGAAGCCAGAGGCTTGTATTTCATCTTCCTATAGAGTCTTTCCCCCACAGGCAAATTCTTGACATGTTCATGGTTCCTTTAGTAGGGTGATAAAACTCTTGTAATCAAGATACTGAAAAATCATCCACTAATTTTTATTAGCATTGCTACTGAGCTATTTCATCATCTTCATGGGATAAATGTCCCTTGTAAGCTCCCTTATAAATCATCACAAACTAACTTCAAAACGTTTCCTGTGTCCCCTTTGTCACTGCTGTATACTTTAATTGTTCTTTCACTCCCAGAGTACAGATTTTTTCAATATCTAATTGTAGCATTTGGATTTTTTTCTTTTTATTGTTCAGTTACTGGCCAAAATCTACAAAATGCCCTTGAAGCCAATATTCCTTAGCGGGCGGCTTGCTAGTTTGCCTCGAAGACTTCAGGAGCAGTCAGCAAGCAGTGAGGATGGAATCGAGTCGGTCCTGTCTGATTTCGATGATGACACTGGTAAGTTAGTTGATTGGCCTAAACCAGATTATTTGCTATGTGCATAGTCCCAGAAGTTTAAGTCAGACGTTAAGTAGCTTACAGTTATAAAAGTAGTCCTCCTTTTTTATTTTTTATATCAAAATAAGTTTGCCTAAAGTTCGTATGGTCTTTTCAAAAACAGCACTTTACAATCAGTGCTTCCAAACCTTGGTCTTGAAGATGCAGCTTTGCAGATTCCACTAAATTTAGTTTCAAACTCCAAATTCTCTTGAATTGAGCAAATTGGAAAGAAGTTGCACTAGTGCATTTTGTACTTAAATTGGCTAGTAATTGTCTTTAATAGCTTTTTGGAAACACAATCATTATATAATTACTTCCTGCAGGACTATTTGGTTAGAGACTGGGGAAATTAAGTCATTACTGAAGAGGGAAGCTATTTTGTGACTGGTGAAGCTGAAGGCTCAGGAAAAGAATAGTTTCAAAAGAATCTGTTTTAAATTAGGTCCCACGTACTCTCCTGTGAATCAGAGTTCAAGCTAGTAACTTGGAATAATTTTCAGGTAGGTTAACTCATGTTCACACCAACTGTCTTCTGTCTCAGAAGACCCTTCCTGTTCCACTTTAAGAAATGGAAAGTATAGGACTGGAGTTGTAGCTCAGCGGTAGAGCACTCACCTAGCACATGGGAGGTGCTGGGTTCAATCCTCAGAACCACATAAAAATAAATAAATAAAATAAACACATAAAAAATAAAACCTAATTTTTTAAAAAAAGAAATGGCAATTATACCTTAAATAAACCTATTTGGTGTGATATATTGTTTCAAGTCCTTGCAAAAGAACTTTTGGAGAGAGGTTTTTCACCTGCTTTCATTTCACTGTCACAAATTTATGGAGGTGACAAGAAGATTTACAGTTTTGGATAGGGATTATCTTACAGTAAAACCTCACTAGTTCTGATTGGTTGAGAGGAAGCACTAAATGAAAAATAAATATCAAATATAGAGAACAAATACTGAATATTCATTAGATGTTACTTAATGTAGTTTTTATTTTAATGATTAGATAAGAATAATTTTTACTTAGCATTTGAAATCTCCAATCCATATAATTATAAGCAGAAGCTAATGTTATTAATCTATAATACAGTCTTTAAAACAATCATAAATGTTGATGTATTACCATGAGCATTCTTCTTCACATTTGTGCAAATAATTAATCCACTTTTTTCAAGGAGGCCCATCTTCTTATGGATAAAGCTCAGCCAAGAACCTATCTGAAGTTGGTTCCACATTATCAATTCTAGGATCTTAAAGTTATGTATGAAACACAGATCAAAGAATAAAGTTAAAAGCTACAAGTCAGTTTTAAAACTGCACAATTCACAGCATTAATAGATCCTTAGGTACTATTTCTCTGGAACATAATTACTCCCCCACCTTGAAAATTCAAACATATCCAAAACTAGACAGAGGACAGAGTATACAAAAATATAGAGATAATATACAAAACTGGACATAATGGTATCACCCTCTTTCAACTCCTATCAATTTATGACTAATCTCAGGTGATGTCTATTTTCCTTTTCTTTCCCTCTGTTTTAATTTAAGGCAAAACCCAAATCATTTTAGTATTTCATCTGGAAATATTTCAGTACGTGTGCTTTAAATATAATATAGGATACAGAGATATTTTCTGTATTTCCCCCTTAGTTCTTATATGGGCTCTTTGGCTGGAACTAGGAATCCAACTAATTTAAGATTGATTGATCAGAGAAAGCATAAAAATTTTATTAATTTTACATGAGCATGGAGATCTTCACAAAAGTAAAGTTCAAAGAAATGACCAAAGCATAATGCTTTTATAGTTTTTAGACAAAACACAATAAATTTGTGAAAAAATAACAATATAAATGGATCTCTAGGCTAAGGTAGTAAATTCTAGGGATGTTCCTAAGAGATGCATTGGGGAGAGAAGGTAGAAGATATGGATTATTTCAATAGTTTGTTCATTCAGGTTCATTATGTACCAGTTACCAGTCTATGGTGATCAAAGCTGTTATCCATCCTTGGCATGGGAAGGTCATCCCTCTAAAAGAATCTCTGTCTTGTTGCATGTAGGAAGAGATAGGCCAGATGACCCTTTCTAAAATTATGGTTTTTCAAGTGATTTGAGCTAGAAATAACCAGTATGCCATCTCAGCACATTTTGAGATGGTATGTCCTTCAATAACAGGCATTAATTACCACAATGTCATTATCATACCTGAACATAAACAATGGTGGATTAGAGGTTGCCTGGGCTGCAATGAGGAGCTACTGCTTGATGGTTACAGGGTTCTGTGTGAGGTGATGAAATAGCTGTAGTGTACAACATTGTGCATCTAATTAATGCCACTCAATTGTACCTATAAAAATGGCTAACTTGCTATTTTTTGTTGTATTTATTTGCCACAATAAAATCATTTTCACCAGGCGTGGTGGTGCACACCTGTAATTCCAGAGACCTGGGAGTCTGAGGCAATAGGATCACAAGTTCAAAGCCAGCCTCAGCAACAGTGAGGCACTAAGTAATTCATTGAGACCCTGTCTCTAAATTAAATACAAAATAGGGCTGGGGATGTGGTTCAGTGGCCAAGTTCCCCTGAGTTCAATTCCCAGTACCCCCCCCATAAAAAAGAAAAAAAGTCATTTTTCAAAAAAGACTAAGATGATTAAACTAAAAAGAAAACTTAATTCTTTTGCTAATATTAGCTCCCAAGAAATCCAACAATCATTTCAATATAGAATTTACAGACCATATCACCCTTTTTTCACAATTTTTATTGGTGCATTTTATTGTACATCGCGCATGCATAATACATACTGTACATTCGTGCATGTGCACAATGTAATGGTATAATTTGGACACTTTCACTCCTCAACACTTTCCTCTTCCCTTTGTCCCTTTCCTCTCCTGAATCCCCTTGATTTCATGACATCTTCCCCCACTTTTCCTTTTTCCTCTCTAGCTTGCACATGAGAGAAAACTTCTTGACCCTTGACCTTGTGACTTATTTTGCTTAATATGATGGTTTCTAGTTCCATTCATTTTCCTGTAAATGACAATTTCATTTTTCTTTATGGCTGAATAAAACTTCATTTTATAAGTGTGTGTGTGTGTGTGTGTGTGTGTGTGTGTGTGTGTGTGTGTATATATATATATATAGAGAGAGAGAGAGAGAGAGAGAGAGAGAGAGAGAAAATAAATATATATGTAATATATATTTCTTTTCTTTATCCATTATACATTGATGTATACCTAGACTGGTTCAATATTTGGCTATTGTGAATTGTGCTGCTATAAATATGGATATGCATGTGTCACTGAAGTGTGATAACTTTAATTCTTTAGGATAAATACTGAGGAGTTGTATATAGCATATGGTGGTTCCATGCCTAGGCTTTTGAGAAGCCTCCATATTGATATCCATGGTTGTTCTAATTTACAATCCCACTAACAGTGTAAAAGAGTTCCTTTTTCTCCATATCCTTTCCAGCATTTATTATTGTTTATATTCTTAATGACTGCCATTCTGACTGGTGTACAATGAAATCTCATTTTGATTGGCATTTCCCTAATTGCTAATTCTGATTGGCATTTCTAATTTTGATTGGCATTTCCCTAATTGCTAATTATGTTGACCATTTTTTCATGTATTTGTTGCTGGCCATTTGTATTCTTTTGAGAAGTGTCTGTTTAATTAATTTGCCCATTTATTAATTGGGTTGATTTTTTTGGAGTAAAGTTTGAGTTCTTTATAAATTATAGGTATTAATCCTCAGAAGAATAGCTAGCAAGGATTTTCTACCATTTTGTGGGTTCTCTATTCACATTCCTGTTTCCTTTGCTGTGTAGAAGCTTTTTAATTTAATGCCATCCACTTTATTAATTATTATAATCATTTCCTGAGCTTTAGGGGTTCTACTGAGAAAGTTGTTGCCTGTGACTATAAGTTGGGGTGTTCAACCTACATAGTTTCTAGGAGTTGCATAGTTTCTGTCTAATTCCAAGGCCTTTGATCTATTTTGAGTTGATCTGTGCAGGGTGAGAGAGAAGGATCTAGTCGCACTCTTCTACATATGGGTAACCAGTTTTCCCAATACCATTTGTTAAAAGAGGCTATCTTTTCTCCAATGTATGTTTTTTGGCACTTTTGTCAGATGACTGTAGATGTGTGAGTTTGTGCCTTCAATTCTGCACCATTGATTTACGTTTCTGTTTTTATGCCAGTACCATGCAGTTTTTGTTACTTTATCTCTGTAGTATAATTTGAAGCCAGGTATTATGATGCTTCCAGTATTACTTTTTGGCTTAAAATTGCTTTTTGCTATTCTTGGTAGTTTATTCTTCCAAATAAATTTTAGAACTGTTTTTACTAGTTCTGTCATTGGTATTTTGAAGGGGATTGCAGTGAATCTGTATATTGCTTTTGATAGTAAGGCATAATTAATATCATTAAAATGGCCAATCTGTGAACACGGGAGGTCTTTCTATCTTCTGAGGTCTTCTTCAATTTATTTCTTCAGGGTTCTACAGTTTTCATTTTAGAGGTCTTTCACCTCCTTGGTTAGATTTATTCCTAGGTATTTTTTTATGAATAGGATTGTTTACCTGATTTCTTTCTCAGAAGCTTCATTATTATTATATAGGAAAACTATTGACTTTTGTATATTGATTTAGGAACCTGCTACTTTGCCAAATTTGTTTATTGGCTCTAACAGTCTTGGTGAAATTTTTTAGATCTAGATATAGGATCATATTATCTGCAAACAGTGATAATTTGACTTCTTTCTTTTCTATTTTTAGCCTTTTTATTTCCTTCTCTTGCCTAATTGCTCTGGCTAGAATTTCTAGCATTATATTAAATAGGAGTAGTAAGAATGCTTATCCTTTTCTTCTCCCAGATTTTAAAGGAAATGCCTTTAGTTTTTCCCCATTTACTATGAGGTTGGCTTTGAGTTTTTCATATATAGCCTCTATAATGTTGAGATAGGTTCCTTTTATCCCTAGTTTATTCAGTGGTTTTTATCACAAGTGCTAAAATTTTGTTAAAGGCCTTCTCTGCAACTATTTAGTGATTTTTGTCCTTGGTACTATTTGTGTAATAAATTATTAATTTTTATTAAACCATCCTTGCGTCTTTGTATGCCACAACCAAGTTGGTTTTATTCCAATCTTAATAAAAATAAATTGTGTTCAACAACATTTTTTTGCATCTAAGTTCATCAGGGATATGTAGTTTTCTTTCCTTGATGTGTCCTTATTTGATAAGAGTGTGATACTGGATTTATAGAATGCATTTAGAAGTGTTCCATCTCTTTCTATTTCATGGAAGAATTTGAGGAGCATTGGCATCAGTTTTACTTTAAAGATTTGGTAGAATTTAGTTGAGAATACATTCAGTCCTATGCTTTTCTTTGTTGGAAGGCTTTTAATTATTGCTTGTATCTCATTACAAGTTATTGGTCTATTTAGGTTTTCTATGTCCTCTTGATTCAGTTTTGACAGATAATATTTATCTAGACATATATTCTATATATGCTACGTTTTCCAATTTATTAGAGTATAAGTTTTCAAAATATTCCCTAATGGATTTCTGTTATGTCTGTGGTGATTTCTCCTTTCTCATCTCTAATTTTATTAATTTGATCTTCTTTTTCTTTTGATTAGTTTGAAAAATGGCTATATCACCTTTTTATTAAAGGGCAGTTTAGTAGTTTAGTTCTCCCTTTGCTTTGTCAGAACATGTAAATAATAATCTGTCCCTGTTTATGTAGGTAGTGAACACTAACACCCCCAGGTAGTGTCTCACATCTGATGTGCTTGACTGCTTAGATAAAGTTTTAATCGAATCTTGCCATGATTCTTCATGATGTTTAACTGGATTGCACAGAGATCTGCTTTTTTGGTCTCCAGGTCTAATAGAAGTTTGGATTATCCTGTTAGAGCAGCTCACAGCAGCTGTGTCCAACTGTCCACGTCAGCACCAACCACCAACCTTGGATTTACTCTTTGAGCTGTTGAGAGATGTTACCAAAACACCTGGTAAATATGTCTATGTCTGATTTTGGAGGGAGGGATGTTATCCAGAAAAACCATCCTGAAAAAAACCATATGTCTACCTGTTTTCACTGTTTCCTACACTTAATGCAAAACTTCACTCATAATAGGTGTTTAATAGGTATTTATTGAATGGCTATGATGCATTAATATGTAAGATATAATATTCGGGACATATGTTCATACTTTTTCCTTCCAGTCCATTTATAAAGGTCCCATGGTGGTCATTTAGGTGTGTTGGAGTCCCACATTAATTGGGCCTAGGCTATTGTATCCATGTCTCCATGAGCCAGTGGGCTCTGCCATAGTTCTGTGATCCCAGTCTTCTTCCTTGGACAGATCATTCAGTGCATGCTCTGGGCCCAGGGTCATCAGGAGGGCTCACCAGGTCTACTGCTTGCATCCACAAACCACTCACAAATATATGCAGTAGTCAGACAGCCACATCTTATTTGTATAAAGGTCATACGTCATTAAATTTGGAAAAAGACATTTAATACATAGTGCAGTCCTCTGCCTGTATAAGGGGATAGGGACCTTAGAAATTTGTCTTTTTCTGAATTAATCCAGTTTATCACACACAGTTCTTCACCCCAGTTTCTTCAAGTTCAAAGAAACTTGTTATAGGAATTTGAGTTTTGAGTCAGAACTCTAAATGAAACCACTAATTTGCTGAGAAGAAGAGACCTATAGTCACCATTTTGAGTACTTGATAATTGATACTATTTAGAATTCATAGCAATTTTTAAACGAATTTTTTTCAGAAAAAAAAAAAACATGTCAAAAAGCTAAAAGCCTTCCATCAAAGAAAAAGCAAGTATCTTATAGAACTAATTATATGATACTCTTTCTAAATCTGTCTTACTGCTAAGTACCATTTTCTATTTTCACATTAATTGCCACTAAATGTATATGAAAGCATTTAACCCAATAATTCTCTTAGGACTCTCTCATATAAGGAAATAAATAGTAATGAAGACAAAATTGTATGAGTGCCAAAACATCCTAATGCAAAAAACTTAGGAACACCTTAAATGGAAAACAGTTAATTATGGTAAAGAATATAAATAATCTGAAGGATTTAATATCCACAAATAATATTTAATGACATAATTGTTTATAAGTCATTATGTTAAAATTTATATACTATGGAGTATAATTACTACAATATAAAATTTTAGGCATTTATGAAAGTACATATGCATTAAAAACCTAATAGAAATATATGAAATGTTATATCTCAGGGGGGTTTTTTTCCTTCTTTTTATTATGATAGTTTTCATATAAAAAAGGTATCTCGCTTTTAAAGTCAGAATTTTAGTAATTTATTCTATAAGGAAGCACAAAAATTGTACTTATAGCATTATCTATAAAAGCAAAATGTTAGAAACATCTTAAACGTCCATCAGTAAAGGAATGAAAAAGTAAACCGTTTCATATATATACAATGGGAATACTATATGTGGCTCTAAAAATAAGGAATATCTCAATTTGCATATCAAATATGAAGATCAAGGTTTACATTTTTCTCCTTTATGTAAAAGTATCTTTAAAAACTTCAAAGCAGCATGGTGGTTAACACCTGTAGTTCCAGCTACTTGGGAGGCTGAAGCAGGATGATGGCTTGAGCCCAGAAGTTCAGGGACACCCTATGAAAAGAAATAAATAAAACTCAATATTTCTTTATATTCTACATAAAAATGCATATATATTTTAAGGGTGTTTTCTTACATGCATATACGTATCTAAGTGTTTACATCTAAGGACCCAGGGACTAGGATTTGATTAAATATTTTAGCATCATTGATATTTGAAATTTTTATAAGAGTTTATTCATATATTACTTAATATAACTATAGTCATGCAGAAATAAAAGAAGAAAAGTTACATTGACTAAGGAATACTAATGGTAATTCTTTTCCCCTGTACCTTCTCAGATAATGGAGAGACCTTTCAAGTTTCATTTCTGATCCTGACCTTTCTTTTTCAGGACCGGGGTTTGGAATCTATGCAGTTGTTCACCTTCTTCTTCCCGTGATGTCCCTATGGCTCCGTCGTAGCCATAAAGACCATTCCTACTGGGACGTGGCCTCTGCGAACTTCAAGCACGCCATTGGTCTGTCCTGCGAGCTGGTGGTGGAGCACATTCAAAGCTTTCTACACTCAGGTAGTAATGGCACCACAGCAGGTCATTCTGGGCATTGCTTTAGCAGGCAGCATCATTGTCCAAAAGTGCTTAGTGGATACCTAGCACAAATACTTTTGTCCTGGGAATAATTAAAATAGAATTACATGGTCAGTGCCAGCCTTCTAAGAGTATATCATCCTCCAACAGAATAAATACATGTGTAATTGAAAATAAAACACCCAATAACAGCTCTAGCCTAACTCCAAGTACATAATATACTACAAAGAAAAAGAAAAGAAAGAAGGAAGAAATATTGCTGTAGCTGGGAGTGAGGAGGGTGTATCCTGCTTCATCCAGGAATATTAAATGAAGGAAATAGCCCTTCAGAAAAGGCTTTAATTATGGACAAGACATTGACAGTTTAGAGATAGAAGTTTCTTACTATCTGGCACTTTGAAAAAGATATGGAGCTGGGCATAATGCCTGTAATCTCAGCAACTGGGAAGGCTGAGGCTGGAAAACTGTAAGTTCAAGGCCAGTCTCAGCAAGATCTTGTCTCAAAAAGCATACAGGGCTGTTGCTCAGTGGTTAAGCACTCCTGGGTTCAATCCCCAGTACCACCCCCCCACCACCAAAATGTGGAAGTGTGGGATGAAGAGCATGTCAAAGTTAGCAGAGGCAGGAGAAATATTAGTTTGGAACCCATGGAACCACAGTTGTGAAATGTAGAGTCTTGTTCATGACCTGTCACAAAAATATCTGGAGGTTTGGGAGAAGAAACATGGCTGCTAACAGAGATAGAGGAAGAGAGATAGAAAGAGGAAGAAGAAGAGAGAGGGAGGGAGAGATAGATATATACAGGAGGGGGGGAGGGCGAGAGAGAGTCTGCTTGCTGGGAAGATATACTAAGGAGAACTTCAAAGTATAGATAAGAAAAGTAATGGGGAAAGAAAACAAGTAGGTTTTTCCACATGAGATGGCAACTGTGTCCCTAGGGGTCAACGTTCTTGACCAGAGCATTGTTTAGCATGGCACAGGACCTGGAGGATTCTACTGCAAATTCCTCCTATGGCATCATAAGGACCTCAAGGGGAAAAAAAGTAGATGTATTCCTTGAATTGAGCATTTGAATGTGATTTCCAGGATTCTTATATCCTCTCATCTGAGAATAGTATGCAGACAGAGCCAAGAAGTGGTAGGACTAGGACATTTAGTTCAATTTAATTTGGCTGTCAGCAGTAAGGAAGGTGAATTCTAATTGTCCATTTAAGTTTAAATTTTTAATCAATATTCAGGCTATCTCATATTTTCTGTTCCATTTAAGCATATGAATTATTATATAGTTAACTTTGAAAGTTTAGATCAACACATAAACATGAACCATATGGATGAAACAAGCTGAAACTGGGTAACAATCCAAGAGAAGAATTTTGTTAGGGGGTGTTCTTTTCCCCACATATGTATGTGTCTCTATCAGACTCTCCTCTCTTGCTAGCTAATTCAATGTATCCCTTTATACTGGAGTTGTACAAATCTTAGATTTTCTTCTTCCTATAGACATCAGGTACGAGAGCATGATCAACACCATGCTAAAAGACCTCTTTGAGTTGCTGGTGGCGTGTGTGGCCAAGCCTACAGAAACCATCTCCAGAGTGGGCTGTTCTTGCATTAGGTGAGACAAAGCTTCCCTGGCTCCCCACAAAGTTGTAGGTTTCATTACAAAATCCAAGGAATTTATCTTTTGTAGTAGCAATCCACTTTGGGGATTGATTTTTCTAAGTAAAACTGAGCAAGTACTAATAAGTTTTCAAATATCTGTTGTATCAGGCATCCTTACAAGGTACTCTGGTGCACAGGAAGTAACCTAAGTCAAGATTCCTACCATCAGGGAACTCAATGTGTATTCAAAATGACATGAAAGAGATGGTCATATGACAAAGGATGATCATATGGAATAATCGAATGCCAAGGCAGGGTAGGAGGTGTAGGGAGAAGGATAAGCAGGAAGAATTTTGGTGGGTAGTGACACTTGGTCAGATCCTCCAAACCAAGTAAGGTTTCCAGAGGTGGGAACATCCTGAGCAGGAGAGTAAAGTAAACAGATGCATAGAGATAAGCATGATAAGTGACAATAAGGGGTTTGTTTCCTATGAATGTAGAAGAGTGGTAGAAATGTCCTAGAAAGAAAAAAATAAATGCAGAATACATACAGTCCTGCATATGAGCCTAAGCGGAAACTCTGGCCTGTTTGTAATGGGGATCTGTTGATAATTCTGTATTAAAGTGGTTTAGGAAATAGTATTTTGAGAGTGGAATGCCAGGTGGAGGGACAGCAAGAGTGATTGGAAACAGGAAGCCCTTCACATAAGGCCCTAAATTTTGTGGTAACAGGATGAATGGATTCAAGACTTTTTTCCTTGTTTCTTTTGGCAGGTATGTCCTGGTGACAGCGGGCCCAGTGTTCACTGAGGAGATGTGGCGGCTGGCTTGCTGTGCCTTGCAAGACGCCTTCTCCGCCACCCTCAAGCCAGTGAAGGTAAGCTGTTTGAAGGAAAGCACCCAAGTGGTCTCTTCCACAGCCCACCAAGCACAGGGCCACATCAGATCCCAGGCTGGGCCTGGCATTGAGAACCAGGAAACACCCAGTAAACACATGTTCTTTCTCCCTAGGACCTGCTTGGCTGCTTCCACAGTGGCACCGAGAGCTTCAGCGGGGAAGGCTGCCAGGTGCGGGTGGCAGCCCCCTCCTCCTCCCCCAGTGCCGAGGCCGAGTACTGGCGTATCCGAGCCATGGCCCAACAGGTAAGGGCTGGGCTTTGGCTGGGCCTCAGAAGCTTCACGTGTATGCCAGGATTCCTTCCTGAAGGTCTCGCATCACCAAACTGCCTTTCATTCCCTTAGGACCATATACATCCTGGCCCTGACCTCTGGTCAGCACCACTCTTCCCAGGAATGACATTAGCCTAGGCACCTTTACACCCCCTCTCCACCTTCCCTCGCTTGATGCACCATCAAGTACCCAGATCAAACAGAGGCCTTCCTGCAGCCTGACCTCTTTATGCATAAAAAACCTGCTTAAGCAAACACTTATAAGTTGCCTAACTATTGTTACTGCTAAACTATGAGTGCCTAATGATAGCAGATTTATTTGATTTTTTTAAAATCTCCTGTGCAGAACACAGATCTTAACATTTAAAAGTGGCTTAAAATTTGAATTCAATGTAACTGGTCAGTAAAATATATCCCCCCATACAAGAATCATTGCATATCAATGGCTTTTCCCTTAAAAGTTGCAAATGTTAGTTGTGAGCTCCAGAGGAGCAGAGAATATATCCTAGACATTTGCCTTTGGTGATCCTAGAGCAAAGCAAAGAGGAGGTGCTTAGGATATGTTTGTTGAATCGATGAATTACTGAATCACAGAAGGCCTCATGGCATTACACAACATGGAAATCTCCCTCTAAGAAACTCAGCAGTACAACTAAGTGCTGTCCGTAAGTTCACATATATTCTTGACAATGCTGTTCACGAGAGTAAAAGAAGTGAAAATGGACTAATTCCCAACAACTGACTAGCCCAACACCCCATCACAAGTTTGAACTGTGTTCATAACATGCAGCTATTTTGACTATATATGTGTAAAATGTGAAAGTTTTACACATGTATAGGAACTGTCATATTTGAATTACATTTGAAGAAAGACTTGGATGCTATATTCAAAAAGCTCCATTTCTCTACTAGATCTGCTTGGATTCTTAATAAAAAATTTCCCCCAGCACACAGACAATCTCGGATCCCCTGATTATCAATGGAAGGAACTCAGTTACCTCCACACGGTCAGTTGAGAAGTTTCCTGGCAGGCCTGGCTTCTGAAGAGCTTTCCCCAGCAACACTCAGATAGTGGGACAAGAGTCTTCTTCCATCAGCCTCTCACACCTTCTGCTGAGCACCTTCGTAACATCCTGGGACCTGATGATTCTGCTGGTTCTGAAGGGAGAGAACTAGTCCCTCTGAAGCATCCTTAGTCAGTCTGAGAGAAGAAATAGTAAAACTGTTACAAAGAGGTACTTCCAGCAGTATGGCAACTGTGGATGGCGTGGAAAGAAGACTGGCTCAAACCAAGAGGGGTCCTCCAAAGAGTTTGCAGGCCTGAACAGGAAGCTGTGACACTTGGCTAATTGTCACATGTGTATACATACAGTGGTCTTTGCAGCCATACTGCAGGAATATGAAAATGTCAGTGGCATCTTCTGAAATAAATTGTTAGTAAAGAAGAACAGAGAAGCAATTTAGGCACCTAGAGTTCGTTCTTCCTTCCTTAATCCAAACCTTCCTTTTATATTCACTCTTAAAATAACCCAATATTCAATAATCTGGCAATTCTTACGATACTTGGAAAGAAGTGGTTTCCTTAAAAATAGTTAACTACTTCCAATGGTAATTTAAGTCAGGAGAAACGAAATCATTTGGATCAGAGCGCTGACATTTTTTAGTTCCTTCTGTCACTGTGTAATGGAGTAGGCTTAGCCACATCAGTAATCCTGACATAAGTCCTAATTAATTATTCCTGCACTGGATATAAAATGATACCAAACAGATGTCAAATTCAGAGATAATCCTTTATAAATATAGTCCCTTTTTATTTACTTTTAATATTAAATGTCAGTGCTGGCTATTTGGAATATCCTCTACTGTCAGATGATACAAGTGGTAGCATCGTTAGCATCAACAACAGCCATCGTCCATTATTTACTCTAATGCTTTGCATGTATAATACACATAAATTTGTTTAATTAAACATATGTACTAAATGGGAAACCATTATCCTCATTTTATAATAGAGAAACTAGGTAGAAAACAAACAACTCGCCAGGTCTACCCAACTAGTCCCTGGTGGGGTCAGATACAGGATGTTGGGTCCTGAACTGTGTCCCTGTATACCCTTTCAGGTATTTATGTTGGACACTCAGTGCTCACCCAAGACTCCCAACAACTTTGATCATGCCCAGTCCTGCCAGCTCATCATTGAGCTGCCTCCTGACGAGAAGCCGAACGGCCACACCAAGAAAAGGTAAGCAGCTAACCTTAAATGCAAAGGGCACCTGTGCCCAAGGAAGTTCATTGATGCCAGTTGTTGCTAATCCAAGCTTTGTCCAAGAATACTGAAAATGTGAAGTCCTTCAGCAGGTTTTCTTAAATATGGTTAGCCTTGTAACCAAAGCTCCCATTTCATTGTTCAAGTTGCCACAACCAAGTAACATAGGGTAGGTGACAAATGGCAGTGTTCTCTCACAGGTCTCTAAGTTAGAGATCAAGGTGTTGGCAGAACTCCTTCTCTCATTTTGGCTTACAGATGGCCATCTTCTGTGTCCCCTCACAAATCCTATCTATGTTTCTGTATCCAAATTTCCTCCTCTCATGGAGACCATAGTCATATGGAGTTAGTACCCACCCTAATGACCTCATTTGGACTTCATTACCCTCTTAAAGAACCTTTCTCCAAATACAGCCACATTCTGAAGTACTAGGGGTTAGGACTTCAACATATGAATTTAGAGTGGACACAACCAACTACATGTTATAATCTTTCATAAAACAATTATTGGCCAGGCACCATGGCTTGCACCTGTGGTCCCAGCCACTAAGGAGGCTGAGGCAATATTTGCACCCAGGAGGTCAAGGCCAGCCCAGACAACAATTATTGTAATTTGAGGCATTGTTCAGATTGTTTCAGTGAGAAATACATAAAATTCTCCATGGGTAATACCACTGTCAGGAAGCCAAAAGAAACATGCTCATTTAAAATACTATCACCCTGCCTAAAAGAGTTGGAGATGAACTTCTGACCATCTAGTGGTAGGCATTTGAGCACTAACTGTAAAATATGAGGGACCGATATTTTCACTAGCATTTTACTCACAAGACACATTCAGAGAGGCTGAGTCACTTACCCAAGGACTCACAAACTTCAAAGTATAAAGCTAGCATCAAAACCAGGTCTGGCTGGGTCCTTTGCCATTGTGGGAGAGAAAGTTGGTGCTGAATGCTTACAACCCTCCACATCCCTAGAGTTTACACCCTAGCCACCAATGTGATGGTATTAGGAGGTGGAACCTCTGGGCAGAAATTAGGTCATGAGGGTGGTCCTCGTGAATGGGATTAGTACCATCAAAACAGACATGAGAACTCCCTTGCTGCCACACGAGGAAACAGCAAGAAGTCAGCTTTCTGCAAGCTCCAGAGAGCCTCCCCAGAATTGAACCAGGCCAGCACCCTACTCTCCGACTTCCAGAACTGTGGCTATCTAATCAACAAATTGATTTTTCAATCAATGGTATTTAGTTACAGCAACCTAAGCTTAGACAGATATCACTCATAGACTCTGGGTAATTTGTTCAATAGTTAGTTGGTTAGATTTAGTCAAATGCTTGATACATACAAAAGGATACATGGAATACTCAAAAGTTTTGAAGCATAAATAAAAACTAAAATAACTATGTACCTGCCACCCAACTTCAGAAATAGAACTTTCCCAATACCCTCTATTCTTTCCCAGTTCCAGTCTCTGCCTCCCTTAACTGCCAGCCACTAGTTTTTAAGTGTCATTTTTGTGTGGGTTGTATACCAAAAATTGTGTAATCCTTTCACATTTAAAACATCAATCCGTTTGCAATTTTCATTCTTTTTCTCCTCTTGTCCTTTTTTTAAATATATATTTCTGGTTCCAATGCAGCCAATTATTCTTCCTGAAAGATTGTTGAAGTAAAAGTAGGAAAAACAACAAAGGAATAGTAACGGGCTGAGTTCAAATTATAAATAAAACATAGAAAAAGTAACATAACCTATTATTATGTCATTGGCTTAAAAGATTCTTAAAATTTGGGGATTGTAAAATATATCAACATGGTTTCATAAATCTATTCATACTCATTGTAGTTAAGTATAACAGGAAAACCATATTAAATTCCTTAGCCAATCCCACTAGAGAACTCAGCCAAACTATATTCTTGGATTTGGCTTTTATATTTAAAAAAAAAAAAAAAAGATACAGTGGAAGATGAGTGAGACCAAGAAAAGTTGTTATATCAATTGCATCCATGTCAAAATCACCCATGGGGCTGGGCACAGTAGTGCATGCCTATTATCCCAGCAGCTCTAGAGGCTAATGAAGGAAGATCTCGAGTTCAAAGCCAGCCTCAGAAAAAGTGAGACTCTAAGCAACTCAGTGAGACCCTGTCTCTAAATAAATATGAAACAGGGCTGGGGATATGGCTCAGGAGTGGTTGAGTGCCCCTGAGTTCAGTCCCCAGTACCAAAAAAATAACCCATAGGAAAAATAAATTACCTAGAACCAGATTATAGCATTTAAATAAAGAGCTATTTCAGTTAAAAAAAATAAAAATAAAAGAGCTTTGACATCGATAGCCCAAGCATTACACAATTCACATAATCTTAGAGTTTTAAGAAGTTCTTTTACTGTGGATCTGTTTCTCTGAAACTGACATTAGCATGTTTTCAGTGAACCATTTGTTATGCAATCAACTTTCGATTATCCAGTTGTGGGGTTGGCTTTACTTTGCACTTCACATCATAAGCAGGTATGCAATCTTCTTAAAAGAATACTGAGAAGATGGTTCAAAGATTTGGGTACAACAAAAATTGGAAAATATGTTGAAATTCTTGGGTATGCCAGACACATGCATGGCTGTCTGTAATCCCAGCAGCACAAGAGGCTGAGGCAGGAGGATCACAAGTTCAAAGCCAGCCTCAGCAAGTTGGTAAGACCTTTCACAAATTGAAAAAAGAAAAAAGAGCTGGGGACATAGCTCAGTGGCAAAGCACTTCTAGGTTCGATCTTAGTACCCCCCCCCCAAAAAAAAAATATCTTGGGTACAAGAAATTGGAAAATTATTTGATTTTGTTTGAGATCCTTATCTCCTATCAGCATAGATAAATACAAGTTGCATATTCATAGATATTTCTCTTTTTTCATACGTGTCTAAAATGTTGATCCCTTCATTATCCGCTTCTTTTTCTCTTATTTGTTTTATCATTTAGCCAAACCTAAAATAAAGGGGATTTTCTGTCTTTTCTATATGCACAGTTAGCAATTAAAGCATCAAAGATCTTGGTTGATAAAGATACTGCAATTTGGGCTGGGGTTGTGGCTCAGTGGTAAAGTGCTAGCATGTGTGCGGCCCTGGGTTTAATCCTCGCACCACATATAAATAAGTAAAAATAAACATATTGTGTCTAACTACAATTTAAAAAACATTTTTTAAAGATACTGCAATTTAAAGATACTTGAATTTGCATCAGCCCTCTCTTTGGGTGTTTGTCAGAATAGGCTTTCCATTTCTCAGGGAGGGAATAGGAAACATCCTAGTGGGCTGAGGGTTTTATTCCTTCAGAAGACTGATCAAACTCACCCCTGCAGTTGAACTTCCTTGTTTGGGGAGCCCGCTTCCAGGGAAGGTGGGGCTCAGGTGTCAGAGCCATTTCTCAAGGAGGACATTTCCTCCAGGCAGTCTTGCCCAGACAGATCTGTTCTTGTTTTTCAGTTGGTTATAGAGACCTACTGGGTGCTGCTCTTACCAGACAGTTTCTCAGGATGATGAATAAGACATTCTCAGGATGGGAACAGAAGACTAGTGAATAGACTTGTGTGGTTCCTGAAGGATTTCAGAAGAATGCATATTCAGGTTTCCTAAACCTTAAGTAACCTGCCAGAAGTTTCTTAAGTAGGAGCTGGAGGGAGGAGAGAATGATACGTCTTTTTGTAATGGGAACATAGTTTCTATTTGGGATAATGAAAAAGTTCTAGAAATGGTGGTGGTTGTGTAACACTGTGAATATACTTAACACCACTGAGTTGTACACCTAAAATAGTTAAAATAGTAATGTTATGCTATATGTATTTTACCACAAAACTTAAGTGGTTTATTTTAAAAAGTTACTGGTTTTGAATGACAGCCCTTTAACAGCTTATTCCATCTTTGATGAGATTAATGTCTTTTCCTCAGTGACAGCTGCCTAAAAGTCAAAGTCAGTATTTAGGTTAAAAAGTTACTGCTTTTGAATGTCAGACCTTTATAGCTCATTTAGATTTATTCAAGGATTTTTATTTTCTGCTAGGTAAAATACTGTCTGCTACTTATAAAAAATAATCTTTAAATTTAAGGGCATAATTAGACAGAATAAAGTAAAAAGTTATTAACATAATGGTTGGACCTTTTAAATCAATATTGTTAATATGAGTTGTTATAATTTTATAATTATCCTGTTATGGGAATTAGTTGGCAACATAAAAGCATAAACTATTTTCACAAAATTCTACAAGCAATGAAAAGAACAGGAAACCACAAACCCAAAACCCCAAAACCACATTGGTGAACTAAAGTATTTGATAAATGTGGTATCTGGGATTGATTCTTGCACTAAGAAAACAATTTCAATCAATCAAAAGGGGCTAAATCAGCAAGCATTTAAGCACCCACATCTAAAGCTGTATGGCAACTATTCCTCAACCTGTACCTGTTCTTCAACCAGGTAGGCACCTCAGGGAAACCAGATGGCCACTCAGGGCCCATGAAGAAATCATATCACTATTTCCTAATGTTTGCCCAATAATATCAATAGCATTAAAACTTTTCAGCATTTGACTCTCTTCTCTTCATATGCTGGAGACATGGAAGTTTGATAAAACTGGTCTGGGTATTAAAGCCAAACTTCAATCAGATTTCCAAAAAAAAAAAAAAAAAAGATAAAACATCAAACCAAGATATTTTGAATTCTATTACTATGAAAGAAACTGTCATGTCCTATAATTGTACCCACTTTTAAAATTTTTTAGAAAAATGTTGTTGTTTCCTAAGACTTGTTAGTTCAGTATCATAACTTATATTCTAGAGCTCCTGGATTTTAAGAAGTGTTGGGAATTCCACTAGTTAACATTAAAATCCCACTAGTTAGGATTATAATAGAAGTTTGCCCTTTTTTAAGGAAGGCATTGGAACACAGATAGTTTGGTTGGTAAATTTACAGATGTCATTCTGAAACTGGTAATGTCTACATTGCCTTGAAATAACCAAGAAGGCGCTAATCTGCCCCTTCTTTTCATTTGAAGCGTTTCTTTCAGGGAAATTGTAGTGAGCTTGCTGTCGCATCAAGTGTTACTCCAGAATCTGTACGATATCCTGTTAGAAGAGTTCGTCAAAGGGCCCTCTCCAGGAGAGGAGAAGACGGTCCAAGCGCCAGACACCAAGCTGGCCGGCTTCCTCAGATACATCTCCATGCAGAACCTGGCAGTCATATTCGACCTGCTGCTGGACTCCTACAGGACAGCGCGGGAGTTTGACACCAGCCCGGGGCTCAAGTGCCTGCTGAAGAAAGTGTCCGGCATCGGGGGCGCTGCCAACCTCTACCGCCAGTCTGCCATGAGCTTCAACATCTATTTCCACGCCCTGGTTTGCGCTGTTCTCACCAATCAGGAAACCATCACTGCCGAGCAAGTGAAGAAGGTCCTGTTTGAGGACGACGAGAGAAGCACAGATTCTTCCCAGCAGTGTTCATCTGAAGACGAAGACATCTTTGAGGAGACCGCCCAGGTCAGCCCCCCGAGGGGCAAGGAGAAGAGGCAGTGGCGGGCGCGGATGCCCTCGCTCAGCGTCCAGCCGGTCAGCAACGCCGACTGGGTGTGGCTGGTCAAGCGGCTGCACAAGCTGTGCATGGAGCTGTGCAATAACTACATCCAGATGCACCTGGACCTGGAGAGCAGCATGGAGGAGGCTCCGGTCTGCAGAAGCGACCCCTTCTTCATCCTGCCCTCCTTCCAGTCCGAGTCCTCCACGCCCTCGACGGGCGGGTTCTCGGGGAAAGACACGCCTTCCGAGGATGACCGAAGCCAGTCGCGGGAACACCTGGGCGACACTCTGAGCCTGCGGGGGGCCAGTGGGGACGTGCTGATGCTGCCGCCCAGCCCCAAGGTGGAGAAGAAGGATCCCGGCCGCAAGAAGGAGTGGTGGGAGAACGCGGGGAACAAGATCTACACCATGGCGGCCGACAAAACCATCTCGAAGCTGATGACCGAGTACAAAAAGAGGAAGCAGCAGCACAACCTGCCCCCCTTCCCCAAGGAGGTCAAGGTGGACAAGAAGGGGGAGCCACTGGGTCCCAGGGGCCAAGACTCCCCGCTGCTGCAGCGCCCCCAGCACCTGATGGACCAAGGGCAAATGCGCCATTCCTTCAGTGCTGGCCCGGAGCTGCTGCGACAGGAGAAAAGGCCTCGTTCGGGCTCCACTGGGAGCTCACTGAGTGTCTCCGTGAGAGATGCAGAAGCACAGATCCAGGTACAATCCCCCAGGCAGAGGGTGTGGGAGGGGGCTGAGCTTCAAACACCAGATGGGTCTCCCTTGGAGGGCATGCACACAGGGTGAGATTTGATAGAAACCATAGGAGATATAAACCCATTTGCCTCAAAGTGAGACGACCAGGAGAGACTAAGATGGAGAATCTGCCAGTATCAATACATCAGTGTGAAACCGAAATTTTATTCTCAGATAATTTCAGAAACTGTTTTTCCATGTTGTAACACACATTATTGAGAATTAGCAACAGACTTGCATAAATAAGATGAAGCTAAAGCTTATAAAACTGATGGACTTTAAGTGGCATTGAGTCCTTTGTCATTTGAAGATAGAACTAGAATTTCTTTAGTGCTAAGGCATTATGTAAAATTTTTTAAAAAGCAAAGTAGATCTTATTATATACCAATGACCTGTTTTCATTTCCAGTGTTCCATCCTTCCTAAGCACATAAAAAAAATCTCATTCTTAGGGCTGGGGTTGTGGTAGAGCACTTGCCTGGCATGTTTGAGACCCTGGGTTCGGTCCTCAGCACTGCATATAAATAAATAAATAAAATAAAAGATCTATTTACAACTAATATGTATGTGTGTGTGTATACACACACAATTCTCATTCTTCAGGGGGCTTTGAAAAAATCATCCTGGTTTTTGTTTGTTCAATACTGGGAATTGAACCCAGGGTGCTCTACCAGTGAGTTTCATCCCCAGACCTTTAATTTTGAGACAGGGTCTCACTAAGTTGCTGAGGCTCAAACTTGAGATCCTCCTGCCTCAGCCCCCTTAATCTGGTCATGTGTCCCCACACCTGGCCAAGAAAAGAGATTTTAAAGTATCCAGTTACACTGAGATGTATGTTCTTGAGCAGATGCCTTTCTTGGCAAATCATATCTTAATAGAGTTTTCATATTTGGGATTTTGCTTAATTTTAAAAGTTATCTTAAACCAAGGCAGAACTATCCCAAGTCGTGTTGTTACACAAGACTGCTGATTAAAAATAGCATATGACCTATAGAAATTTCATTATGAGAAGGCAAGGTATTTATTTATTCCTTAGATTAAAAGAAAAACTAAGATTTTAGAAGTTTGTAAAAACTGAAAATAATTTGTGTGTGTGTGTGTGTGGTACACAGGGCCTTGTGCATGTGAGGCAAGCACTCTACCAACTGAGCTATATCCCCAGCCCAAAATTTTCTTAATAGTATGAGTTTCTGCTTTTTCCTTCAGATGTGTAGTTAAAAACCACAATTTATTATAGGTACATTAAATTATTAGCGACTACTTTATTATAGCTAAATCCTGATGAAACCTGTCTATAGATTGACAGAGCATAACCACATGTCAAATGAAACTTTAAGACAGCCAATAATTCTCTTCAATCCTTTCTCTTAGGCATGGACCAATATGGTGCTAACAGTTCTCAATCAGATACAGATCCTTCCAGACCAGACCTTCACTGCTCTCCAGCCAGCAGTGTTCCCGTGCATCAGCCAGCTGACCTGTCACGTGACTGACATCAGAGTTCGTCAAGCTGTGAGGGAATGGCTGGGCAGAGTGGGCCGGGTCTATGACATCATTGTGTAGAAGACTCAAATTCCATCCCCAAGGACATAAATATCAGAGAGGTTCACAGTCGGCGTGCCAATCCAGCTGATAGCATTTGCCACACTTAAACTAGGTCTCAAAGAACAATGTTCCCTAATGTAAAAAAAGAAAAAAGCCTTTCCAACCACTCCCTAATCTGGACTATTCTGGATAATTTGGTGGTATCCAAGTGACACAGTGATCCTCTGATTTTGCACATTATTACAGAAGAGTCTACATTCCTCAATACATTTCTAAACCTTAGTTTATTTCCGAGAGTTTGTGCTTGCGATTTTGTCCCCAAATGGGTCTTTTTCAAGGGCCACTCCTTAGATCCATCATTTTTAAAATAAATACAATTCCTAAGAAACTATCTGCTGGTAAGTCAAGCTGACGTATAAACCCTCAGATATCTAGTACCAGACATTAGTAATTGGAAGAAAATCTGTACTATGACTGAGGGTTTGGCTGGGAAGAAAACAGCTACACACAATGTATTTTTCAATGTCATAATCAAGAGAGAGATGACTTCTGCTGTAAAATATTCCAGAACATTTCAACATTATTACCAAGTGGTTAAGATTTTCAGGTTAATATTCACCAACTTCCCCATGTAAGGTACTATTGTGCCTTTCTCTATTTCTAAAGGAAGAAAACTTTCCGAGCAGGGCTTGAAGTCTGTGGATTGGCAGCCTCTAACATGAAGCACCCAGTGGTATTAGCCAATGCATTTATTGTCAAGAGACATAAGACTGACCAGCTACCCTGCCTGTCCCATTAGTCTTTGCTTTTGCTCCCAAGGCAGGAAAGGAAAGAAAAAAAAAATGGTGCCTTAGTCTTTTGTTGCACAGACATTTCTACACCCCACAATTATCTGAATGCAAGGTACAATACTTGGTTTTTAAGAGAACAGTATACTAAGATGCAACTCATTTTATATCAATACCTTTGGAGGAAAGGAACTCAGAGTCCTCCATTCAGTGAGCAGATTTCTCAGGGAAAGGGGCAGGAAGTATGAAGTAGGGAGACAGCCGGCAGGGGTGGGAAAGGGGATTATGACGAAATCATTTTCAATCTTAAAATGACAACAATCATGAAATCATGGGTTCAGTTATACAAACTGTAACCTCAGAAGAAAATAAAACGAAATTGGAAGGGGATGTTATGAAGTTTAGAAGATAATTTTTTTTTCTATTTAAATTTTCTCTAGCAAGTAGATTTAAAGTCTTGTTATTCATATCAATTTTTAAGTGGATAATTCTTTTCCTAAGTATTATAAAATGAATGTGAAACCCTCATTATGATTTTTTTCTCTGCACCTCCCCCACCCCTTGTGCTGGGGATTAAGCCCAGGACCTTTCTCATGCTAAGCACACATTCTACCACTGAGTCACACCCCAACCCTTACTCTATTTTATATGTCTTACATTATAATGATTGAACCTTTTCAATCAAGCCCACTTATATACATTCTAGACAACAGAATTAGTTACCACATACATGACTTTTTCCCAGTGTCTAAAAATGTATTCATGTATCAATTCTTCAGTATTGAAGTACACATTTTAAATGGATTGAACTTTATCCAGTGATGGTATTCATAAGTTTTGCCCTTCTTGAGAATTATGTAGTTATCTACAACGTTAAGAGCAAAGCAAGGTTCTCCAACTTATTTAAGTGATCAAAAAGAATTTTCATTATCCAGTATGCTATCAAGAAATAATCACCGAATCTTCTAGTTCCACAAAACATTCTTTGCCTTCAATTTTTACTCATTAACCAACAATTCAAGTTTAGGAACAGATCGACTAGTATTGCTATTTAATAGGCATTAAATTACAAGGAGAGCAAAGAGCTGTGTTCTATCCATAACTTTTAATTTTTATACTTGGTAAGTGGAATTGAAAGTTGGGTAAGACTCCCCTCCTAAACAAAAAGCAGTTCACCATGGTTGTTTTGTTTCTGTTTTTGTGACTCCTTTAGGGTTCAGTTCTCCTTTATGAGCTTATGAGTACTCTGCAATTTACTGGGGGGAAAAGTTTCAGTAAAGCAGAATATAAAATTAGAGCGCTTACAAAATGTTTATACATAGCAACTTTTCATAAAGTATAAAAATTTATCCAAGCACGGTGGCACACACCTGTAATCCCAGCTACTTGATAGGCTGAAGCAGAAGGATCACAAGTTGGAGGCCAGCTCAGCAATTTAGCAAGACCCTGTCTCAAAAAATAAAAAGGACAGGGGATGCAACTCAGTGATACAGCTCCCCGGGCTTAAAAAATTAAAACAAAAATTCAAAGGAGGCCAGTGTCTCATGTGACAGAAGTATGTTTGAAATCAGAATTCATACTCCCACAGATTTCTATTACGAGATCAAAGTCTAGTTCATGAAAATAAGTTTCCCCGATACTGAGTCTAAATGCTGTTCTGTACCAACCTGATTATGGGCCCTAAGAATTAGAAGACGAGAAAGTATACCCAGTTCTTTATCAACAGTTTTGTAAGAGGTTTTTGGTCCTTCCCATCGTCTTGTTGATACCCCATACCAAGTCCCATGTTGCTCATAAGCCCGCCTCCATGCCTAATGTACTGTGAGCTCCAGCACTACATAAACCACGTCAGATTTCAACCAGCAGAAAAGTGTGAAGTCCCAGCAGCAATACTTCAGGGCACGGTGCAGTTTTCCAGGAGGACATTGTCTGATGCAAAGAAGTCCCTTTGAGTAGGACTTGAGGAGATGGAGAAGAATGAGAGGGAATTAGGAACACATGGTACACAATGGCCTCTCCCAGGCCAGTCGGACCCTCACACCTTTCCTGGTGTCTCCATTCCCACATTGACCCCTCTCTTCCTTCACTCGCTCCCACAGTCACTTTTTAGGCAGCTCTAAGATCAAGATTAAGGTCAAGGCAGCCTTCTGAAGTTAAATATGGGCGTTAGCATTGTATGTACAGATCTAAGCAGAATAAGACTTAATACATTGCTTCTAGTTACCTGTATTTACTGCCAAAATGTATTACTTGAGGCCGAGACTTCTCTCTCCTTATAGTTTGGTAAAGTGTGCCACATGAAACAGGCATTTGGAAAACGCCAACTATGAGAGAATCACTGATTGACAGCCCAGCCAAATACTCCCACTCTTTGCCAGAGTTCTCCCAGCTGTTTTGGTAATGGGCAGCTAATAAATTGTTCATAGACCCTTGCCTAGCTCTATGAACACAGGTCTTGGTTTTTTGCTGCAGTGCTGGGGATCAAGCCCTGGGCCTCGCACATGCTTCATAGATACTGAAATGGAAAGTCTTTTTCAATTTTTAGGCTCTTTAATGACCAATCAATAAGGACCCAGGCAGATACTATCTATCTACTAAATAATTTAATAGCTTAAATTATTTTAAATCGAACATGACGAAATGTTAATTCAAAAGCACCTGTGATTTTTTTTTTTTTTTAGTTATACATGACAGTAGAATGTATTAGTACCTCTGATTTGAGATATGCTGGTACAATGTCACTAGGCTTCTTGTTCTTGGTTTCAGAAGGCTTATACAGTCCATGGAGAGTCTCCCCAAATACACCATAGCTGTGCTTATGTAGGCACTCTTTCTTTCCCAGGAGGGAAACTCCATCAGTGTCAGTCCCATCAAACTGAACAAGATGAAGACCTTTGTTTAGAACTGATAATAGCAGGAGGTAACAAACATCAGAGAGGAAGTGACTAAGTGTCACTGTGAATATAAACCTTCACCTTGTCATATTTAGTTTTTACAGTAGCCTTATAAAATAGGTATTGTTTTTCTCATTTTTTCAGATGAGAACACAGACCTTGAGAGGTTCATAAATTTTCCCTACAAGTGAAATGCAAAGTTGACTTCAAAAGAAGTATTGCTGAACTCAAAGGCTTCCCCCAGCACCATGCTCTAAGTGTCTGGAGGAAACTCTAGTGGGAAAGAGATAATCTCAAGGAACTAAGCAGTTCAACCGAGAATATTTGCTTGAGATCCCAGCCCTGTCTAGGATGTTATGGAGATATTTTTAAGTAAGATTTTTTTAATTGTGTTTCTGTATAGAAGATCATATACATTTCAAACATATCAGCGTTTGAAAATAAGGAAAATCGAAATCTAAACTTTAATCTTAAAGCAAAACACTTAGTGTTAGAAAACCCACTAAGTTAGAAATGATGAAACACTATTCATGGCCAGCTATTAATGCAGGAAAACCATGGCAGGCTATGTCTGGAATGGCATGCATAATTCATAAACCTTTTAAATATCATTTAACCAACTAAGAATAAAGTGCCCTGTAGCCAGCAGTGCCTCTCTACTTGCTTCTCTGGGAAGTGCTAAATTTGTAAGTCATCAAAGTTTGGGAATATGCAAGCAACCGTTTTTTAAAATGTACACTCTCTGAAGAAGCAACTGGAAATAATATTATTTAAAGATCTAGGTACTGAGGGCATCAGGATAGTATTCATAGCAACCATGTGCCATATGACCTCAATATTGTACTTGCTCTACAGACAAGGAAGCAGGCAAAAACCACAGGGTCCTGCAGTAAGCCAAGGAGAAAACGTAAACGTGTTTGGGTACTACTTCAGTGATCCCAGCGAGATCTGGTGTGGCCTTAGAGAAGCAAAAGAGCTTTTTTGAGTACCTTTTTCTTTTAAATATGAGCTTGATATTGGGAAAGATTTATGAAGTTGGTAAAGAACTTGATCTATAATTATGCCTTCTCAAAAAAAACATGTTCTCTTTATTCACTGGTAGAACAATCTAGAAAACTTACATTTGTTTATTTGTTGACAGATTCCCTTCCTCTAGCTGAATCGAAGTGTTTGTATTTGATGTAGAAGTAATAAGACTTTGGAATGTAATACCATTTTTATTTCCAAAACCACAAAAATACTCCTTTAGGGAAGACAGACAAAAGAACATTCCCACTTCCTTATTAACAGTGGCACCATTTATTGATTGGAGAAAAAACATTACTATACCACTGGCACCCCATGAAACCTTCTCTCTCTCTCTTTGTAAAACACCACACAGGGGTTCCAGGGAGGAAGGACTGACCGACCATCTTAGTGACAGAAGTACACTCAACTGCTGGAAGGTTCATCCAGTTATGGTCCTTCCTTCCTTTTCAACCAAGAGAATTATTTGTCCTGTTAATTCCTGTCCTGGCAGCTTAATCCATGCTTTTCTAGTTTCTTATGTCTTAAGAACAGTGGTTCTCAAACTTTAGCACATAAGAATCATGGGGTGGTGGGGTGGTGGGGTGGGGAGGTGTTGATGAAATACACATTGCTGGGCCCACACCTAAGAGTTTCTGATTCAGTCAATCTGGAAATGAATATTCCTAACAAGTTCCTAGGTGAGGCCAATGCTGCTTCTCTGGAGACCACTCTTGGAGAATCACTGCCATGAAAAATATCCAACTCCTAACTTTAAGATCAGCCTGACTTATCAAGCACTAGAGAAAACCTGAACTTACCCTTGGGCAGACAACTCTGGGTTGGATTACCTGCAACATTCCTGTTCAGTCTCCCCAGTTTCCAGTTTTCTTATACCAACCATTGGTTTTTTACATGCTAGAAGACAATGAATGTATAAGTTCTATGGAACAGTGATACGTCTAAGCTTCTCGTCCTTGTATTTAGAAACACTGATTTTATGAATGATTGTTTGTTTCATGTTGACCCTTTGACTTGTACTGAAAGTGGTTTAAGGATGTAGTGTTTGCATTTCTTCCTGTGTGGTTTTAATGAGATGTTTCCATGTTGGCTCCATTCCAACTTTGGCTCCTGGCTTACAGAGGTTTCTGAGTAATTACTCCCTTGCCAGTTGTTTTACATCTTGCATTTGTCATTGGAACATCAGTGTTTCAAAAAGACATGGCACTACTTGCTGTGCCTTCATCTTTCACTTAACTGTCTGCTGTAAATTAGTATTTTAATTTTGTATATATCTGTAAAGAGTCTACCAAATGGCTTCATGGAAATTTGCAAAATGAACCAACTCCCTTTTGAGCAGTAGATGCGCCTGTTGTGACTTTTCAGTAAATGTGTGCTTGTGCGCGTGACCTGCATCATGGAGATGTTGTTCATTATCTTACCTTTCAAATTCTGGGAAAATGCAAAAGTGAATCAATGTACTTTCAAAATACAATGAAATTATGTTAGCTCAAATATAGATGGGGCCTTAGTTTACCTTTTAACTCTTTCTTCAATTAATGAGCTTTAGAAATTATTTTTCCATTAAAAAGTAAGGAGCAGAGTGAATGATTCAAGAAGAAAAAATTAAGGACCTTAAAATCATCACTCACTTATAAACTATATTGATTACATATAATTCTTACCAATTCAATAAAGTTCCTCTAAAGACTTCTGCTTAATAAATACCCTGACATAATTTAACTTAGATGACTGTATGAATAGAAAGTAGTAATTGTAGGTATAGAATTAATGAGATCAAAAACCATATCGGTGTTAATAAGATCAGGTATTGCCTCTGTGGATGGAAATAATTGGAGAGTTTATTTCCCTTTTATTTATGCATTATTTTAACAACCAATTTTAATTTTAATTTAAAATCAATCTCTAGAAATAATTTATATTCAAACTATTTTATCAACTGGTGCCAAAAACAGAAGAGTAGAATCTGAAAGCCAGTCTATTGAACTAGAATATAAAATACTAGGTTTTAAGTTTAAGGAGGCGTAAGCCCCTGATAACTACAAGCCACCAGTGATCATCCATGGCTACCTCATGATGATGCACAAGCTGCTTGCTATGGCTCCCTCTGCGGTTCTTTAATTTTAATGTGTTGGAAGTGCTTATCTTTAAATAAATAAATAATTGGTTTGTTTTCCCACTAAGTAGGCAAAGCTGAACAAAGATGAGTGCTTTCGATATTTTGGGTTTCACTTTGGTTGAAACCACATGGCAGAATACCCAGGTATGGCATGATGGGGCAGGAGGAGGTGCCTATAGAGAAAGGTTATTTTTGTTTCTTGGTTTGTATTGGGTTTTTTGGGGGGTGGGTGGGGGGGAGTTAAAAACAAAATGTTTATTGCCCTAATCATGCCAAAAGACTACTATCAAGATGCTTTTCTAAGAGGAATCAATTTAAATAAATTACATTATAAACAGTTACCCTACTCCCATCTATCATTTGATAAAGCCAGTGGGTAGTATGGGTCCTTTTATCCCTTCTTGCATTATACCAAAGAATCAACTTATTTTCACTACAAATTATAAGTAAATGAAGCTTGGTATAGCCATAATGATTTGAGTCAGTATGCCATTTTACCTATAAAATGCAAAATTTATCCTTGCAACCCCACTCACCAGGAGCCTTGAAGATTTTTGTTCACTCCAAAGGCCTTGTCAAAGAAGTAGTTTGTTTTGTTTTTTATTTAGTCATTTTGATCACATTTACATTTTTAAAAACTTGAGAACCAACCTCATTTATATGTTGCTATACCTATTTCATTTGATATCTTTTCATTGTTTACCAGGTCTCTGTAAGCAAGCCTGCAAGTGTATTTTGTGTACATTTTATCTGAGGTGAAAAATGAAAATTCTAAAGAGAAAATATTTTAAAATATATTGTATTTATGTTGCTTGTGTTGTAGAATAAAGACTCAAATGCATTAAAAATTGATATGTGAAACAATTTCCTTTACTAAATAAATTTACCAAAATAACTTATGTAAAAAGCATGTCTAACAGAATTCTGCCAAAATAACTATTACATTTTATAACTGTGAATAGAAAAGAACTGTTCCAAGTTTAGAAGATAGAGATAATCACTATTAACCACTTGCTATGTGCCTAGAAAACAAATTTGCAGAAATATATACCATTGTTCCTCTTGCCCCCATTTTTTAAAGAAAAAGAGATTTTTACCATATTCTTTTTATATTTATCAAAAGATATTGTGGCTCATTCATTTTTAAAAAGCTGGAGTATTACTATTTGTTCTTGAAAAATCATCTCTCTCAACAATAGAAATATCATTTTTCATTAATTTCAATTGGGTATATATAACAGCAGAATGCATTTTGATTCATTGTACATACTTGCTGCAAAACTTCATTTCTCTGGCTGTACATGATGTAGTGTCACACCATATGTGCAGTCAAACATGCACCTAGGGTAATGATGTCCATCTCATTCCACTATCTTTCCTGCCCCCATGCACCCTCCCTACTAGAAATATTATTTTAAAGGAGCATTGAAAAGAAAAACAGTCATTTTTTGAGATCTTATTGGATTGTGGCTTTTAGACTTGAGAAGTCTGTAATGGTATAAGCCTAGGAATCACCATGCCCATGTCATGGAAAAGTGTCCATAGAGGAATAAAAGACATTCAATATGCTGTAGAAATGGAATCTGTGTATGTGACTTCAGCTTAAGGGTCTATCATTCTGTCACACACTATGGTAATCTCACAAATGCACCACCAAAACTCAGTTGCTTCTAGTTCAATCCCCAAACCATCCCCCCACAGAAATCACTTCTATCATAAGGATGAAATAAAACTAAAATAGGTACTAATATACCTTGCAACACTATGTCATAAACATGCAGGACCAACCATGTTCATGGATGGTGAAAGCTCTGCTATGTCAAAGTGAAGGCCTTTGGCCTCAGCCAGAAATGCAAAGATCACAGCCCAAGTTTTTCCTCTTCCCAGGAATGGGGAGCCTGGACAACACTTGGCTACTCAATTGTTGAGTGGCACTTGGATGCTATGAGCATCCTAGTCTGCCAGTCTGTCTGCTCTGTAAAAGAAAAATAAACCTTTATTTACCTCAAAGGGTGATTGTAAGATAAAATGAAAGCTCAACCAACAACACAAATGCCCAATAAGTGCTAAATACTATTGTGTAGGATAATAACTATTTCATAAATAGCCCTACTGTTTTGCAAGTTGATATATATTTGAGATCTACTACATACATATCCTTGACATTCTCACCCATGAATGTGCTCCAACATAAAAAGCTTAACATTTTGTGCCTGCCTGATATGAGGCGGTCAGAAGCCCAGGTGCAGACCTCTTTAATCAACACTTTAGAAATAAATTCTAGGTCAATGGCCAATTCTTCAATTATTAATATCCAGCAATGAATACATCTTATGCATAAATCCAGCTGTATTCCTTTAAAGCAGAGACTTGATATGCTTCAACTATTTGGCTTATGATCAAACTTGTATTACAATTTAGCTTTGATAAATATTTCACATCACTCATTAGAAAATTCACTTCCCCATCTGGCTCCAAGGTAAGTTCAATAAGCAAGTGAAAATAAAATTGAAGACTAATGCAATATTATGGTTTTCACATATTGATCAACATTCTTGTTATCTCAAGCCTTGGAAAGAGCACTTCTTATATCTTCCTCTTGTTTGTTTTTATTTATAGAGTCTTGGTTACAACATCAAGTCATTGGTGCCCTGAGTCTGCCCTGCCAATTTCATCTGCTCACCGAAAATATTTTATTGTCACAGAAACAAACCATACAGTTTAATGATCACATTCAAACTCAGAGGTTATAAATTCCAGAAAAATTTATAAGCATATTCTTAATCTTTTTTTAAGTACTAGAAATTAAGTACTAAAATTTCTATTGCAACATAAAATAATCAAATGCACAACAGTTTAGAGATAAGACCTGAAACATGGAACTTTGATTTGTTTTAATATGGTTTCCTGGTCTTCTTTATATCTACCAGCATGTTGTTTTCTATACTGAGCTATTGTTGTAACCAATACAAAGAATACAAGGAAGTAAAGCTTCATTCTCTAGCAGAAAATGAATTACCTTTAATGAAATTAATTAGACGTTTAATGTTGTGATGCAAAGACTCCATTTATAACTCAACTTGAAAACATGAAAACTGAAACTAATTTACCAGTTCCAAAAGAAAGATATTATTAGCTACATTATAGTTGAAATTTTAATATTTCAAGATTTGTTTCACTCTACTCCTCTGACAGCCATCAAGACAGTATGCACTCCATGGACTTTCCTAACATAACAATGGGTTACAAAAAGTAATGTTCTTCTCAAGCCTAAAATAGAAGCAACAGAAAAAAAATACAGATTACTTACCTTCTTAAAACCATTCAGAGCTGGGGATATACTTCACTGATAAAGCACTTGTAGCATTTAAGGCCCTGATTCTATCCCTGATACCACAAAAAGAAAAAATAATTTAGAAATGTCCTTCTTTGAAAATTAATAATTCTATGCACAATCAGGGTTAAAATTTAGATCGTTAAATTGGTCGTGAAATTGGTAAATTTAACTAGCTCTTATTCCTAAGGAAAAGAAAAATCTGTAAACCTTTGGGGATTGGGGATTGGAGCATAATCTAGAGACAAAAATACCATCTCCTGCCCACGAGGAGTCTCTCAGCCCCACTCTGCTTTCGCTGTCCAACTACACTCAGCTGAACACACCAGCACACTGACTCTAGCCTGCTCCCATGATTCCCAGGAGACAAGGGAAAGTACGTGAGCACAATCAGAGTTGTTTCAAAGGCTATTCCTGAAAGGATGCACAGGGTTCAGTAATTATCATAATAACCTGGATAGTATCTTTCATGAAATTGTAAACTGGCCAAAATTCAGGCATGGATACAGATGTGGACTTAAACCAGGTGCAGTGGCGCACATCTATAATCCCAACAACCCAGGAAGCTGAGGCAGGAGAATAGCAAGTTCAAGGCCTGCCTGGGCAAGCTAGTGAGACCTGTCTCAGGAAAAAAAATAAAATAAAAAAGGACTGGGGATGTAGTTCAGTATTCAATGGTAAAGCAGCCCTGGTTTCAATCCCTAGTAGAAATAAAAACAATAATTAAATTTGACCAAAGGACCAGATCTCAAACGGTCGGATGAAGCTGACAAGCCATCTTTCTTCAATGCATATTTGACTGCAAAAGTGCATTTGGGATATTAATTTATGCTCTCTTCTTTTCTCCCCTCTCTATAGTCCCCTCATTCCTTTCTCTCTATTTAAGCAAATAATTGGCTCTGGAGTTCATTCCCAAAATGCCTGGGAAGTTCTGCAGGTCTTGTATTCTAAAAATCTAAGACACATAAAGACACATACTCTCTCTAGGGTAGAAACATGAGGGAAAATAAATTTTATTTTTCAGATAAGAATTTAATTCCCTGGGAAGTTTTTCAACAGCAAGAAGGCTAAAGATCAGGGAGGACTCTTTCATTGAGAAGACTGTCAGACCCCAAAGATGGCAGGCCTGGGCCATGTTCCTTCATTGCAGGCTAGCTAGATTATAGGGGGAAATTCCCAATCTCCGGTTATGGCACCAAATAACAGAAAGATCCCCAAACCCCACACACGGCACACCACCAGCAAAGTCAGGAGCTGGCCCTGAAGGACTGTGCTTGCCCAGCTACGGGATAGCTCATTGTAACTTCCTTGGATGGGGGATCAAGGACCCAGGTACCCCAGCAGAACAGAAGGCACTCAGAACTCTGCTTCAACCCCATGATGTAGAAGTCTGCCAAAAACTGACAAAAGTGATGCCCCCTTGGCAGAAGAGAGGCCCCAAGCACTTCTTAGTTGGTAGTGTAAAATAAAACTAAAATTACATACATGAGGTTGTGGGCTGACATTTATATTTGCTTTTATAGTGAATAATAAAAAAAAAAAATCACTGCAAAACCTTATGTTAGGTTTTTTTAAGGAAATTGGAATAGCAAACAGAGAAAAGAAAGAACAATAACAGAACACAGCAATTCTTATAAATGCAGTTATTTCCAAGCAAGTACCATCAGAGTGCCACTCAGCTGACCTCCTAAGTCCAGTGTCAATGGTCCTTGGTCTCAGAAAGCAATCTGCCCCCTCAGGAAAAGAGGTGTCTCATGAGGCCATCCCTTTCCACTGGAATTCCCAACTCTTCAATCTTAAACCATTTTGACAGCATACATTGTGGACTCCACCACTGGGCAAGGCCCCATTTGGGCTAGATAAATCAAATGTATTTGTTCAGCAGATCCCATAGCCTCCATTAGGTTTGCTTCCAGGCAAACTTAGACACCCATTTCCCCACCTCACAGTTTAGCTATCAGCAAGAGACACCTCCCAATACATGTGGATTATAGCCAAACTCAGCCTTGGAACTTCAACTAGATTCTTAATGCAATCTTCTTAAGGACAATTGACAAGGCAATATAACCAGCTTATGGAATGACTCAGCCCCTGTCATAGTCACACACACACCCTCTGCTTACAGCTCCCTCCCACTGTGGTTGGCTTATGTACCTGAACTAGCTCAACTGCTCAAATTTTAATCTTCTCAAAACGTAATGTTCATAAGACTCAACAGTTGTTGGTTGTTGAACTTGTGTCCAGACCCACTTCCCATTTTTTAAATGGAAAAGTTTAATGCTTCTGTGACAGGAATGACCCCTTAAGTTTTTGTTATTTGTTTTTTTGACAGGTATTTTTTATTTTTATTTAGTTATTAATTAGTTATAGATGGACACATTATTGTTTATTTATTTTTAGGTGGTACTGAGGATGGAACCCAGGGCCTCACATGTGTGAGGCAAGTGCTCTACCGATGAGCCACAACCCCAGGCCTGACCCCTTAAGTTTAAAAATTAAAAACAAAAAAAAAGACTCA